AATCATACAAAGTATGGGCAAGTAGCACATGCTATGGTGAGCCCGTAGTGGACTTACCTGGCACGGGAGCGTATAATTCAGAGTAATACTGTATGTATATTAAAAGTAGATTGGACAAATTATTCTCTTCACATCTTCACCTCACATTGTACCAACATACGCTCTTTGGTAAAGAAAATAGACTTTCTATAATCTGTGTTGGTTTTGAGGGAGATGCTGATCAGTTACAGCTCCGCTCCTGTGCCAGGTAAGTCCACTACGGGCTCACCATAGCCCCTGCTACCTGCCATGCTCCTGTGCCAGGTAAGTTACGGGCTCACCATAGCCCGTGCTACTTGGAACTTGTTCAGAGTAGCTGAATCTATAACAACAAACAACGAGGGAGATGCTGTTGAGCTCTGCCACCACTGTATGTCGTCACCGGAAAGAGACAGCACGTCCATTCGGCTTGGAAATTCAGCTTCCTCTGGTAATCACACTCACCAGGTGTACTTGCAGGCTCGAACTTCGGTTCTTAGCATCGACTTTCTGTTATACTAACACTTTAAGTTGTTTGTTAAGTAAACTACAACACTTTATTAACAACTGACATTGAAGACGTTCTGCCTGATATCTTTGTGACTGTTTTGCATCTCAGGTTCTCATTTATGACACGTCATATTCTGCTGTTTCTGGTTTAAATGGGACGCCTTTGTGTATTTTATCAACTCCCCCTTATGTTGTTATCGTGTCCCCCCGTATTCCTCTAGTGTTGTGAGAATCGTGCAAATCCTCATTCTCTTCTCGTTGCTCAGGCCTCGATCAGCTCAGGAAGGAGCCTTGTTTTATATTTGTAGACATTTTCAAGTTTTGTTTGGTACTGTTTTCAGGTGAGAGTTCCATGGCGCGATTGAAAATTCAAAAGAGTTCATTACGCATAGATTGTGCATAGGATCCGGAAGGCTCCTTTTATCCAAATTCCTGAACGCTACACGGACGTTGGCAAGTTTGCTGCTGGCAAACAAGCCAGCCAATACTGCCGACTTATTCTGCTACTGCAGGAGCCTCTAGCATCTTTTCAGATGCAGGAATCTACATCTTCATTCTGTGGTGCCCTATGGGTCTTCTCCCTCCTATTCCTATCCTCGTTACTTTGCATTTGGCTTGAGTAAGGTGTAGTAGACCACCTTGGGTGTACTATGCAGGGTATCACGGTGACCCTCCGCTCTCATTCTTCTCATTACTTTTGTACCCACAACAGTCGACTAACTCTCAGGCAGTTTTACTACTCGGCAGAGAGTCCCACGGGACGCTACTCAAAATAATCGACTATAACTCCCAGATATACATACAGTATTTACTATTAGGTGAAGTCCCACAGGATGCGAATCATAATTCGGCCCCTAACTCCTAGGTACTGTACCTATTTACTAAGTCCCCCACGATTCTGTCTAGTCGACTGACTCCCACGTAATTGTTTACTGCTGGGTTAACAGACAAATCGTGTGAAAGAAAGAAAGAAAAAGAAAACGTGACCAGATATTTCGCCTTGCATTTTAAGTCACATTGTGTGGAGCAAGAGTCGATTTAACACTAATTAGTTCTATCGAGTGGTGATGTGGGGTGAACAGGTGTGTGGAGGCGAGGTAATTCAATGTGTGGAAGGTGGCAGGTGGCAGGTTTGGAAGCATGGTAGAAAGGGACAGGCAGGTTAGAGAGGGGCTGGCCTGTGGGGATGGGTGGAAGGTGGAGATGACTGACAGGTGCATGCAGATTGCTGATACATGTGTTTACTAGTTGTGTTTTTGCGGGGGTTGAGCTTTGCTCTTTCGGCCCGCCTCTCAACTGTGTGTGTGTGTGGGGGGGGGAGGAGGGGTTGGTTATTTATTTATTTATTTATTTATTTATTTATTTATTTATTTATGCATATACAAGAATGTACATAAGGAATGTGAGGATACAATTATGGTAATTACAGTCTTGTAAAGCCACTAGCACGCGCAGCGTTTCGGGCAGGTCCTTAATCTAAGAAAATTTTAAGGAGGTAAATACTTGCAAAATTTATAGACAAAAAAATGATAACAGATTACATGGAATGAAAAAAAAAAAAGATGAGAGAAAATTATAGGTACAGTATATTAAAGCACATAGGTAGCTATGATTGATTGCAATGACAGCTTAAAATGGTAGTTGACAACAAATTGGTAGGCACAATACAGCAGAAACAATATAAGATTGATTGCAATGACAGCTTGAATGGTAGTTGACAAAAATTGGTAGTCACAATACAGCATATGGCTAGCACATAAAAGAAGACAGCAATGAACACAATGATAAGGTTGTTTGATATTACATAAAAATTAGGAGATTGGGTACCACTAGGTACAGAGCAAATTTAAAGCTCAGTGTAGGAAACTAAATAGATGAAGTTAGGTACTTTTTGGTTTTGCACCTCAACCTCTTGTTGAGGTTGACAGGCGTGGAGGGGTTGCATGGGTTTGAGATGCGCCTGCCGGTAGGGAGGTGTGGCAGGTGTGGAGGTCGGGTATGGGAGGGTCCGACAATGGGGAGGGGCTTCATGGTTGGGGATGGGCTGGCAGGGGTCGGAGGTACCATTGTGTGGTGGCAGTGGTGGGGCAAGAGGACGCGTTACACTCATGCTCCTCAAGTTGGCCCTTAATCCCTTACTTCAGCGCCAACTGTGGATGGTGACCCTGCAACAACTGCATAGGTCAGTACTGGGACTAAACCCCTTCGTAGGCTAGAAAAGATACAGATTAGACTGTGTTTTTTCCCACATCTAGCCCGAAATGCTGAGCGTATTAGTGGCTTTAGGCAGAGTATGTACTAGCTCTCTAGAAATCCAACATTCAGTTTGTAACTCATTTTGAATGTATGCACTGTTACCCGAATAACCGTTATTATTATATTATTATTATAGAAAAATAGGACTGAATGGCATTCTCTCTCTCCCCCCTCCCCACCCTACGACTAGTTTCCGTCTGCTGCGTCTCATGTAAATATGGCATCTCTTCTAGAGTAAATAGTATTGGCCTCTCTGGTTTCTTGCCCCGAGTGCCAGTTTAGTGTTGTGTGAGTGCCAGGTGAGAGGAGAGTGCCAGCATGAGGTGTAAGGAGGCAAGAGGTGGAGGCGTCGTGGTAACGGGGTCGCTGCAGCCGACGCTCCACAAGGGTAAACAAATCTGCGCGCCATCTTTTGAATGATATTCCAACTACAAATTTTTATGTAATTTTTCTATACCTCTACCTGTAACTACTTAAATCTTTGAAAACAGATGATATGTTCACCTGTTTATCTAGTAAATAAGGGTAAATCAGGAACGTGTGCCATTTACACTGTACCGTTAGGTTTCATAATCTGACTAAATTGACCTTCTTCGACCTTGACCTAGTAAGTGAGCGTGCTCGAAGCTTCTTGTATTTGGTTATTTTGATTAAATGTGCCTTAGAACATTTTTCATTACTAGAGATGGAGTAAAAATAAAGGTGAAATGTATGTGTGTTGTTTATATGTATACAAATTCAGGCAAAAAAAATATATATACAGTATATATATATATATATATATATATATATATATATATATATATATATATATATATATATATATATATATATATATATATATATATATATATATATATATATATATATATATTATATATATATAAATATAATATTTACTCACCTAGTTGTGCTTGCAGTGGTTGAGCTTTGGCTCTTTGGTCCTGCCTCTCAACTGTCAATCATCTGGTGTACAGGTTCTTCAGTCTGTTGAACTTTCATATGTTCATTTGAAACCATGTATGGAGTCTACCTCCACCACATCATAATGCATTCCATTTGTTAACTTCCTTGACACTGAAAAAGTTCTTTTTATCATCCCAGTGGCTTATTAAGTTCCGACCTGTAACCCCTTATCCATGTACCACCCATGCTAAATAACTTGTCTTTATCCATCCTGTCAATTCTTCTGAGAATTTTAAGTGGTAACCATGTTTGCCCTAACTCTTCTGTCTTCTGGTGGTGTGAGGTTTAGTTCTGGTAGTCTTTCCTCATAGCTCATGCCTCTCAGTTGAGAGACTAGCATGGTGGCATACCTCTTAACTTTTTCTGTCTTCATTTTGTGTCTGACTAGATGTGAACTCCATGCTGGAGCTGCATACTCCAATATTGGTCTGACATACGAGATACAGTACTGTATACAAGATTCTGAATGATTCCTTACACAAGTATCTAAAGTCAGTTCTTATGTTTGCCAACCTCACATATGCCACTGTTGATATCCTTTTGATAATGACTAAAGGGGACTGGTCTGGTGTGATGGCAAACTCCAGATCTTTCTCGCTTCCTGATTCCTGAAAGTAGGTTGGCAGTCCCCATGGCACAGTGGTAAAAGCACTCACCTGGCACTTTGCGAGTGTTTTAACCTGGGTTCGTATCCTGGCCGGGGAGGATTTACTGGGCGCCAATCCTTAACTGTAGCCTCTGTTCACCCAGCAGTGAATGGGTGCCTGGTTGTTAAATGATTTGACTGGTCGTATTCTGGGGAAAATTAGGATTAAGGACTTGCCTGAAATGTTTTGTGTACTAGTGGTTGTACAAGAATGTACAACTTCACTTCTTAGCACATTGTTTGTTCTCTGCCAACACTGGCAAAATTCTTTCTAATATTATTATTTAATTGATTATTTATTATTATAGTAGTATTATTAATATTATTAATATTTTTATTATCAACTTCAGACCATACACCCTGCAAAGTTGGGTAAGCTTAGCCCCAAGCATTTTGCTTCCGTCTTGGATAGACACACAGATATTCTCTTATATTAGTACAGTATATAGATTAGCACTTTATCAGCTGTCTTCTAATGTTATGGTAGTTCTCCCATTTTTGTTATTATGTACCATAGAAAATGGTCAGCATAAGTTTCTTCATTATCTTGTGATTATTATGAACTTCTGCAATAATTATGTAAATTATTAACCTGATCCTTCAGGATGGGTAGCTTCACATCCAAGCCTCAGATGGAGAGCGAGGAGGGAGAGGATGACCTGGTGAGTGTGCCAGATGGGGTGCTGGATCGGCAGGCATTGCTTCGCTGGGTCCAGGCCCCCCTTGCCCACCTGCCCCCACTCCTGCCCCGCGTCTACCGTCCACGACCCTCCCACGTGTCTGCTGCCAAGTCGACAGCCTCATCGCCAGCCACTACACCCACTATGAAGTCACCAGTTACTACACCCACTGCAAAGTCATCAGACACACAGGCCCATATACCATTGCCAGGCTCATTCCGGGTTATGCAGTGGAATATCCTTGCACAAGGTTAGTCTTCAAAGCTGTTTTTTTTGTGTGTTCACATGTACAGTACGGTACTGTGTGTATGTATTTGGAGATTGAGCTTCACCACATGGACCATACTTGACCATTAGTCAGAATTACATGTGTGTATTTACACATACAGTATATGTAAGTTTGTGTGTAAATTGAAAAGAAATTAATGCATGGTGTATAAGGTGAAATCATATGACTGTGAAGGAAATAGAAATAAGGAGTAGAGTACGTTTGTATACATTTCAATGCATCTTCATATGTAAAGTACTGTCAAAAAGCATAATGGGGTATAGTAGTATATATAGACAGAAATAGGATACCGATACCGTACTCATGTTACATGCATTAGCAATTTGTATTAAGGCAAATTCAATAAGTCTTCTACTTAAAATACTCTTACAATTGGTGATGGAACATGAGTCCTCCAAAATTAACTTTGTGAAAATTTCCAAACAAGTGTATAAATACATATAGCATTAGACATTTGGTCCCTTTTAACAGCATATTTGTATTGGAATTCTAAAATTCAAATTGTTGAAGTTTTTCCTATATGGTATAATATGGACAGCATTGCACTCTTTACATGGCATTTTGTAAATTGCAGTTATCACTAAGAGGACTATTGATAGCTAGTAATTTACCAATGTTGTATTCATAATTAAATATAACATGTACAGTAAATCAAATAATTTAAAGGCATTGACAAATTTGTCATAACCAGACAAATATGTCGACAGATTTTTAAATTAACTTTTCTCACTTGTGCTTTTGCTAAGGCAGGTCTCCTAAAAATGAACACAGGTAAGAAAGTTTGTATCCAATAGATGTATGTAATGTACATGTGTGTTATTGAATATGACCGAGTGGATTAGAAGAAATCGTCTCTATATTCTTCACTTATATATATATAAATATATATAGAGATAATATTATTACAGATGCCTGCCTACCTTGCTTAGATTGGTTGGGAAGAGCAACCAATCAACATGTTAAGTACAGTATAAATGCCTAATTAACACACTCAAGTGTCCTCTATATCGTCAAGGATCTAGAGTACTATACCAGTTCTGATCTTAAATGCTGCTTTGAGAGCTTCAACAGAACTCATAGAAATCACACATGAAACTAGTATTGGATTGGTATTCGAAGAAGCCAACTCATCCAAAGCGGAAATGGCATGCAATAAAGAAACCTAAATTGTTGGATAGCTTCCCAGATGCAATAAAATGCTGTACCACCATTTACTAATTTAACAAAGAAACAGAGGTACCTAACTGACATATACTGAAGATGGTCCCATGCTGGGTTGAAAGCACTTGAGCATTCCTGCACCTTTCAGTGTGGTTAACTGCAGCATATTGATGAAATAATATCTATCACACCAAATAGCATAGATGATCTAAATAAGCAAATTCTTTTTTTACTCTAAAAATACTGCAAATGTATTACTGTGTTGTAACAAGTCCTATTAAAACAAATATTTATCACAAAAGCTATAGAATCTGAAGTGACATAATCTACAATGTTTAGCATTAAATATCAATCTAGAAAACTATGTCATTAGTTAAACTTAAGTTTTTATTTACATATATGTATGTTAGCTTGCATACTCTTAGTTTTAAGCATTCCCATCAAATGTATTCTCAACAAACACCATTGGTTTCTCATTGTTGGGAACAGGTAGCCAGTTCGACATACTGAGTTCCCCGCTGGATAATGACTTGATTTCCGCAGGATGCAATCTGCAGCAGCTGTATATTCATGTGTACCCATTTACTGCTATATGAGCAGAGCCATCAGGTGTAAGGACATGTTGCCAAATGTCTTACATTGCCTAAGAATTGAACTTAAGGTTGTATCTTGTGGGTGTATAAAATTATGAGTGTATTATTATTATTATTATTATTATTATTATTATTATTATTATTATTATTATTATCATTATCATTATCATCATTATCATCATTATCATCATCATCATCATCATTGTTGATATTTTGTTATTGATGAATTAGTTTGGTTCTAAAATTTAGCATGGTGCTTCAGTTTGACTATATCTTTATGGGAATGCTTATATCTGTATGCTCACAACGTGAGAACAGGTAAGCAGTCACCAAAAGCAGAATGAATTTTAGAATTTTAGAATTGCTTTTAGAATTCCAATACAAATATGCTGTTAAAAGTGACCAAATGTCTAATGCTATATGTATTTATACACTTGTTTGGAAATTTTCACAAAGTTAATTTTGGAGGACTCATGTTCCATCACCAATTGTAAGAGTATTTTAAGTAGAAGACTTATTGAATTTGCCTTAATACAAATTGCTAATGCATGTAACATGAGTACGGTATCGGTATTAGGGGGCTTCGTAGCCTGGTGGATAGCGCGCAGGACTCGTAATTCTGTGGCGCGGGTTCGATTCCCGCACGAGGCAGAAACAAATGGGCAAAGTTTCTTTCACCCTAAGTGCCCCTGTTACCTAGCAGTAAATAGGTACCTGGGAGTTAGTCAGCTGTCACGGGCTGCTTCCTGGGGTGTGTGTGTGGTGTGGGGAAAAAAAAAAATAGTAGTTAGTAAATAGTTAATTGACAGTTGAGAGGCGGGCCGAAAGAGCAAAGCTCAACCCCCGCAAAACACAACTAGTAAACACCAATTTCAAATTTTTAACAGTAGGCTACAATAGTACTGTACTTCATTTTTACTTGAAATATTGCTGTACCATTTGGAACCTGTTACAGTAACTGGAACTTCCCATCAGAAGGACACCAAACTCAGTCTACTTGACATTTTGTGGGTTTCTAGAATTAAAAATGATGTTCAAACCTTCATTTTCTCTCAGCACTTGGAACGCATGCAGACAACTTTGTTAAATGCCCTCCTGCAGCTTTGGAGTGGAAAACCCGAAGGTACCGCATTCTAGAGGAAATCATCACCCATCAGCCACACATCATTTGTCTTCAGGTAAGAAATCAGAAATCCATTCTTTCAGTAGATTGTTTCATATTCCAACATCTCTTGTTTCATAAGTCTGTTAACTTTGTTATTAAATGACATTTTATACATGGTCTCTAATGACCTTTTTTCTCATTATAGGTGTAATAAGGTAGCTTATTATTTTGTTAGTGATGTGTCTTGGTACATGCTTTTCCATTTTCTTGGTTTCATTTTTGTTTGTTTATTTAATGTATTTATGCTATAAGAATTTAAGAATGAAGGTAACTGCAGAGGGCCTATTAGCCCATACGAGGCAGCTCCTATTTATAACAACCCAATTCCACTCATATACATGTCCAACCCACATTTGAAACAATCAAGGGACCCCACCTCCACCACCTTATGTGGTAATTGATTCCACAAATCAACATCCCTGTTACTGAACCAGTACTTGCCCAGGGCTTTCCCAAATAAACACACATTTTCCTGCAGGAGGTGGATCACTATCGGGTACTGGAGCGAGTTCTGGATGCACAAGGGTACCAGGGACTCTTCATGCCAAAGCCAGATTCTCCATGTCTTTATCTACCTAGCAACAGTGGCCCAGATGGCTGTGCAGTTTTTTGGGATAACAACAGGTTTAAACTTTTGGCGAAGGAGACACGCGTAGTGGAAGTATGGCACGTGCAGAGTAACCAGGTGGGTGATACACAAGCTGTAGGTTATCTGTGGTGTGTGTTGTGTTGTGTGTGGAGTGACCAGATGCATGGATTTGAATAGTGTGTGAAGATGTTGTAGTGATTTTGGTAACTAAATGAATATGGATTGACTACAAAAAAATTATTTTAGCATTCTGCTTTTTTCAAGCATGTCACAGTCAGCCTACACAATGGCTTGGGTTCTAGGCCTCCAGTCCAAATTCTATCAGGTTAATAACAGGCCTTGGGAAGGACACTGCATTTCTCGGTACTTTCCTATTTATGTATTATAACTTCCAAACCCCATAATACAGTATATAGATATAAATAATAATGTAGTTAATGATTGCATATTTCTGGGAATCAAGACGATATACAGTATTGATAAATGTGTAAATATAAGAGCAGTGCATGACGTGAGCCAAATTTACTATATTTCATAATTTGTGATGGAATTCTTTTATCATATCATTCTATTGGCAGCTATATGCATACGTTCGTTGTGTATGGTATATTTAATTTCTGCATAGAGATATTATTTTCACTTAGTAGCCCACAGAATTATGGACAGTGCCTACTGGTATACATATGGCAATTTAATAAAGTAGAAAAAAGAACTCCTCCCTGTAACACTATTCTCAAGAAAGAGCAGAGAAATGAATGTTGCTAGTGGTGTTTTTACCTTGTATATTCTTAGGAGGCCTAGACACAGGTGACACTGAAAAAAGACATTTTTAAATGTTTGGTTATGAAAGTTAATATGAAAATTAATATTTAGATAATGCAAAGGCTATACAGGTATTACCATCCTTGCAATACTTTTTACTTTTATGTTTTGAAAGTAAATATGTTTGAAGTGTCATTGCCTAGTCTTTTAAAGCTTGGTAGAATGAAAAAAAAAGTTTTACTTTCCTAATTCAATTATTGAAACGAATGTCTTGCAAAGATTCTCTGTTCATCTTCCTTCTAAAAGTTTTACCTTGTAATGTAGTAGAGGTGCACTGTCAATCAGGTCCCCCCTTTATGAGGTGATCAGATAGAATCTCCACTGTAATGCCAGTAGACAGGACCTACTATGTGACGCCAGCAGAGAGAACCTCCTCTGTGATGCCTGTAGACAGGGGCCGCCTCTGTGATGCCAGTAGACAGGGGGGGGGGGGCCCTCTGTGATGCCAGTAGACAGGGCTGCCTCCATGATGCCAGCAGACATCACCATCTTTGTATAGCTACTCTAGCACTTCTCAACTCTCATATTTCCACAAAAGGTTATAAATGTGTAATTTCAGCTATATATATACAGTATATATTCAAATACATAACATACACACTATACTTTTCTTAATATTATTCTGTCATTTCACTTGCATTTTCTCTTTTCTTACACATTTGTTTTCCAATTTCATCTTTACTAGTGGTTCTTTAAAGTTCAAACATCGTACAACCCCTCTATATTTTATGTATTGTTTGACATTTACATCATTATTGCAAGATGAGTGAAGTACCTGTGTGTGTGTATCCCACTCAAGCATTGGCATGCATTGGTAAAGTTTGTTTCAGATGAGGTGAATATTTGATGTCATCATGTTCTGTGGAATGCTCTCTCCAAAGGTATGTTTACTTTTGAATGAGTTCAGAAAAGCTCTAACTAGTATTCAGTATGTAGTTCTTGTACTTGTATGGTGATGGGAATATTGGCTCAGGATTTTGTAGTCTGTGGGATTATAGAACTTCATATGGTCATTGGGAATGTGCTGTACATGTAGTCAGTGGAATATATATACATACAGTACTGTGTGTGATATACACACATATACAGTTATACAATAGTGTATATAAAAATATATATATAATATATATATACAGTATATATATATAAATATTTATTTACAGTATTTGTTTAATAAATGCTTGCATTTTCTTTACACATAATCACACAATATATGAAACATCCTTGAAGATTTAACTGTCAGGTTGTCATACATTGTCTTCTTGAGAATAGTTCTCTGATAACTGTGTGACAGTACGTACTGTCTTTACTGTATATCCATCTTCCTTCATTCTCGGTATGATAGTCTAACTTGAAACACTTAGAAACTAATGATTTAATTGTATTAATGAACAGTTGTGTAAGGTTAAAATCTTTTAAGTTGAGGTGGGGTACTCGTTACAAAGTTTAGTGTTTGATACTGTACTGTATTCTTTAACTGGGTTTATTAGGTTTTATATCTGCTGCAGATTATTTTATTTTTCTAATACTTTACAGTAAAATCTTGTTGTTATTTGGATCAGTTAAATTGGGACTGAGCTTCCCTGGTACTGTATAAACCAGTTCTGTTCTGTATAAACTGTTTTTTAAAAAAGGGTTTATTACTTATATAATGGAACATGTATTTATATATATATTTTTTTAATAACAAAATTGCATGCAATTTTAATATAATAAACCAACCAGTTTTTCTGATCTATACTGTATGCCAAGACGACTCAGACTCCACTCGCACCATTTCTTCTGGAAGCTGCACAATGTTAGGGAGGCAAATGTACCGAACGATGCACATAATCCAGTGCTCGTCACGAGTTCATTTCCCTTCAGTTAGTATCTTAGCAAATTTTCTTTGCTTAGATGAGAATTTGTAATTTGTTTAGTCATGTGGAACATGGTGTGTCCTCTGCACTGTAGACCATGTGTATGTACCTCTTTACTCTCTAGTTTAGGTTGTGTGTGTTTTTGTTAAGCTTAATGTGAAAGTACAGTTCTGTGGTTTTATGTTACTTAATATAACAGCAATTTTGCACATAAATGTCATAATAGATATCATATTGTATATTGAGAAACTAATTATTTGTCTACTGTAAAATATGTGCAAGTTTTCTGTTCTGAGTAAGGTATACCTTATACTGTACCAAAGGTTCATGAGGAAGCTATGTGCAGTATTTTAGATTGAAAATGGGATACACTCTTCTAGAGACATGAAGCCCCTTAACCACTGTACTGCACCAAACAACAAATGCTGTTTTGAGAGTTGTCCATTTTTTTTTAATTAGGCTATATTTTAATGTTTTTTTAACGTTCTCATCACTCTTTGTGTTTTGAAATTAAAATAGTTGAGTGTGGAAATATTTTGACATTAACTTTACCTCAACATTTATAAAAACAACAAAAATATGTCCTTGACAATTGCACTACAAAGTTTTTGTCAAAAAGAGGTGCGCAGTACAGGGGTTAACTTGTCAAGGCTCCCCTTAACCTAGGGCAAAGCTGTTTCTATTTGGTCTCCCATTCTGTTTCTAGTCATATGTAACCATACTTAACCCGAGCATACAACAAGCACATCGCACAAATTGCCACACCAATAGCAGACTTGCCTCTGTCATTAGTTGTTTTTGTGATTGTTATGTTCTTATAAGGTCTAGATTCAATGAAGTTGAGAAAATGCTATAATTTTAATGGTACACTGTATATGCACATTTATGATTGAATAAAATATCAAAGTCCTATTAGAATGTCATTGTTGCAGGTAGCTATACTATTGGTACTTGAGGAACGAACGACAGGAAAGCAACTGGTGGTGTTGACGACCCACCTGAAGGCACGGCAGGGAGCACTGCTGTCAAGTCTTCGTAATGAGCAGGGCAAGGACCTCCTTTCATTCTTGAATGAGCACAGGCAGGTTCGGCCCACCATTGTGTGTGGAGATTTTAATGCCGAGCCAAGTGAGCCAGTGTATACTACCATGATCGATGGAACAACAGGACTGGAGTCGGCGTATGCCCTCTTAAATGGTGGGAAGGAACCGCAGTATTCGACCTGGAAAGTAAGAGGGGACCAGGACTGCTGTCATAACATAGATTACATCTTTTACACACCCGTGAGTCTTCATGTGGAAGGTGGTCTTGATGTTCCCACAGAAAAAGCTATGGGACCTGGACGAGTCCCAAACCTGTCTTATCCATCTGATCACTTCTCACTTGTCTGTGATTTTACCTTTTTGGCTGACAAGGACACCAGAAATGATACGAGCTCACTTGAAATTGGTAGTAATATATCACCAGTTGTGTACCAGACTCATGCTAGGTCCTGACTACAAATAATTTAAAATCTATTTGTGGCCTTTAGAATTTTATTGTATAATGTTGAATAATATAAATACTAATGTATAAATAGTACAATATAATGTCAGAAAATAATAGTTGAATCTTATAAATTTGTAAACAGTGATATGTAATTAGAGTATTTGCAACAAGAGTCCAAGGTAGACTTGCTCACCTTTGCATACATATACAGGCTAGGGACTTGACACACATTTTGCTTTTAATGTGTTGTGAGGTAAGTTTTAACCTGGAGTATATCCAGGTTACTGGGGTCTACTGTAAATATCTCATTGTAGTATAACTTGGCCAGTACCTTCAGTGAGGGAGATGTATTCTCGGTTGCTGATCTGTATGGTCTCGGTCAGCCACAAGTGCTTCTTTTGAGTCATGAACGCTGTTAAGTCTGTTCTTGATAGATTTTGATCTTGTTTTACCTTGGTGAACAGGTGTCGAGATCATTGTTGGTCTGTTGTGCTCTCATTTTATTTGAACACTTCCCATTTTAATATTTATTTTCTAATTTCATAATGCAGATTAGACTCAGCACATTAAGTACCCTCAGTTTACTACATTCGTACATTACTATTTGCCCTGTTTCACTCTTCCATAAGTTGGGAAGGCATCAATCTGGAGAAAGGAGGTCATTAGGATAGTGAAAGAAGATTATAGATAAAAATATATACTATTACTCGTTTGTTTATTATATCATTTACAATGTATAGTATCATGGACACACAAGCACCATTACACAGCAACATCCCACTTCTTAAGGACTGGTATGCAGTGCTCCTTGGGAATCATCCCAGCATAGTACTGTATATACAAATGCATTCACTCTCTCCATGCAAACTGTTTCCACCAAACCTTGTCACATACCATTTCCCATTCATGGTTGACACTTGCTTCCCTTTATACAATATAAATCCCTTGTGTGAACCTATATTAGTTTGTCATGTTGTATATTATACCATTAACTCTTGCCAACATGCACTACTTCCTACAACTGCTCTAACATCCACCTCTATTAACTTTATGTTTTTTTCCTTGTTAATAATGCCATGTTCAACATACTTGTCTTCTCCACAAGTTGTCTGAATGCAAATTTGTGATCTACACATCCTCTTCAACCACAGAACTTACCTTTTTCATCACTGAGCAATTTCCCAGTAGTTTACTGTACTCTCCCAATCTGCATAAAAACCATATACTTTGACTACTACACTTAGTAAACACATACTATAGTTCACAGTTGCTGCATTCCACTTAATTTTTATATAGTGCATATACACTATACCTCATCAGCTTATGCCCTACTTATGTGCATACTTGCTCTCTCACCCATGTCCCCTTATCCTCCCTCGTCACCATCCCTACCTGTATAACTCTGTTAAGGACAGGAAGCCTGTTAGATCTATCAAGGTCTTGCTAGCCAAGGGTAAGGCTGTCTGCCTGGTTACCCATCCAGTGCTGACCTCTCCTTGACTAACCCAGTGACGTGCACTGTGCTTCACAATTGCTACGTTTTGACCCCTCCCTGAATTCCAGGCCTGCATTGGACAGTATAATACTTTACATTGTACAGCAATGTTCAGTGTCTTGAAAAATTAAACTTGCTTTAATATCAAAGATCAGTGTTCAATATCACTGATCTTTAATATCATTGTATATATTCACATACAGTACATTATATATTGACATACATTTATATATATTGTATGCACACCTTAATATTGGTGCAGTATACAAATTCCTTACGTTTTCCCAAAGCTACTGAATATTAAGTTAGATACATGAAATATTGCTATGTTTTGACCCTTCCATACTTAATTTTTTTTAATTAAAACTTTGAATATGGCATTATTGTAAATTGTACAACAATGTTTGGTATTTCCAAATATTAATCTTGCTTTAGTTCATCACTGATATCACTGATTGTATATCACTGATTGTGGACATCATTGTATATACTATATACACATACATTTATATTTTTACACTTAAATATGTCTACAAATACCTTAGCTTTTCCACAGCCACGAAACACTAAGGTAGCTGCATGAAATATTGCAAAGTGAACAACTGTAGTGTGCACCATGCATTCCTACCATGGTTACCTGCACGTGAACGTGTCCGCTAACGTTTTAGTATTGTCAACCAGTCTTGGAGGGAGGCATGAAGTCTGGCTGGGTCACTGTCTAGACATAATTAATGTAGAATTATAATTATAATAGAATGACTGTCTCTGTGACAATCCTAAGGCCAGAAGTATTTAATCTTGAGCTTTGATAGGAAAGTGTCTTGCTCAACGGCACCCCTCAAATTAGAGTGCCTGAATTCATACTATAGAAAATACAAACTGGTATTTTGCCTGGTCATGGGGTTCAACTTCCCCGCTGCGTGTTGGGAGCTCTGTATCGACCACTTCAGTCATCAGAGCATTTAGCCCCAAGTCTCTGTACTTTTAGCTGTACCCAGCTGAAACCTTTCATATACACACTGTATTTCCTTCTACATTCAATCTTTATGAATACATTGCCACTAATGTGAATATTATTACTGTTATAATGCTTTAATATTAACTCTTGATAACATCAGGTGATATCTTCCTATGCATAGCTTAGGATATCAACATATCAACAACATTTCCTAATTTTGTAATAATGATATAATAATAACAGTATTAATAAAAAAACCTCCATTGGCACACAGACCTAAGTATTATGCTGTGTTACTTATTGTGGCAACAATATTCCTCACCTTGTACATCTTCACCTCAAGTCTCACACCCACATTACTCTTCATTGTAAGGGCTTTTCTTGCACATGACTCTTTTTACACCAGGCAGCGGTCAGGGCAGCTAGCCCACAGGATGCAAAAACATTGTCATCCTGGGAAGATCAATTTGGAATTATCTCTGATTTTGATAGTCTAAATACCAGGCTGGATAAGTAATTGTTTTTGCTTTGATGATTTGAGAATTGTAGAAATCAAAATGTATGCTAAATGTGTAAAATTTTAGCAGTTTTTGTTAGTGTGATGCAAGATCACTTAATTAATAAACTATCATGTACTTATAATTGCATGGTTATAGAAATACTATAGTAGGAATATAGACAGTAGTATCATGGTTATAGACAGTATTGCCTTGTCCATGGGTTCACACTGCCTTAACCTTTAGGGTGTATTTATATGTAAATTGTATGTTAATGCATTCCACATGCTCATTTTAGTACATTCACTCAACCTGCTGTACATAAATAATGACTAAAGCAATAATTTACATTAAATATAACTTGCACAGTATATTAAAAGCACTTGTAGGTATGACCTTATTTGTGTGTCTGATTTAATTATGTGTGCATAACTAATTATACAAAACAAAATTGATTTTCATAGGACTATGGTGTCCGTGTCATTATCATTGCATTTGAAATTAATTCAACGTGTTATTTTATTTGGCGGAAAACAACTGTATGTATTTGTTTGGACAGTCGGCCTGACTCATTGTGTAATGTATATTTTTTTGTTAAAGATTTTATTGGTAAGTTATTTAAAAGTTTTCTTTAACAATGACTGTTCTGAGGCATTTTATTTGAAGATAATTAATTTTCAAAATGCAACACTTTACTGTAATACAGTACTAGATTGTTATGAGATTGGAAAAATTACATTACGTATATAAGTAATTTTATGAAACTTGTACAGTGATTTGAGCAAGTTTATGGTAAACACAGTAAATAGAATAGTTAAGAGTTACATTACTGTAGTGGGATTGATATTTGCTTGGTAACTTTACTTTAAAGATCAATTTATTGTCAAAGGTTTGATGTGTTGAGAATGTAATCCTCAACATTTTCCTGTAGCTTGTTAGCCTTGAATACTGGTAGGTATGGAAATAACATGTAGTGGTGTAGGCCTTAGCTGCTTAAATGTTTTAAGAAGTTTTAAATGTTTTCGGTGCAGCAAACAAGGCATTAAGGCTATAGAGATGAAGTAGCCGTTTAAAGACCAAACCCAATACTTTTAGTTTGTGGACCATGAAAGCTCTATATTTATTATGCTCAGTAATATCTTGAGATGCATGTGATTATTAGTCAGTGCTTGGTTAGTAGTCTCTCGTTTGTTTACATGTGATTATTAGCGGCTGTGCTTGGTTAATAGTCTCTTGGTTCGTTCACATCATCTCATTAGCTTGAATTGCTGTTTGAATCAAAATTTTGGTATGTACATTCAGTATTTATTTACACGTGATACTTAAGCTTGTCTTCAAAATCCTCAACAGCTACACCATTGTTAACAATCAATTTTTGCTTGTGAAATGGTGTTTGCAACTGGTGATTCCTTATGATAGAGCCTTGACAGATCTCTCTTCACATCTGAGGTAATTTCTTGTTTAAAGTATTTGTTATCCAGCAAATTCTTTCAGCTACTCTCAAATGTAATATATTTTAAGGATTAAGATCAAAATGCATTACTGTATGATTTTTAGTGTCTAACATAAAAATTGGATAACGTAATTAAACAAAAACTTGTAACAATTACAGCATTATAAAAACTACAAACATGCTAAGTCAGTTTATAAACATTATCAGCTCATAATAATATAAATAATACAGTACAGTATTACTGTAGAAAATAGTACTTGCAAACATTGAATGTACAGTGAGTTTCATTTTCTTGTAGCGTACTCTATTGTACTATATTTATGCAAAGCCAAGGCCAATAATGCACACAGTGTTTTGCTTAAGTCTTAATCTTAGATTAAGGAATGTAGGTAATTTTGTGTTGGTTGTATGATCAGAATGCACTTATGATAATCTGAAAACAACACTGTACAATATATGAGGCAGTAAATACTTGGGTTAGTGAATGTTACCATAAGAAGGATTGACCTTTATATGTACTCTTGTCTTTGATTGAATGCTTTAAATTTATCAGTACAGTAATATCTTTGCTAGTTTCAAATTATATATTAAAGTATTGTATAAGTTAATGGGTTGTCCGTTACCATTACTCTGGCAGTGGTGTATTTAAGTGTGTGTGTGTGTGCGTGTGTGCGCGTGTGTGTGTGCGTGCGCGTGTGTGTGTGCGTGCGTGTGTTGCTCGCTGTCATGTGTACAATGCCGTGTTGCCACCGCTGAAAGCTGCTAAAGTGTTTTTTCAATGTAGTTTTAATGGTAATATTTATAAATGTGATAATGGAGATTCTGATAAACTTTTCTGCTATGTGGAAAAGAATCAGATGTAAGTAGAGTAAGAGAATCTTTCTATATTGGTACAGTAATTTCCCTTCTAAATTTATTTTAGACATTTAAGTTACAGTACGTAATTGTATTACAAGAGATTAGATGTTCAAATTAAGTTAGTTTTTACGAAAGCAAATTTATGAGGATAATTAAATTTGCTGTCCATGCGTTGTATTAAATATTAACATGTCCAAGACAGCGTGGTCCATCTTTGATGCGTTGTGGTTTCTCATGTAACCGTTTGTGTCCAGTGCTGGTGTGCACAAGTGTACTATTTCTAATGCAGCTCAAACATGCATGTTTATCTCTGGGGGTTCGATATTGCTTCTTTGGCTGTAGGATTAGTATCTCTTAAGTGTTGCAAATCAATCATTAGAAGAATCCATTACATCTTTGTTTGAATCCTCAGCACATCCAGTCCATATTACCAGTGCACCCGACCCATGTTTGAACCCCCAGAACCCCCAGTACACACATCCCATACCATGTCATCTTCAGCATCTGATCGATTTGAGGAATCTAGGAGCTCATATAAGGTGTCCAATTCTGACATCAACAGTAGTAGTGGTTCATCTATTAATAATGATAAAAAATGGCAAAATAAAAATGATTCACTGTTTGCTATAAACAAATCCACAAACAGATTGTGATGAAGCAGGAGCAAAAGCCAGAGTTTGTATATTTTGTAAAGATGGTGTTGGACAACCACCAGTGTGCCTACCATTTAAATATACTTATACAGATTTTTATAAATCTGTAAAAACAAGTCTTATGGCTTAAAGTTTTCCTGCTATTTATTTTTTGTCAGTGTAGATTGTTAGTGTGAGAATTTTAATACATAAAATTTCTGATTGATGTTTCACCTGTAATTACCTAAGTGTAGTTACAGGACTAGAACTACACCCGTGGTGTCCCGTCTTCCCAGTACATTATTTTGTCCTATAACGCTTTGAAACTGCTGACGGTTTTGACCTCCACCTTCTCACTTAGTTTGTTCCAACCGTCTACCACTCTTTGCAAAAGAAAATTTTCTAATATTTTTTCAGCTCCTCTGTTGCCTTAGCTTGAATCTGTGTCCTCTTGTTCGTGAAGTTGCTGGTTTCAGAAATTCTTGTCAATTTGGTCTATTCCTGTTAGTATTTTGCAAGTGGTGATCATATCACCTCTTTTGCTTCTATCTTCTAGTTTTGGCATGTTTAATGCGTCTAGTCTCAACTCATAACCTATTTTTCAGTTCCAGAAGCCATTTTGTAGCATGCCATTGCACCATTTCCAGTTTATTTATATACTTCTTGAGATTTGGGCACTATACAAATGCAGTGGTACACCTAGAGAGAGTTACCATTCCTACCAATTAGTAGTGCTATCAAACCCCCAGAAACACAGAGATGAATTAGAAACAGTACACTCAGGTGCACTACTGCTGGACACCAATGGCTACGCAAGAGACCCACAATGTACCACCAGTGGAGCATGATTTTGTGAGCGTGTTAGTGTAGACTACCTATCAACCATGGCTAAATGCCATTTGATCTGTGTACAAAGTCTTTGACAATTTTAAACCAATATTTTGAGTTCTTTTTAGATAAAAAGTTTAATATAACTGAACTCTCATTTTATCCCTTTACCTGTACCTTCATTACATTTTCTAAATGTAATTTTAACTTTCCAGGTGTTTTCTTTTATTATATCTATTACAAGATGACATGCAGAAGAGCTACTGACACATGTAACTTCAAATCATTATATTCATAAGAGGAATATTAGATTTTATGAAATGTTAAATAAAATTTTGTTTATCAGTTCTTGTTATGGTGATAGACTAGTAGCCATTTAAAAAATGCATTTAAATTGACATATTTTAGCATTTAATGTATGTTACATTTACATTTGAGTATCAAATGCATACATGCATCTCTCACTTGAGGCAGCAACACTTATCATTGTTAATCTAGTTTGGATGCAACATGGGTCCCTGAGTCAGTCATGTGACACCACCAGCATCACCTCTGCTTCCTCTTTTCTTCCTTCTTTGTGTACATTATTAAGTACAGTGACAGAACACTTAATCTGTCTTCGTTATAGAATAATCCATGTCTATGATGGAACCCTTCGTAACTATCTCCATTAAAGAACAATTCATTGATGGCCTGTGATAGAACCTTCCATATCAGAACTCTTCAGAACTCATCTCATTCAACTTCAAGATGCTCAGATCAGGATATTCAAAGGTAAGATTATTATTTCCTTATATTTGTTATATAGGACAGCACAGTTTACAGTACAGTATTTATATAGTAAAATACTGTACTGTGAAGTTTTGAATGTGCATGTCGAGTTGTTTCATTCATGTTGTGGTGTGTAACCTTATTATACAGCAAAGTACTCTGATTCAATTCATAAACTTACATAAAGCAAGATTTATTAGTGCCACAGTGTTTATGGCATTATTATGAGTCATATACTGCTTAGGAGGTATTGAGAGGGCTTCTATTAATGTTATTGTGAGTGCTTCACTGATCAGGGCATTTTTTGGTTATGTTGCTGGAGGAGAAAAACAGGTTTCATGTGCTATAGACATTTCTTCCTTCAGGTGGAGTACAGTCAACTAAGGAATTTCTAGTCACTGACACTAGCTGGCAAATTATAATGTGGTTGTCAGTGCAGTTGGCTCACAACTCAGTGGTACTGTGGGAGATTCCTGTATAAGATGAAAAATGTTAACATGTACAAGATTCCTATGTTACTTGGCAGTAAATGGGCACACGAGTGTTAGGTAACTGATGCAGGTTGCATCCTGGATGAGGTCCAGGATGGTCTAGGTCAGGGGGTTCTTAACCTATATAAGATTACAAAAACCCTGATGTAAGTACAACGGGCTCACTGTAGCCCGTGCTGCTTGGAACTTTTTGTTCAAAGTACAGTACAGGTGTATATAGAAATAATAATCTATTATCATAGATTAATAGATAATAAAAATAATCTTATCTCGAGTTCTGAGATAATAGTAAGCTGTATGTAAAACAACCACCTGATGGCCATGTCACTCCCTCAAGGGAGGATGTAATGGTATGAGGGTATGCACCCATACCTGCCCCCTCCCAGACTGTTGAAGTTACCACCAGTTCTGTACGTACTAGTTCGACTTCAAAAGATGTCAGTAGGTTGATTTTACTTTACATGTGGATGACTAAAACAGAACAGATGGAAGAAAATCTTAAGGATTTTATTATTTATATATAGGAAAATGGTAAATCCCAAATACACTAGCTAGCTACAACTAGTGATATTTTTGCCAAATTTAATACAATGAAATCATGAGACCAAGATAATTGTAGTCTTATTGTCAATAACTAACTTTTAAAAATTGTTCAGATAGTCCCATACCTCTATTATTTGGTTCTCATATCCCTAGGGTATGCATACCCACAATTAAGAACCCCTGATCAAGGTGAACCTCTAAGCCTAACTGGCTTCTTGCGCCTCAACAATGGGAACTTAATGTGTTTAGCAAGGTAGCATTACACATGGATGAGTTTGAAAATTTCAATTTGATTAAAATGGTCATTTAGTCAGCATCAGATAATGGTACTAAAAATATACCAAGTTTGTAAACAGAAGTAATCCTGAAATGTTGCCACTGATACACTTTCAACACCAGTTCTGTCAACATGTTGATGGCCTATTCTTGGCGATGCTTGAATGCATTTTTAGCTTATTGGGAAATTTGTTCTAGCTGTTGACAAAAGCATTTATAAATCTGTCATATCAGCAGCAAAAGATAATAGAAACCTGATCTCATAATAATTTTAATAAACATAGTATTAGTGCTTGATATTATGATTTGCTGGGGCTTGACTATTATCCAGAACTGTATGTAGTGAATACTGTGTAAATAGATTCCTTAAGTCACAAAGATGTTTTAGTTTACAGACAAGCACAAGTAGGCAAGAAAACACCGTAGCCAAGTTCAGCATGCTCCCAAATGACTCGTTTCAGGATACACAAATATCAGTTTAAATATTAATGTTTTATTCATAATGTTAACATGCATAAATACGTAAGTACATTTTTTATAATGGGTATATACTGTGTATTAAAACAGTTAAATGGCACAACTTCCTATTTTAATAAGTACTGTACATGTTGCTTTGGGAACAACATAAACGCTGAACTATTTAACCTCAGAGTAAAGAAAATGGATCATAATTACCAGTTTGGAGTGAGGTGCAAACTTGATAATTGTAATATGGCAAAATGAGAGGTGGCCACTGCTGAGAACACAGTAATGATAGTAAATGCATAGTGTTGAAGAAGCACAAAGTGCTGACAACACTGAAGACAAACATCAAGATGAGAGTAGACTATTTGTAGATAGTGTGTAGGTTTGTAAATTATTTCATCATAGCATGTATGTAGTGTCAACAGCAACAAAGCTTTTCATAAGAGAACTTGGTGGCAGCACATAATGAACTTTAGTATCCCTGAACTTGTCAAAGAAAACAACATGATTTATGACACTCATTCCAGAGTTAAGTCGACTAGCAGATCAGGAACAGTTAAGGGCCACAGGGCTAACAAACCAGGTATGACAGGGCGGATCTTATTAAAACGTTTAAAATACAGTACTGAACAAGTTGGAGAATGTTGATCCGGAAAATTTCTTCAAAAGGTCATATGTAATACAAACAAAGAGCAATGGTTTCAAGCTCAACAAGACACAATGTAGGACTGAGAATAGATGCTTTTTTACCAACAGGTTTATAAACCCATGAAACTGTCTACCCGCCAAAGCCATTAATGCCAAAATAACTATTGGGTTTTAAAGTACAGCTGGAAAAGATGAAGGTAAATGGAGGGATCTTTGACAAGCCGCTGGCTTCCTATCCTCGTAGAGGCCAATAGTGTTAGCAAGTCTCAGGAAAACAAAATTAGGAGACTATGGAATCTTGCAACTACCGAATACTACTCCAGGGAACAAAGTAAAAAGTTTCAGCATTGTTACATTTTCCATGAACACTAGCCCTGTGTATCTGTTGGATTTGTTGACATTTTGCTGTAAAGGTTTATCTACAATTAATCTCTTCTTGCCTTGGTGTTTTTTGCCTATATTATTCTAGAAATCAACATCTCGAGTAGATGTTGGTTTACCTACACAGGCACAGGGTAAGTCAGTGCCTGCTTCTTTATTATTGTACACATCTAGCACAACCCAACGATCACAGATTTTCTTCATTAGAGGGATATGTATGTATATATGTAAATACTTTACTGGGTAACATATATCACAGCTTATCAGCCCTGAAAACATCTTGCAAAATGAAATATTCACTAGGCTTTGCACATGCTACTCTTGTCAGTGGCTAAGCATCACGCCTTGATAAAGAAATAGTACATCAATATATAATGATGTAACCCACCATTAAAGAGTAATGCTCATGGCATGCATTCTGACATTAGAAAAACTTTTATCCTTTAATTTCAAATTATGTTCATGAATGTCCTCCTATAGGTATAATCTGGCCAGACAAATTGCTACTTTTATAATTTGGGGTCGGTAAGTCTTGGTCACGATGGTAATGAAAATACTGTAGTTTGAACACTTTACAAAACCTTGTCAATTCATTATACCTTCTATTGCTAAAGCATCCATTAAACAACCCAATACACTGTACTGGAGTAGGACTAGATGTAGATTACCTGTTTGCAATATCTATCAAATCAGAACATACACAACAGTTACTGTAATCGTTTTCCCCAGTAACTAAGTAGGTATGGCGTACATCTCTCTGAATAGAAGATTCTACTACTAGTTCATACTACCATACATCAGTCACTGTTGGTTGATGGTCTTCTTTATTCAGTCTACAGTACTGTGCTTCATTTTCTATAATATCACTGTATAGGAACAGTGACTCATCACCTTCCAATGATTTTGGTTAATTTAAATGTTTATATTAGTGATATATTTGTCAGCTTAAAGAGTCAGTATTTAGAATTATTGTGCTGTGAAGTTTTCCCTTCCTATGTTAGTGATCTGGGTGTTTCATCACCCCTGCACATACATTAAAAAATAATTACTAAGATTTTGTAGTTAAGAAATTACAAAATTGAATTATTATTGGTGCAATTTAATTACTATTAAATAGTCATTGATATGATTTAATGGATTTACACAGGTATTGATATTCTGCTATCATGTGATTCTCTGTATTAAATTGTCATTGTGATGCACACTGGTGAAGAGTAACATTTGTATTTTACTTGGTTGATGGAAGTTTAAACACTCCACTACTAATGTAAGGTTAAATAACAGGTAAAGTAAATCCACAGAAATCAAAACAAAAAATGTGCATAGAGGCAAAACTATATATTTGTAACATGTGTACCAATTTCAGTTATCCAATACAGTGTGTATGAGCCATATGGAACTCTTAATATCTGGCAAGAGATGCAGATGGTTCAAACTCTTGGCTTGTAATGTGTAGGCTCTCGCTCGAGCTAATAATACATATGGAGCTTCAGGAAGGTATAATTTGTACAGCTAAATATCTACATAAATTGCAATAAATTCTGGTGATCTTTTATCTTTGGTACAGTTAAGTCTATTAAATTTGCTTTATAGAATATCACATTTGCTCATTTTTAATTCATAAATACAAAAGTGTTAACATTTCTGAATGGTAATCATCAAGGACCAACAAGCTGTAACAAGGATCACTGTGTCAATATTATAGGCCTACTAATGTGTGTGCAAGTGTACACAAGCACTACAACTCTGATTATGTGGGATAAGCACATAATCATACAAGTGGTTTTTCTCACACTACAATCTTATAACCTACATTTGCTGCCTTCCTATATACCAGTTTCACAATCATACTAAGTAATATTTAATAAAGTATTTTTGTTCTCAGCCAAGCTAATGGAATAAAGTATAATGAAATGCCCCCAGAAACTATCTTTCCTTTGTAATCAGAAAGAGGATAAGAAGTATTTGTGGATTAATATATCATTTTCCTGATGAGCTGCACAAGGAAAATAGACTATGGTCTGCTTACTCATTAAGTTTGGGTCTGGACTATACTTTAGCAGTCTTCACAACAGGCAGAGTCAAATTCTTAGTTATAACTGCCATTTTGGGGAATCTGGAAGAGGCATTTTTGTGTTAAGTTTACAAGGATACTATAACAGTTTGCTTTAACAAATGTTACCTGTTGATACAAATTGATGGAATAAGTAAGTAGTCAGACATTTTACATGCATAGAACAAAATCTGTTTACTAACTTTACTATTTACTAAGTAATCAAATTACTAACCTCTCAGGTGGATGACTTCTCTAGATCAACCTCAGATGGCTGCAAGTCAATGCCCTCAACTTGGGTTTTTACAGTGGCAGTGCACTCTGTGTTAGAAGAGGATTCTAATGGAACAGCATCTAACACACACTCTATTTCAGGTTCTGCAGGAACAAATACCTCTTTCACCTGAAGCTCTGATTTTGCAAGTGATTCCTCCACCTCCTCCTCTTTGGACTCAGCAGGACCTCTTGGTTCTTCAGGCAAAGATGCCTCCTTGGGAGGTGGAGATGCCGCCTTGGGAGGTGGAGATGCCTCCTTGGGAGGTGGAGATGCCGCCTCAAGAACCGATGTCTCAGAAATGACTGGGGCAAAAAGAACTTCCTTTCTAGCTGAAGATGTATCAGCAAGGGGCTCATCAGGAAAGGGATTTGTAAAGGCAAGTTTCTCATCTGCAGCTTTTTCCAAAGTTTCCATTGGCTCAGTTAAGGAAGTTTCTCTAGTTTCGGCAAGATCAGGATTACCAGCATTGGCCGTCATCATTAGGGTACCTAATACCTTCACACGCAGTGCTTCTATGTTGATCATTAGCAAGTTTTCTTCCTCTATAGATGACTTTGTCCAAGCAAGAGGTAGGTGAGTTGCGACTGGCATTCGATCTGAAAAGTGAGAGTTGTAAACATTATATAAATATATATTTTCCCCTCGCAAGTGGGAAATATGAAAATATTTGTAAAATAAACATGCCTATTTAAAAAGTAAAATTAACATGAATATTCATGGTTAAAGAATGTATTAACCAATACATTATATTATTCTTTGTTAGGATTAAAAAACGGCAGAATAACAGGCAGTGAATGATTTCAAAATGCACTGTATATTATAAGGAAGCAGTGCTCTGCTCCAGAAAAACAAAGCAGCCTTATGACAGCATTTGCAAAACATAAGCAAGATAAGTTAACAATGCAGGCGACGAGTCACTAACGTGGCTAAAGAATATTTACCAGACCACACACTAGAAGGTGAAGGGACGACGACGTTTCGGTCCGTCCTGGACCATTCTCAAGTCAATTATGTCACAATTGACATGAGAATGGTCCAGGACGGACCGAAACGTCGTTGTTCCTTCACCTTCTAGTGTGTGGACTGGTCAACATAAGTTAACAATCATGGTGTATTGTACCTTGAAAGAAGAGTCCACTGGGGTGTTTGAGGGCAGCCTTTGAGACAGCGAGCCAGACAGCAGTGTCAGCACCTTCAGCTGGTGACCTCAGGTTGGCCTTCATCTGCACCAAGTAAGTATTTTATGGTGCAAGGGGTTAATGGGTTTACATCACTGGTTGATTTAGGAGAGCAAGACATTAAGACAATGCAAGTTTTTTGCAAATTAAAGTTATGCCCCATTTACATTCCACATTGTTAAAGTTACTTGTCCCTCCTTCCCCCAGTATGATAGTTATGCTATACATGATCTGGCCTGGCATATAACCTGTTTATTTTCAGCAGAGCACATTTAGGTAGGTTTTGAATACAAGTGATTTTTCCTGGGTTAGTCTGAGTACTACTTTGACCCTGGTTCTTTCTAAGTGAGGACAAAAGTTTATTGTGTCTAGCTGCGGCAAGGTCAATATGGGAGTCGGTAACTGGTTCAGCATCAAATTTGGGCAAAGGAGACTGTGTTTCGTGTTCCTCAGCACTTACCTGACGCAGAAGGCAAGGAGGCCCATAGCCAAGTTTACGAGAAGAGATCAGTCAGTGGCACTACAAGAATAGCCATTCTGTCTACAGATACCCTGAAGCATCACTACCAGTTCATGAAGAATTCAGGCAAGCCTATCAAGTGCAACTCGGGAGAGTTTCGGACTTACAAAAGGTCATTGTCCTCCTTGGTCATGGTGCAAGCACTCACACGTCAAGAGACTTAAGTACCTGAGGTTAGATCCATTCAGTATTTTATTCAGCCCACTCAGCACCAGTGAGGTAAAGTGTTTAGCGACTTTGGTATGGGTGCATCAGACCCCTGGATGTCATCACCAGTAGGAGTTTGAGGACGTGTCTCTCCTATGAGCACTCATGATAGAATGAAGCATGGCTCAGGGAAGGGGCTTTCAGGTACCACCAGAAATATATTATAAACTAACCAACTAATGTGTGTACTGTTTATACAAATGTTATCTTTGTTGTGGGAGCATATTAGTTATTTTTATTGCAGGAGTATGGACATCTTGTAGAGAATTCTGTATTCTTGATTGGCAACCAAGAGGACATGTGACAATGTACATAGATGTCACTGGAAAAATCTGCACATTTGAGGATAATCCATTAGGGAAGTATAAAACCATTGTGGTTCTGTACTTCCCTAAGGTTACACCACATACCCAATGTGAGATATTGTATGTTTGATGCACTGAAAGAAGGTGAGAGGTTTCTAGTGTTATTTTATGTGAAAATTAAGTTAATCCTCTGATCCATTGTGTGTGGAGGGTGACCATCCAAGGTACAGTGAGTACTGGATTATATTATTAAAGGGATGATATATTCAGGGACATGTTTTGAGTGAGCAGCAGCAGTTAGAGGTAGTAGTGAGAAGTTAGGTGCCTGCCATTATAAATACCCCCCCCCCCTCCAAGTCACAGTGCCAAGTTTATTTTCAGTCACCGTACCATGGATGGTTTTGGCCATGACCATGGCTTCCCTGGGTCCATGAGGCGAGGTCAGGTGCAGTAAGATTAGGAGGAAGTGAGCAAATGGCAGAATCGAGGTTTGGGGAACAGCAGCCCAGTAGAAGCAATCTCAGTAACCTTGCACTGTAGTTCTTCAGATGGTCATAGGGACCTGGACTAATTCCCACAGGACTGCAAGGTGAGGTAAAGTGCAGTAGATATATCTTCCATTAAGTGGAACTGGGGCACAGAGTAAGATAAGCTGCTGTGTACAACATTCATCAGGCTGCCTGCCTATGGCTGCATTTCCTCCAAGAATTTGGAGATCCCAATCTCAACTGTACTATTTGCTCACCTAGCACTACATCTCATGCAATTTACCTTGGCTCATGGCCCTGGGAAAATTGTGGAGCCAGGTAACTGCACCCAGGCTGTATACTGCTGCCTCAGGAACCATGACTCTGTTGCTATTTGTTCACCTCCCATTAAACGTACTGCATCTGATCTCGCTCTTTTTGTCCCATTGACTGCATTCTTGGGTATGCACAGTCCTGAATATTCAACAACTAGGTTTCCCTTCTGCATGCCCTGTTTCCTCTAGCCCCATCTCTGAGCTAATGGCAGAGATAAGATCAGAGGAGCTATGGCATGTAGCACAGTTCTAAAAAACTGTTTATCATTCCCTGGGTGGCTGTGGATGCCCAGACTCACGGTTCACCCAGAGCCACAAAATGAGATCAGGTGCAGTAGGTTTAGTAAGTGCTTAGCAGATGGTAGAGATGAAACCAAGGAAACCACAGCCTGGAGAAACCTTAGATATCAAGAGGCTGCATTTGTCCAGGTGCATGTGGATACCTGGGGCTGTGATTCCCAGGATGACAGGTTTCCCTGAATGGCCACAGGTATGTACAGAGCTTTCCCAGGTGGCTGCAAAACCTTGGAAATCTGTAGCGAGTATGTTTACTCGCTACAGAAGTGAGTAAACATTATACTCACTCCAAATCTAATTTTTTTGCAGAGTCACAGAGGCAAAGAGGTTGAATTTTGCTTACTAATGCAGTTGAAGAGAGCAACTCACCACTATGAACTAGTATTACATGTTTTTTCTAGAGTGCCACACAAAATAAAATAACTTTCTACTTCACTGCTGTTAATGTCTCAAAAACTTTTATAATTCCAGATCACCTGACTGTCTCACAGAATAAACAGAGGTAAGATTTGTTTTTACCTCTTCGTAGAACTGCGGTAGAGAGTTTCGCACACCAGGAGTGTCTACCCAGCCCGGGTGCATGCAAGAGAAATGCACCTTATCATACCTCTGAGCAAACCACAACGACATCACCACCTGCACGAAGTACAATAGTCAAAACAAATTAAAATTATTATATCTACACACAAAATTCAGGAATTAAATTTCATTTATAAGTTAAACTTGCTGTAAATTACATATAATTACTTATTAGAAATTTAAATTTCAAATATTTTCTTTTTTATAGATTTGTGTTACATGCCTTGAGATCAAAGTGTGGTAGTAAAGAAGGAGTGTGACTACTGTCATTATCTACAATGTGAGTGAAGTTGTGTAAACTACAGTGATCTCAAACTCTCAATCCCAGTCTGCTTTAAGTGTAGGAAAGATGGCCATTAAGAGGCCTTCATGCTGGATTTAAATAATAAACTATAAAATTGTATGCAAGCACCTTTTTAACGTATGCTTTCAGCTATCACAAAGTTTGGCTAATCAGTTTCCATTTTTGTCAGAGAATACTGTCATGGTAAAATCTCTAGAAAGAGATTCGGCCTGCTCCATCATCACCTATTCTATCATACCACATCTATATATTCAGGTACTGCAGCCACAAGAACAACAACTACAACTACTTCCAGACGTCTAGACAGTACCTCCAGTCTCCCCCCTTCACCACAGCCCGTCACCTCACCTGGGAGCTCACGCCACCGGCCGAAACAAGCAGTTAACGAGCCGGTTCATAGTTAAAGAAGCTACCAGCACCACCTGCAGTCGTATACTTTAAAGATACCACTTTACCTTGGAGAAAGTTGAGTAGTGTAGACCGACCCTAGCTTTTCAGCATGTGAGGTTGAAGGGCCCACGGAGTTAAACTCAACCAGGGTGGGGGCTGTGATCGAGGTAGCAATCGTAGTTTCCATAGCTTCTGGAAGTCCCAAGAACACAAGAGTCCTAAGTTTTTCTTTTTTCTTGCGAAGCGAAACGTGTTTGTAGCGGGGGAGGTGGTCTGGTGGCCAAGCAAAAATTTTTTCCTTTGACTTGTGAAGCGGAGCGTGACTGGAGCAAGAGAGAACGCATGACCTCTCCTCTCTTCTTTATATAGGCCCCCACGGCGCTCTGCACGCTGCGCTGCGGATCGCGCTGTGCAACTGTCTTTCTACTCCATCAGAAATTCCTCCGCATTCCTACATAATGCAGCGGTCATTTCTGGCCTGCATAGTTAAGATGGGAAGATCAACTTTGCTGTGTGTGTTGCTGTGTTGGACTCTTCTGTGTGAGTGTCAGTCAGACAGGAGTCAAGCCAGTACATCAAGATGCTGGACTACTGTACACGACGAAGACCCCCCGCCGGCGCCAGCACCCGAGGACTTCGCCATGATGGTGCGATACGTTGTCGAGTTCGCTAAACTGATAAATGTGAACGAAATATATTTTTGCGTGACGCAAGAATCAGGTAAGTTTACCTGTCGGGTAATTTATGATTCCTATGTTATTTAACGCAGTTACCACAGGCTTGTGGAGTCCCCAAGCCAAGTTAGTCTTGATAGGCTAGTTACACAGTTTAATATATATTATATCAACAACGGGTTCAAGGATGACCACAAGTACAGTCTCTCATCTACACAAACAATCCATCTATCCACCGCAACTCGGTTGAGCACCCCTTGATCTCTTGTGGTAAAAAAAACTGAAGCTTGTCTTTTATTCTAATGGGTTCCAAGCCTGCAGCCTGCCATCTAGTGGTAAAGATTGTAATTATTGTGGGAGAGTTACCATGATGCACCTTTACTAATATTACCCTCATTTTATGTGTACTCACTGTACACATACTTATGTACTCACTGTGTGGGGGTGGGTTCCCTGTGCTAGTGGACTTGTAGGTGTTTATTGGTTCTGTCGTTATCTTCCCTTAACCCCCAGCTCTCACCACCACCCTCACTCTGACTCGCATCATCATTCCTTAACCACACATGCTCCTGTTGCCACTCTCCTTCCCCGGAGGCGATCTTGTTACCATCTCGAAGGATGAAAAAAAAAATCAAGGCCCAGGTTGAAGTAAAAAAAAGCCAACCCTCCTAACCCCGCCACCAGAGCCCCTGACGATATACCCAACACCCCAGCTCCCACCAACCAACTAGAAGACTTTCCAGTCTTACCAACAGTGGTTCCTCCCCACCAGTCGACCCATCCTTCACAATGGGGACCCAAGGTCCAACCAGCACCCCTCGCCGCCCCTTGCATCATGTGCAGGCATTATCCCTGGCCTCATACGACTGGCGGAGAGGCTTGCCGGACCACCACCGATTCATCAGGGAACTGAATGTGCTGTACATAGCCAATGGCCTGGACCCCATCACAGCCCCTGACGCAAGTCTCACTACCTCCCTCCCATACCACACAGGGGACTTCCACAAGGTCGACCAGTAGGAAAGGGAACTATCAGAAGAAAGCGCCAAGCCATTACGACTATATAGCATGTAGCGAGTAGATTATCCCAATAATATACTCGCTCCAAATGCATTGTTAATATTCCTGTCAACCTTTGGAGATGAATGAGGTGAGGCGTTGCCCGGGCAACACGGTGAGGTGTTGCCCGAGCATATAAGCAGCAGAATAGCAAACATTAACTAATCTACTTTCAAGTGTGATCTAGAGCAGACACTTGCGAGATACTGTACCGACGCTCAGTGCGCTCAACTCACACCAAAGTATCACCTGTTTACTTCTGTATATTTGACCAAATATATATATAGTATCTTAGTTTCTGTGTTTATTTGTCACCATACTTTACGTAACAATAGAATCGTTACAAGCACTTGGAAGGGGGTCAGGATAAGGATTTGGGATGGGACTGGGGTAAGGAATGGTACCCAACTACTTGGACGGTCGGGGATTGATCGTCGACCTGCATGAAGCGAGACCGTCGCTAATGCTCTCGCTCCCCATGGAGTTTACACACTCACGATTCCCCATCGAGCCGCCACGCTCTCCCGCATAGAGCTCCATGACTCCGGCCTCACTCAGCTCTGCCCTGCTCCAAGCTCCGTCTGAACGTCTACGACAATGCCAACAACCGACTACTAAATAGATATGAAACTTTCTAAACACGGTGTATCTAATCTACCCAACAACGTAACATAATCGTACGTTACAGACGACACGGAGACCTTGTGGAAATGAGCACAAGAGTGCTCCAAATTTATCTAAATCATTTCCTCGTAAGGAGGAAATTGATTACCATCTCTGATTGCCTCTGAGCAACCTGGGGGCAGCAATAAACCGTGAAAATAAAGAAATTCTAGTTGACTTTAGGCAAAGTTAAATAATTAATAATAATTATTATTGCTAAAATTATTAATAAGGCTCTATAGTTCACCTATTGTGTACATAGCTACCACCTATGGCTCCTTATTTTAGTATTTTGGATGATTTTAAGGCTTAATAATTAAGGTTGTAGTGAAGTTGTCAGCAAAGTCTCCATTTTGTGTCAACTAATGTTTCGACCACAAGCTGAATTTCCAGGGACACATTCTAAACATATCAAAAAAAGTTTCAAAAACTGTGGGCATTCTTTCTAAGATCAGATATTATGTACCACGCCCTGCCCTGGTGACTCTCTATTACTCCCTTATCTATCCATATCTCAACTATGGTATTTGTGCTTGGGGCTCTACTACCCAAAATCACTTACGTCCTCTAATTACTCAACACAAAGCTGCTGTTAGAACAATATCCAATTCTGGCCCCAGACATCACTCGGTACCCCTACTCAAATCTCTGAATATGTTAGACATTAAGTCACTGCACATTCTCTCATGTGTATTATACATATATAAAACGCTAAACTATAATGCCAATCCTGATCTCAAAAGCTTCATAGAAGGTTGTAACAGAACCCATGAGCACCACACTAGAAATAAATACAGTTTTGATATTCCTAGAGTACGACTTAATCAAACTAGAAATGCTCTACAAATCAAGGGGCCCAGAATGTGGAATGACCTTCCCAACCATGTTAAAGACTATACCTCTCTCAACCAGTTTAAGATAAAAACTAAGCACTACCTAATAAATTCCCTGTAACCCACCTTACCCTTATAACTAGTGGCTTTACAAGACTGTAAATACTGTACTATTCAATGTATTCTCACAAACCCAATGTACCTTCTTGTATATATATTAATAAATAAATAAATAAATAAATAAATATATTGTCAACCCATGTCTGTTTTTTTAAACAACGCTCTTTGTCGATCTAATTGTATTTGTGCTGCTTTTTCTGCAATGTTCCCCCCTTTTTTATTTATATTTATTCTCAACACATTTTATACTTTAATCTCAATTAGTATTAAGTTTTAGTCTTTAATGTTTTTCCTTCCCGAAACGCTTTGCGTAATAATAAAAAAAAAACTAAATACTACGAAGATAAATTTACTCAAATAAAGAGCAACATTAAACAAACTTGGAGCACAATTTCACAAATATTGGGATCAAAGAAATCTTTAAATAACAAACCGACTCTCCTGTCTAATAACGATGGTCAGCTTTCAGCCTCTGATTCTGCTATTGAGTTCAATAGGTTCTTCTCTTCCATTGGTTCATCCCTTGCAAATGATATTCCATCTTCCAGTACTGACATTAAGGACTATCTTACAGGTAACTATCCACAGTCTCTGTACCTAAAGCCTATTAACTCCACTGACGTCAATGAGACCTTTCCCTTAAAACCAAGTCTGGTGCCCTTGAGGAGATACCAACTTTAATTTACAAAAAAGCCTCCAGATCTTTAGCCCCTGCTATTGCTTTGCTCTTCAACAAGTCACTTGAACTCCATACCTTTCCAGGTATTCTAAAAAAAGCGAGAGTAACGCCTGTCCACAAATGTGGTGACCCCACAGATGTTAACAACTACAGACCTATATCAATCCTGCCAAACTTGTCAAAAATTTTTGAAAAACTTATATATAAGCAGCTTTACTCATATCTAGCCAAACTCAATATACTTAGCCCTTGCCAATATGGCTTCAGACCCAAAAAAAGCACTAACGATGCACTTATTAGTATGCTTAACTCGATTCATACAGCTCTTGATAAAAAGGAGTTCCCTGTTGGGTTATTTGTGGACCTGCGTAAAGCTTTTGATACTGTCAACCACCATAACCTTCTTCTTAAATTACATCATTATGGAGTCAGAGGACACTCCCTACAATACCTCGAGTCCTACCTTACTGACAGGCTCCAATATGTTTCTGTGAATAATACAATTTCTCCCACCCTACCCATCAACATTGGTGTTCCTCAGGGCAGCATACTTGGCCCTCTCCTCTTTCTCATCTACATTAATGACCTTCCAAATGCCTCCCAACACCTGAAACCAATTCTATTTGCTGACGACACAACCTTCATTTACTCCAGTCCTGACCCTCTTGCTCTAAATGCCACAGTAAATACTGAGCTAAATAAAGTCCATCTTTGGCTAACTGCCAACAAACTCACCTTTAACATTGACAAAACTTTCTATATTCTGTTTGGCAATAAATCCTCTAGTCATATAAATCTCAAAATAAACAATACCCAAATTTGTAACAAATTAGATGGCAAATTCCTTGGCATTCTCATTGACCACAAGCTGAATTTCCAGGGACACATTCTAAATATATCAAAAAAAGTTTCAAAAACTGTGGGCATTCTTTCTAAGATCAGATATTATGTACCACGCCCTGCCCTGGTGACTCTCTATTACTCCCTTATCTATCCTTATCTCAACTATGGTATTTGTGCTTGGGGTTCTACTACCCAAAATCACTTACGTCCTCTAATTACCCAACACAAAGCTGCTATTAGAACAATATCCAACTCTGGCCCCAGACATCACTCGGTACCCCTACTCAAATCTCAGAATATGTTAGATATTAAGTCTCTGCACATTCTCTCATGTGTATTATACATATATAAAACGCTAAACTATAATGCCAATCCTGATCTTAAAAGCTTCATAGAAGGTTGTAACAGAACCCATGAGCACCACACCAGAAATAAATACAGTTTTGATATTCCTAGAGTACGTCTTAATCAAACTAGAAATGCTCTGCAAATCAAGGGGCCCAGAATGTGGAATGACCTTCCCAACCATGTTAAAGACTGTACCTCTCTCAACCAGTTTAAGATAAAAACTAAACACTACCTAATAAATTCCCTGTAATCTACCTCACTCCTCTATTGTCAACCCATGTCTGTTATTTTCTTTTTTTTTTTTTTTTTTTTTTTTTAATCAACACTGTTTGTCAACCTATTGTATTTGTGCTGCTTTTTCAGTCATGTTCCCCCTTTTTTTATCTTTATTTGTATTTGTTCTCAACACTTTTTATTCTTTATGCTCAATTAGTATTAAGTTCTAGATATTAATGTTTTTCTTGCCCGAAACGCATTGCGTAATAGTGGCTTTAGGCATTGTATGTACTAGCTCTATCTATATATCAATCCATTAATGTAACATCACTTGTATGTATATACCTTACCTGAATAAACATCTGAATCTGAATCTGAATCTAATGGCTTTAGACATTGTATGTACCAGCTCTATCTATAAATCTATCAATTTCTGTAAAACCTCTTGTATGTATGTACTTTACCTGAATAAACATTTATTTATTTATTTATTTATATCCTGAACAGTTGATAAATAAAAGTAATTGCGGAACTCCAGTTATCTAATACTTATCATAAATTGTATAAAACCTTATCATAAGCTACGGGATTTGTAGATCAGTGTTTAAAGGGAATTCGGAAGTAATAATGATACAGCTGATGCCATCTGTCGGCAAAAGAGAACACTATCAAATGGCTGGTCAATAGTAGCCATAAGATACAGCTTACGCCATCTGTTGACATCAAATTACACTTATAGCAAATTACCCCACAAAATACAACTAGCGCCATCTCTTTTTTTTCCAACGCACTATAAATAGCCAAACAGCAACCCATAAGGCGGGTTGTTGTGCTCGGGTAGGAGGTTCCAAGCTCCGCCCCCAAATGGTATGGGGTGCATAATAAATGGCATATCATTGGTAGATATTCTTTGTTGACATTCGCACAACGGCCAATCACAGGAAGGGATCAGCTAAAGGCTCCATCCACTTAATAAATCATCTTTATTTAGCACACCAGCCTTGCTTATGATATTCTGTTTCAACTTTAATCGACCTAAAACGTGAAGGGTTAAGTATTTATAAGCATTAATAAAGTGATAATTAAATGCTGCAGGATGTAACGGGTGTATTGTACTTATAAGGTCATATGTAAGGTACTTATAAGGTCATATGTATTGTACTTATAAAGTCATATGTATTGTACTTATAAGGTCATATATATGGTACTTTTAAGGTCATATGTATGGTACTTATAAGGTGATATGTATGGTACCTATATGGACATTTGTATGATACTTATAAGGTCATATGTATGATACTTATAAGGTCATATGTATTGTACTTATTAAGTCATATGCATTGTACTTATAAGGTCATATGTAAGGTACATATAAGGTCATATGTATGGTACTTATAAGGTCATATGTACGGAACTTATAAGGTCATATGTAAGGTACATATAAGGTCATATGTATGGTACATATGAGGTCATATGTAAGGTACATATAAGGTCATATATATGGTAACCTCTTAACGTTTCCCAACGTCAAGAAAACGGTAACTTTAATGTGCCCTCTCCTAACCTACCAGAGGACGTAAAACATAAAACGGGACAGTACGTCACTTTCGCCAGCCGCTTCCATTTTCTGCCAAACAGCCCAGTCGACGGGGAAGAATCCCAGCCCTGGCGAAATCTTCATTTTTCTCAAAACTCAAAATCAAAACCAGCCATAGAATCGCTTTGAAAATGTTACCATTGTGTTTACCGCAATAATTTATTTTTCTTTCTGTTAAGTCTTTCTTTACTAATTTTCAATATTAAGGCTTTAACAGCCATATTTACTGAGATACAGCCAACTCAAATATCAAACTTATCATCGTGTTTTCTCAACATATTACTAAGGAAAATGAGTTGAAAAACATGTAATAATAATTATAATGAGCTAAATAAAAAATGGGTATTAAAAATAAAGTCATTTTAATAATCTTTATTTACTTAGACATTATTTCGAATGATATTTATATGGATATATATATGGTACTTATAATGGAATACGTTTGGTACCTATAAAGGCATGAGTATGGTACTTATAATGGCATATGTATGGTACTTATAATGGCATATGTATGGTACTTATAAAGACTTGATGGTACTTATAATGACATATGTATGGTACTGATAATGGCATGTGTATGGTATTTATAATGGCATATGTATGGTACTTATAATGGCATATGTATGGTACTTATAATGGCATATGTATGGTACTTATAAAGACATGTACATGGTATTTATAATGACATATGTATGTTACTTATAATGGCATGTACATGGTATTTATAATGACATATGTATGTTACTTATAATGGCATATGTTTGGTACTTATAATGACACATGTATGGTGCTTATAAAGGCATATGTATGGTACTTATAAAGGCATATATATGGTGCTTATATAGGCATGTGTATGGTACTTATAACGGAATAGGTTTGATACTTATATGGGCATATCTATGGCACTTACATAAGCATATGTATGTTATTTACACGTGAATATATATGGTACTTACATGATCATACGTATGGTACTTATATGGGCATGGGTATGGTACTTATATGGGCATGTGTATGGTACTTATAAGATCATATGTATGGTACTTATGAGGTCATATGTATGGTACTTATGAGGTCATATGTATGGTACTTATAAGGTCATCTGTATGGTACTTATAACGTCATATGTATGGTACTTATAAGAACATTTGATTGGTACTTACAAGGTCATATGTATGGTACTTATAAGAACATTTGTATGCTACTTATAAGGTCATATGTATGGTACTTATAAGGTCATATGTATGGTTCTTATAAGGTCGTATGTATGGTGCTTATAAGGTCATGTATGGTATATATAAGGTCATATGTATGGTACTTTTAAGGTCATATGTATAGTACACATAAGGTCATATGTATGGTACTTTTAAGGTCATAGGTAAGGTACATATAAGTTCATATGTAAGGTACATATAAGGTCATATGTATGGTACTTATAAGGACATTTGTATGTTACTTATAAGGTCATATGTAAGGTACATATAAGGTCATATGTATGGTAATTATAAGGTCATATGTATGGTACTTATAAGGATTTATATGGTAATTCTAAGGTCATATGTATTGTACTTATAAGGTCATATGTAAAGTACATATAAGTTCATATGTAAGGTACATATAAGGTCATATGTATGGTACTTATAATGACATATGGATGGTAGTTATAAAGACATGATGGTACTTATAATGACATATGTATAGTACTGGTAATGGCATGTATATGGTATTTATAATGGCATAGGTTTGATACTTATAAAGTCATATGTATGGTACATATAAGGTCATATGTATGTTCGTCCCAGTCGTTTGTCTGGCTGTTGAAGCCAGTTTGTTCGTCCCAGTTGTTTGTCTGGCTGGCGTAACCCAGCTTGCTCGCCCCAGTCGTTTGTCTGGCTGTTGAAGCCAGTTTGTTCGCCCTAGCAGTTTGGCCTGACCGGCGTAGACCGGCCCGTTTGTTCCATGACGTCTCGTCCACTCGGTGTAGCCGCCTGTTGTTCCTGCACGTACACGTTCCCTCCTGGTTCCCTGTCCTGTCCTACTCCAGCGCAGGCGCATGCCGTCGGCCGGTCTGTCCGCTTGGGTGGGCTATGTTATGTTATTATCTTTTATTTAAGTTTCTAAATTAATTTATTGCATTGTTCAGCTTTCAGTTATGCCTTGTATTTACTTACTATTCCTCTTGCAGCGTTAATGCAGTGTCCATTGCTGTGGGATACTCAACTACTTTTGTTCTCTTTCGAGAATATTATTGCTTTAGGCTAGCCATTCTCCCTTGATTAGTACTGTTTTAATAACCATTCCATCCCTTGAACATTACAGTTTTCGCTATCCAAACCATATCATGCACATTACTGTTTAACCTACCATCCTATCCCTTGATTAATCCCGCTTGAAGCTACCAAATCTTCCCATGATTACCACTGTTTCTTTTATTTGTTCAGCTTATATGCAAGTACATTATATTACGGTCTTATTCTATTATTAGAATATAATATTCCCCTCCCGTTCTCACTGTTCTGTTCTACTCCTCCAGGGTAGGCACATGCCGTAGAGCGGTCTGTCGGCTTGGGTGAGCTACGCCATGTTATCATTTATTTAAGTTTCCCTAAATTAATTTATTACTTTGTTCAGCTTTCAGTTATGCCTTGTATTTACTTACTAATCCTGTTGCAGCGTTAAGGCAGTGTCCATTGCCGTGGGATACGCAAATAATTTTGTTTTCACTTTTGAGACCATTATTGTTTTAATCTAGACCAACTATTCCATGAATAAGTACTGTTTAATTAACCAATCTATCCCATGAACATAAGTTTTAATCTATCCAAACTATACCATGCAGATATTACTGTTTAACCTAACCATCCTATACCTTGTATAGTCCTGCTTTATTCTACCCAAATTATCCATGACTATCACTGTTTACTCTTTTATTTGTTCAGCTTAAATACAAGTATATATTATCTTTTATTTGTTCAGCTTAAATATAAGTATATTATCATACGGTCTTAAGCTATTTACTTGTTCAGTTTCAGTTTGTTTTGTATTTACTCCGCTATTTATTCTCTGTTTTCTAGCACTGCTTAAGCCTCATGCCTCTCTTGCTGTTTTGGCCTCACTATGTTATTTATTATTTATTTAAGTTTTCTAAAATTAATTTGTTACATAGCCCAACTTCAGTTATGCCCGGTATTTACTTAATAACACTTTTGCAGTGTTAAAGCAGTGCCCATTGCTTACGTTTTCACCTTTCCACAGTGGCGAGAAGCCGGATCATGCAGCAACTGCAACACGGAAGAGGGCTCGGGTGGCGTCGACGCGAGGACAACAGCGCAGTGGTGCAAGGACGCAGCCGGCCAGGGCCAGGACGAAGCCCGCCCGTTTCGCCTCCCCCTCCTCGGGGGGGCTCCTCGGCGGCTCTGATACGGACGGCGACCACACATCCCAGAGGCCCACTGCCGGCATAGCGGCGGGTGGCACAGCGTCGCAGCCTCCACCCCTGTCGGCCGACGATTGGACGACGCTGCAGGCGCTCATCGCGCAGGCCCGGGGGCCCTCTCACGCCACAAGCCTTCCGGCCATGGGGACCTCCGAGGCCGACCCTGCCGCGGCTGCCACAGCCGCCCTGCCCCCCTCCACCGACCGTCGCCCACGGGCCAGGGCCAGGGGGCATACGTCGAGGCGACGTGCGAGCTCCTCCAGTCCGTCCTCCTTCGACGAGTCCCCCGAGGAGAGAGCGCCCCCCACTTTTTCTAGCCCCTGGCCGGGGCAACTACGGTCGACCACGGACTCCAGCATCCCACTCTTGGGCGTGCACGTCCCGCAAGCCCTTCGGGAGAAGGTCTGGGCAAACAAGTATGTGGACCTCGGGCACTTGCTTGCCTACGAGCGGGAATCAGGTTCTTTCGAGTCCTACTCTGCGACATCCCCTGACGCAAAGCAGCCTGATAAGAAGCAGCCGCCCCTGACGCCGGACCAGTGGGCGCATGGCCTTGACATCTACGCCACTATCTACGTCGAGAAGCACCCAGCGGAGGCTCAGGCGCTGTTTACCTATGCGCGTTACGTGAAGACCATGAAGACGACCCTTCAAATCATTATATTCATTAGAGGAATATTAGGATTTATGAAATGTTTCATAAAATTTTGTTTATCAATTCTTGTTATGGTGATAGACTAGTAACCATTTAAAAAATGCATTTTAATTGACATATTTTAGCATTTAATGTATGTTACATTTACATTTGAATATCAAATGCATACATGCATCTCTCACTTGAGGCAGCAACACTTATCATTGTTAATCTAGTTTGGATGCAACATGGGTCCCTGAGTCAGTCATGTGACACCACCAGCATCACCTCTGCTTCCTCTTTTCTTCCTTCTTTGTGTACATTATTAAGTACAGTGACAGAACACTTAATCTGTCTTCGTTATAGAATAATCCATGTCTATGATGGAACCCTTCGTAACTATCTCCATTAAAGAACAATTCATTGATGGCCTGTGATAGAACCTTCCATATCAGAACTCTTCAGAACTCATCTCATTCAACTTCAAGATGCTCAGATCAGGATATTCAAAGGTAAGATTATTATTTCCTTATATTTGTTATATAGGACAGCACAGTTTACAGTACAGTATTTATATAGTAAAATACTGTACTGTGAAGTTTTGAATGTGCATGTCAAGTTGTTTCATTCATGTTGTGGTGTGTAACCTTATTATACAGCAAAGTACTGATTCAATTCATAAACTTACATAAAGCAAGATTTATTAGTGCCACAGTGTTTATGGCATTATTATGAGTCATATACTGCTTAGGAGGTATTGAGAGGGCTTCTATTAATGTTATTATGAGTGCTTCACTGATCAGGACATTTTTTGGTTATGTTGCTGGAGGAGAAAAACAGGTTTCATGTGCTATAGACATTTCTTCCTTCAGGTGGAGTACAGTCAACTAAGGAATTTCTAGTCACTGACATTAGCTGGCAAATTATAATGTGGTTGTCAGTGCAGTTGGCTCACAACTCAGTGGTACTGTGGGAGATTCCTGTATAAGATGAAAAATGTTAACATGTACAAGGTTCCTATGTTACTTGGCAGTAAATGGGCACACGAGTGTTAGGTAACTGATGCAGGTTGCATCCTGGATAAGGTCCAGGATGGTCTAGGTCAGGGGGTTCTTAACCTATATAAGATTACAAAAACCCTGATGTAAGTACAACGGGCTCACTGTAGCCCGTGCTGCTTGGAACTTTTTGTTCAAAGTACAGTACAGGTGTATATAGAAATAATAATCTATTATCATAGAATAATAGATAATAAAAATAATCTTATCTCGAGTTCTGAGATAATAGTAAGCTGAATGTAAAACAACCACCTGATGGCCATGTCACTCCCTCAAGGGAGGATGTAATGGTATGAGGGTATGCACCCGTACCTGCCCCTCCCAGACTGTTGAAGTTACCACCAGTTCTGTACGTACTAGTTCGACTTCAAAAGATGTCAGTAGGTTGATTTTACTTTACATGTGGATGACTAAAACAGAACAGATGGAAGAAAATCTTAAGGATTTTATTATTTATATATAGGAAAATGGCAAATCCCAAATACACTAGCTAGCTACAACTAGTGATATTTTTGCCAAATTTAATACAATGAAATCATGAGACCAAGATAATTGTAGTCTTATTGTCAATAATTAACTTTTAAAAATTGTTCAGATAGTCCCATACCTCTATTATTTGGTTCTCATACCCCTAGGGTATGCATACCCACAATTAAGAACCCCTGATCAAGGTGAACCTCTAAGCCTAACTGGTTCTTGCGCCTCAACAATGGGAACTTCATGTGTTTAGCAAGGTAACATTACACATGGATGAGTTTGAAAATTTCAATTTGATTAAAATGGTCATTTAGTCAGCATCAGATAATGGTACTAAAAATATACCAAGTTTGTAAACAGAAGTAATCCTGAAATGTTGCCACTGATACACTTTCAACACCAGTTCTGTCAACATGTTGATGGCCTATTCTTGGCGATGCTTGAATGCATTTTTGCTTATTGGGAAATTTGTGTTCTAGCTGTTGGCAAGCATTTATAAATCTGTCAGATCAGCAGCAAAAGATAATAGAAACCTGATCTCATAATAATTTTGATAAACATAGTATTAGTGCTTGATATTATGATTTGCTGGGGCTTGACTATTATCCAGAACTGTATGTAGTGAATACTGTGTAAATAGATTCCTTAAGTCACAAAGATGTTTTAGTTTACAGACAAGCACAAGTAGGCAAGAGAACACCGTAGCCAAGTTCAGCATGCTCCCAAATGACTCGTTTCAGGATACACAAATATCAGTTTAAATATTAATGTTTTATTCATAATGTTAACATGCATAAATACGTAAGTACATTTTTTATAATGGGTATATACTGTGTATTAAAACAGTTAAATGGCACAACTTCCTATTTTAATAAGTACTGTACATGTTGCTTTGGGAACAACATAAACGCTGAACTATTTAACCTCAGAGTAAAGAAAATGGATCATAATTACCAGTTTGGAGTGAGGTGCAAACTTGATAATTGTAATATGGCAAAATGAGAGGTGGCCACTGCTGAGAACACAGTAATGATAGTACAGTAAATGCATAGTGTTGAAGAAGCACAAAGTGCTGACAACACTGAAGACAAACATCAAGATGAGAGTAGACTATTTGTAGATAGTGTGTAGGTTTGTAAATTATTTCATCATAGCATGTATGTAGTGTCAACAGCAACAAAGCTTTTCATAAGAGAACTTGGTGGCAGCACATAATGAACTTTAGTATCCCTGAACTTGTCAAAGAAAACAACATGATTTATGACACTCATTCCAGAGTTAAGTCGACTAGCAGATCAGGAACAGTTAAGGGCCACAGGGCTAACAAACCAGGTATGACAGGGCGGATCTTATTAAAACGTTTAAAATACAGTACTGAACAAGTTGGAGAATGTTGATCCGGAAAATTTCTTCAAAAGGTCATATGTAATACAAACAAAGAGCAATGGTTTCAAGCTCAACAAGACACAATGTAGGACTGAGAATAGATGCTTTTTTACCAACAGGTTTATAAACCCATGAAACTGTCTACCCGCCAAAGCCATTAATGCCAAAAATAACTATTGGGTTTTAAAGTACAGCTGGAAAAGATGAAGGTAAATGGAGGGATCTTTGACAAGCCGCTGGCTTCCTATCCTCGTAGAGGCCAATAGTGTTAGCAAGTCTCAGGAAAACAAAATTAGGAGACTATGGAATCTTGCAACTACCGAATACTACTCCAGGGAACAAAGTAAAAAGTTTCAGCATTGTTACATTTTCCATGAACACTAGCCCTGTGTATCTGTTGGATTTGTTGACATTTTGCTGTAAAGGTTTATCTACAATTAGTCTCTTCTTGCCTTGGTGTTTTTTGCCTATATTATTCTAGAAATCAACATCTCGAGTAGATGTTGGTTTACTTACACAGGCACAGGGTAAGTCAGTGCCTGCTTCTTTATTATTGTACACATCTAGCACAACCCAACGATCACAGATTTTCTTCATTAGAGGGATATGTATGTATATATGTAAATACTTTACTGGGTAACATATATCACAGCTTATCAGCCCTGAAAACATCTTGCAAAATGAAATATTCACTAGGCTTTGCACATGCTACTCTTGTCAGTGGCTAAGCATCACGCCTTGATAAAGAAATAGTACATCAATATATAATGATGTAACCCACCATTAAAGAGTAATGCTCATGGCATGCATTCTGACATTAGAAAAACTTTTATCCTTTAATTTCAAATTATGTTCATGAATGTCCTCCTATAGGTATAATCTGGCCAGACAAATTGCTACTTTTATAATTTGGGGTCGGTAAGTCTTGGTCAAGATGGTAATGAAAATACTGTAGTTTGAACACTTTACAAAACCTTGTCAATTCATTATACCTTCTATTGCTAAAGCATCCATTAAACAACCCAATACACTGTACTGGAGTAGGACTAGATGTAGATTACCTGTTTGCAATATCTATCAAATCAGAACATACACAACAGTTACTGTAATCGTTTTCCCCAGTAACTGAGTAGGTATGGCGTACATCTCTCTGAATAGAAGATTCTACTACTAGTTCATACTACCATACATCAGTCACTGTTGGTTGATGGTCTTCTTTATTCAGTCTACAGTACTGTGCTTCATTTTCTATAATATCACTGTATAGGAACAGTGACTCATCACCTTCCAATGATTTTGGTTAATTTAAATGTTTATATCAGTGATATATTTGTCAGCGTAAAGAGTCAGTATTTAGAATTATTGTGCTGTGAAGTTTTCCCTTCCTATGTTAGTGATCTGGGTGTTTCATCACCCCTGCACATACATTAAAAAATAATTACTAAGATTTTGTAGTTAAGAAATTACAAAATTGAATTATTATTGGTGCAATTTAATTACTATTAAATAGTCATTGATATGATTTAATGGATTTACACAGGTATTGATATTCTGCTATCATGTGATTCTCTGTATTAAATTGTCATTGTGATGCACACTGGTGAAGAGTAACATTTGTATTTTACTTGGTTGATGGAAGTTTAAACACTCCACTACTAATGTAAGGTTAAATAACAGGTAAAGTAAATCCACAGAAATCAAAACAAAAAATGTGCATAGAGGCAAAACTATATATTTGTAACATGTGTACCAATTTCAGTTATCCAATACAGTGTGTATGAGCCATATGGAACTCTTAATATCTGGCAAGAGATGCAGATGGTTCAAACTCTTGGCTTGTAATGTGCAGGCTCTCGCTCGAGCTAATAATACATATGGAGCTTCAGGAAGGTATAATTTGTACAGCTAAATATCTACATAAATTGCAATAAATTCTAGTGATCTTTTATCTTTGGTACAGTTAAGTCTATTAAATTTGCTTTATAGAATATCGCATTTGCTCATTTTTAATTCATAAATACAAAAGTGTTAACATTTCTGAATGGTAATCATCAAGGACCAACAAGCTGTAACAAGGATCACTGTGTCAATATTATAGGCCTACTAATGTGTGTGCAAGTGTACACAAGCACTACAACTCTGATTATGTGGGATAAGCACATAATCATACAAGTGGTTTTTCTCACACTACAATCTTATAACCTACATTTGCTGCCGTCCTATATGCCAGTTTCACAATCATACTAAGTAATATTTAATAAAGTATTTTTGTTCTTAGCCAAGCTAATGGAATAAAGTATAATGAAATGCCCTCAGAAACTATCTTTCCTTTGTAATCAGAAAGAGGATAAGAAGTATTTGTGGATTAATATATCATTTTCCTGATGAGCTGCACAAGGAAAATAGACTATGGTCTGCTTACTCATTAAGTTTGGGTCTGGACTATACTTTAGCAGTCTTCACAACAGGTAGAGTCAAATTCTTAGTTATAACTGCCATTTTGGGGAATCTGGAAGAGGCATTTTTGTGTTAAGTTTACAAGGATACTATAACAGTTTGCTTTAACAAATGTTACCTGTTGATACAAATTGATGGAATAAGTAAGTAGTCAGACATTTTACATGCATAAAACAAAATCTATTTACTAACTTTACTATTTACTAAGTAATCAAATTACTAACCTCTCAGGTGGATGACTTCTCTAGATCAACCTCAGATGGCTGCAAGTCAATGCCCTGAACTTGGGTTTTTACAGTGGCAGTGCACTCTGTGTTAGAAGAGGATTCTAATGGAACAGCATCTAACACACACACTATTTCAGGTTCTGCAGGAACAAATACCTCTTTCACCTGAAGCTCTGATTTTGCAAGTGATTCCTCCACCTGCTCATCCTTGGACTCAGCAGGACCTCTTGGTTCTTCAGGCAAAGATGCCTCCTTGGGAGGTGGAGATGCCTCCTTGGGAGGTGGAGATGCCGCCTTGGGAGGTGGAGATGCCGCCTTGGGAGGTGGAGATGCCGCCTTGGGAGGTGGAGATGCCGCCTCAAGAACCGATGTCTCAGAAATGACTGGGGCAAAAAGAACTTCCTTTCTAGCTGAAGATGTATCAGCAAGGGGCTCATCAGGAAAGGGATTTTTAAAGGCAAGTTTCTCATCCGCAGCTTTTTCCAAAGTTTCCATTGGCTCAGTTAAGGAAGTTTCTCTAGTTTCGGCAAGATCAGGATTACCAGCATTGGCCGTCATCATTAGGGTACCTAATACCTTCACACGCAGTGCTTCTATGTTGATCATTAGCAAGTTTTCTTCCTCTATAGATGACTTTGTCCAAGCAAGAGGTAGGTGAGTTGCGACTGGCATTCGATCTGAAAAGTGAGAGTTGTAAACATTATATAAATATATATTTTCCCCTCGCAAGTGGGAAATATGAAAATATTTGTAAAATAATCATGCCTATTTAAAAAGTAAAATTAACATGAATATTCATAGTTAAAGAATGTATTAACCAATACATTATATTATTCTTTGTTAGGATTAAAAAATGGCAGAATAACAGGCAGTGAATGATTTCAAAATGCACTGTATATTATAAGGAAGCAGTGCTCTGCTCCAGAAAAACAAAGCAGCCTTATGACAGCATTTGCAAAACATAAGCAAGGTAAGTTAACAATGCAGGCGATGAGTCACAATAACGTGGCTAAAGAATATTTACCAGACCACACACTAGAAGGTGAAGGGATGACGACGACGTTTCGGTCCGTCCTGGACCATTCTCAAGTCAATTATGTCACAATTGACATGAGAATGGTCCAGGACGGACCGAAACGTCATTGTTCCTTCACCTTCTAGTGTGTGGACTGGTCAACATAAGTTAACAATCATGGTGTATTGTACCTTGGAAGAAGAGTCCACTGGGGTGTTTGAGGGCAGCCTTTGAGACAGCGAGCCAGACAGCAGTGTCAGCACCCTCAGCTGGTGACCTCAGGTTGGCCTTCATCTGCACCAAGTAAGTATTTTATGGTGCAAGGGGTTAATGGGTTTACATCACTGGTTGATTTAGGAGAGCAAGACATTAAGACAATGCAAGTTTTTTGCAAATTAAAGTTATACCCCATTTACATTCCACATTGTTAAAGTTACTTGTCCCTCCTTCCCCCAGTATGATAGTTATGCTATACATGCATCTGGCCTGGCATATAACCTGTTTATTTTCAGCAGAGCACATTTAGGTAGGTTTTGAATACAAGTGATTTTTCCTTGGTTAGTCTGAGTACTACTTTGACCCTGGTTCTTTCTAAGCGAGGACAAAAGTTTATTGTGTCTAGCTGCGGCAAGGTCAATATGGGAGTCGGTAACTGGTTCAGCATCAAATTTGGGCAAAGGAGACTGTGTTTCATGTTCCTCAGCACTTACCTGACGCAGAAGGCAAGGAGGCCCATAGCCAAGTTTACGAGAAGAGATCAGTCAGTGGCACTACAAGAATAGCCATTCTGTCTACAGATACCCTGAAGCATCACTACCAGTTCATGAAGAATTCAGGCAAGCCTATCAAGTGCAACTCGGGAGAGTTTCGGACTTACAAAAGGTCATTGTCCTCCTTGGTCATGGTGCAAGCACTCACACGTCAAGAGACTTAAGTACCTGAGGTTAGATCCATTCAGTATTTTATTCAGCCCACTCAGCACCAGTGAGGTAAAGTGTTTAGTGACTTTGGTATGTGTGCATCAGACCCCTGGATGTCATCACCAGTAGGAGTTTGAGGACGTGTCTCTCCTATGAGCACTCATGATAGAATGAAGCATGGCTCAGGGAAGGGGCTTTCAGGTACCACCAGAAATATATTATAAACTAACCAACTAATGTGTGTACTGTTTATACAAATGTTATCTTTGTTGTGGGAGCATATTAGTTATTTTTATTGCAGGAGTATGGACATCTTGTAGAGAATTCTGTATTCTTGATTGGCAACCAAGAGGACATGTGACAATGTACATAGATGTCACTGGAAAAATCTGCACATTTGAGGATAATCCATTAGGGAAGTATAAAACCATTGTGGTTCTGTACTTCCCTAAGGTTACACCACATACCCAATGTGAGATATTGTATGTTTGATGCACTGAAAGAAGGTGAGAGGTTTCTAGTGTTATTTTATGTGAAAATTAAGTTAATCCTCTGATCCATTGTGTGTGGAGGGTGACCATCCAAGGTACAGTGAGTACTGGATTATATTATTAAAGGGATGATATATTCAGGGACATGTTTTGAGTGAGCAGCAGCAGTTAGAGGTAGTAGTGAGAAGTTGAGTGCCTGCCATTATAAATACTCCCCCCCCCCCCCCAAGTCACAGTGCCAAGTTTATTTTCAGTCACCGTACCATGGATGGTTTTGGCCATGACCATGGCTTCCCTGGGTCCATGAGGCGAGGTCAGGTGCAGTAAGATTTGGAGGAAGTGAGCAAATGGCAGAATCGAGGTTTGGGGAACAGCAGCCCAGTAGAAGCAATCTCAGTAACCTTGCACTGTAGTTCTTCAGATGGTCATAGGGACCTGGACTAATTCCTACAGGACTGCAAGGTGAGGTAAAGTGCAGTAGATATATCTTCCATTAAGTGGAACTGGGGCACAGAGTAAGATAAGCTGCTGTGTACAACATTCATCAGGCTGCCTGCCTATGGCTGCATTTCCTCCAAGAATTTGGAGATCCCAATCTCAACTGTACTATTTGCTCACCTAGCACTACATCTCATGCAATTTACCTTGGCTAATGGCCCTGGGAAAATTGTGGAGCCAGGTAACTGCACCCAGGCTGTATACTGCTACCTCAGGAACCATGACTCTGTTGCTATTTGTTCACCTCCCATTAAACGTACTGCATCTGATCTCGCTCTTTTTGTCCCATTGACTGCATTCTTGGGTATGCACAGTCCTGAATATTCAACAACTAGGTTTCCCTTCTGCATGCCCTGTTTCCTCTAGCCCCATCTCTGAGCTAATGGCAGAGATAAGATCAGAGGAGCTATGGCATGTAGCACACAGTTCTAAAAAACTGTTTATCATTCCCTGGGTGGCTGTGGATGCCCAGACTCACGGTTCACCCAGAGCCACAAAATGAGATCAGGTGCAGTAGGTTTAGTAAGTGCTTAGCAGATGGTAGAGATGAAACCAAGGAAACCACAGCCTGGAGAAACCTTAGATATCAAGAGGCTGCATTTGTCCAGGTGCATGTGGATACCTGGGGCTGTGATTCCCAGGATGACAGAGGTTTCCCTGAATGGCCACAGGTATGTACAGAGCTTTCCCAGGTGGCTGCAAAACCTTGGAAATCTGTAGTGAGTATGTTTACTCGCTACAGAAGTGAGTAAACATTATACTCACTCCAAATCTAATTTTTTTGCAGTCACAGAGGCAAAGAGGTTGAATTTTGCTTACTAATGCAGTTGAAGAGAGCAACCCACCACTATGAACTAGTATTACATGTTTTTTCTAGAGTGCCACACAAAATAAAATAACTTTCTACTTCACTGCTGTTAATGTCTCAAAAACTTTTATAATTCCAGATCACCTGACTGTCTCACAGAATAAACAGAGGTAAGACTTGTTTTTACCTCTTCGTAGAACTGCGGTAGAGAGTTTCGCACACCAGGAGTGTCTACCCAGCCCGGGTGCATGCAAGAAAAATGCACCTTATCATACCTCTGAGCAAACCACAGCGACATCACCACCTGCACGAAGTATAATAATCAAAACAAATTAAAATTATTATATCTACACACAAAATTCAGGAATTAAATTTCATTTATAAGTTAAACTTGCTGTAAATTACATATAATTACTTATTAGAAATTTAAATTTCAAATATTTTCTTTTTTATAGATTTGTGTTACATGCCTTGAGATCAAAGTGTGGTAGTAAAGAAGGAGTGTGACTACTGTCATTATCTACAATGTGAGTGAAGTTGTGTAAACTACAGTGATCTCAAACTCTCAATCCCAGTCTGCTTTAACCCTTGCACTGCTCACCTATTTTCGGCAAAAACGTCTTGGTGCAATTGTCAAGGACATATTTTTGTTATTTTTACAAATGTTCAGGTAAATTTAATGTCAAAATGTTTCCAAAGTCAACTATTTCCATTTCAAAACACAAATAGTAATGAAAACATTAAAAAACATTAAAATATAGCCAAATTAAAAAACAAAAAGCACAACTCTCTGAGCGCCTAAAGGCGCTTTGCGCAGTGCAGTGGTTAAGTGTAGGAAAGATGGCCATTAAGAGGCCTTCATGCTGGATTTAAATAATAAACTATAAAATTGTATGCAAGCACCTTTTTAACGTATGCTTTCAGCTATCACAAAGTTTGGCTAATCAGTTTCCATTTTTGTCAGAGAATACTGTCATGGTAAAATCTCTAGAAAGAGATTCGGCCTGCTCCATCATCACCTATTCTATCATACCACATCTATATATTCAGGTACTGCAGCCACAAGAACAACAACTACAACTACTTCCAGACGTCTAGACAGTACCTCCAGTCTCCCCCCTTCACCACAGCCCGTCACCTCACCTGGGAGCTCACGCCACCGGCCGAAACAAGCAGTTAACGAGCCGGTTCATAGTTAAAGAAGCTACCAGTACCACCTGCACGGCTGCAGTCGTGTATATATATATATATATATATAGGGCTACCTAGCCCACTACAATTCAGATTACTCCCGAGTGCTCTACTAAGTAGACCTGTTGATATATCTTGACATGGTAACGAGTTATTCAGTCTGGCTCACAGTATTACTGCACCATATTTTAATTGCACATTAATGTAACATAAATTTGATTGTCTGTTTATCTTGTTCATTTTGTATACTTAGAATATAGCCAAATTTTGGATATTATTTATATTTTCATGTTAAGTAAACTATTTTAAATGTTTTCTCTCTTGTGCCTTATCCTACAGCTGTCACACGGTGAAGATTACACAGTCTAATTTTTTTTTTCTTACGTGACTGGCATTCCATCTGCCTAGAGAGACTGTGATACCATCTATTTTTCTCGTCACAATACATAGAAATATAGAGAGGAGGTATGGTAGGGGGGGGGGGGAGACAAAATGACATGGCACAGTTGATAATACATTAGTTAGGTGGCTAAACACCTTTATGTCTGGATAGTAACTGGTTGGATGAGCACAAGGACAGCTTTGCCTTTTAACTATAGGAACCTCAGCAAGTCAAATGGGCTTCGTTTCATGTCCCCAACTAAAAACGATTTACATTTATGGGTACCAAACTGTCACAGCACAACTCCATAAATTATAAATGGACACTATTACAAACAGTGATATTACCTGTTGACGTTTGTTTTGAGAGTAGACAAGGAGACCATCGTAAGGATCAATACCACTGTGCATGAGGTCATCAGGCTCCAGTCGCACGCACAGCATCCCAGCCGAGGAAATATTGATTACACGTGCATCCTCGTTCCTACCAAACAAATAATGTCTTTAGCATAATGTGGTAATCAATTTATAGTTCAGTATTGCCAAACAAAAGGGGCAATTCATTCTTCTGTGTCAGGAGCATGTGTTTATCAGTGTACCCAAAGTGAATACAGATGTGTCTTTTGATACTGTACACTTATCATATATACCATATACACTGTGCATGTGTGTACTTCTTGTTAGCAGGGTATGAGCACTGGCTCCTCATGACCTATACAATGTGTATCAGTGGTGCTCAAGGATACATTACTTGGATAGCCAGTATCATAAAGCAAACTATGAAATAGCACAAACTTCTGTTAAACATCGAGTTCTACATCTGCGACACACTAAATAAGTCTGTCTTTCATGCTGTTTACCTTACTAAGACATGGAAAGATAATCAATTTCTCTCTTCTCCATTTCTGATGTACTGAACTATATTTTGCACTAGTGCTTTAATTAATTGGTTCATTAGCACTGAGGGAAAGAGAGAACACTTTAAATTGAAGCAAGGATAGATGCAATTGTGATGAAAAGACATGCAAAACAAGAAACGGACAGCTGGATACCTGATATTATTGTCCTTCTTGTATCTTACACACATAACAATGAAAGATAGCTAGCATAAGCACCTCTGGAGAACAGGCAGGAGGGTAATTGTCAAGATGTAGGGGGCAAGGGTGTTCACAGCAAAATTAACATCAATCTCACAGCCATCTTCATCAAACCGTCGCTCGTGCAGAAGGCAACCTGCATTGTTGACAAGCACATGAATGTGCTCCTGCTGCACTGCAAACTTAGCAGCCCATTCTGTTACTGCCTTCGGCCGTGCCAAGTCCACCAGGTGAAGGTAGATTTTCTGTGAAAAGAAGATCGAGTTAGCGCTGGCAAGTATGATGTAGCTGTTGTAGGGATGCTGGTGGGTGTGGTAATTGTACTGGTCTGGGTGGTGGGGTGTTTATGGTGTGGTTGATTAACTGTGTGTGTACAATACTGTATGTACAGTAAGAACCACCTCTAGAGCCCTTTTTCACTGTTATTGTACTGCCCTATGTTCCAGCATGTTGTATGTGATGTTGATGCTGTATATTGTAGTTGCTTACAGTTGTAGTTGCTTATGATGTTGATGCTGTATAGTTGTAGTTGCTTATGATGTTGATGCTGTACAGTTGTAGTTGCTTATGATGTTGATGCTGTACAGTTGTAGTTGCTTATGATGTTGATGCTGTATAGTTGTAGTTGCTTATGATATTGATGCTGTATAGTTGTAGTTGCTTATGATGTTGATGCTGTATATTGTAGTTGCTTACACAACTTCTGGTTCAAGCACATTTCACTTGTTTACCACTCATTAGATATGAGTACTGTATTTCTTTACACTTCTCTGGCTCATCTGTTTCCAACTTTCACCTGTGCCACCTCATTGTGTTATCGATCACCTGGAAAAACTTTCTATCCACTGTAGTTATCCCAATCTTAAGTGCAGATGCCACTGAGCCTCCAGATTGTACTAGGCTTTTTTGGGACTTGCACGAGCCTACCAAGAACCAGGATCAGAATTTTGCTCTCTTAATGAGCTGAGAGGATAATGAACATCAGAGATTGACCACACAAGTGAGGAAAACTGACCAAAACTATAGACTAAACAAAACAAACCACTGCTTGAAAGAAATTGAATTAAGAAAATGAAAACTCAATTGGTCACCACAAGGTGACAGCCAAGATCACCCTGGGTCCAGATCCACACCTGCCTCACTTAAGGCCAAAATCCCAAAACCTCAGTGAAGAAACGACAGGATGGTAACATGGAGTTACCGATTGGCTAACCAGAAATTGGTGTTTAATTTCACTCCACAGTTTATATCAATGTTGGCCCCCTCAGTAGCCCCAGTCTGGTCTGTCACCTGGTGGTTGAAGATACTAGCTGTCAATGGGTGAACAACCCTATTTGCTTTTTTTCATTGTTTAATTATTATTCTTTCAAGCAGTGGTTTATTTTGTTTAGTGTGGCTTTTCTAGTTAGCTTTCAGTTTTAAATCTATCTCTGAGCCCAATTTTACTCTCACCATGTTGAGAGAATCTGCTTCTGGTGGTGGTTGTAGGGGGACTAAGTCTCAGAACCTTGGTTCAACCTGAACTTAGTGGCAAAAGCACTTAAGCTTAGAAGAGCTGCCAAGGTGGCCAACCCAGAAACAGGAAAGTGACATACAGCAAATGCACTTAATGGAAATGAGAGCATAAGAAAGAATTCAGAATGTATAACATTACAAAATCAATAATTCATCCATACATCATTGCCGGTGGTAGTGATGATATCTGAACGTGCTGCCTTAGCAGAGTCTTCATTGCGACACACCATGTGGAGGATGCCGCCCCTCTTGGCCACAGCCAAAGCTATCTCGTAGCCAATCCCACTGTTGCATCCTGTGTGTGAACAAGGTAACACTGTTGAGGTACAATTAAAGGTCCATGCAGAGAGACTTGGTAGCAATAACAAATGAAGACATTATATTTAATTTAGGAATTTTATGCTTTCTAAAATTTTCTAAACACAAATTATGCCAAAAAGACTTAGAATAAAATAATATTGAACCGAATAAATCTTAATATTTTTAGCCTCGAATTGATTTTATGTAATCTATAACACTGCTTTAGTAGACCTAAAATGAGGTAACCAGTATTATCACCGACTTAGGAATTCCCAGTCATAGATAATACTGTACCTTATAGTTTAATTTTGTATTTTATTAATGTACATGCAACATCTAGAGAACACCATTGCATATCACCTTCAGACATGTATATTGGGTACAAGGAAGGTCCTTAGAGCTGTCACTGATTCTGTCATGATAAGCTTAAGTTATTAGGTCACATTGAGTATGCCCCATATGCTCTTTTTGGTAGATATGATAGACAATGGTTTTAGCCAATACACTGTAGTCCACATACAGTATAATAGGGCACCCCAAAGGTGACTGTGATGCATAGTCTGTAGATTGTCTCTCATAAAAGAATATATCTCAATAAAACTACAGTAATTAACTGATATTTAAGCTTATGGGGGTTAAAATGGAACATAAGAGGGGTGTAAGGAATGCACATTATATGTTAAAATATCAAGTGCAAAATGATGAAGATAGGTGTAGGGAGCAGGTGGCCAAACACAAGCTACAAGTTGGAAGAGGAAATCCTACAGGAGTCAGGACGAGAGAAAGATCTGGGGTTGATATCACACCAGACCTGTCCCCTGAAGCCCACATCAAAAGGAAAACATCAGCGAAACATATGCAAGGCTGGCGAATATAAGAACTGCCTTCAGAAACTTGTGTAAAGAATCATTCAGAACCGTGTTTACCTCGTATGTCAGACCAATACTGCAATATGTAGCTCCAGCATGGAGTCCACATCTAGTCAAACACAAAACAAAGTTAGAAAAGGTTCAGAGGTATGCCACCAGGCTAGTCCCCGAGCTGAGAGGAATGAGCTACTGTACATATAAGGAAAGATTACTGGAACTGAACCTCACAACACTGGAATACAGAAGAGTTAGGGAAGACATGATCAATACCTACAAAATTCTCAAGAGGAATTGACAGGGTAAAGATAAAGATAAACTGTTTAATACGGGTAGTACGTGAACAAAGGGACACGGGTGGATACAGAGTTCCCAAATGCGCCACAGGAACGTTAAAAAAAACTGTTACAGTGTCAGTAGTCAGCAGATAGAATGCATTAGGCAGTGATGTGGTGGTGGCAGACTCCATACACGTTTCAAATGTAGATATGAAAGAGCCCAGTAGGCCCAGGAATCTGTACACCAGTTAACTGACAGTTGAGAGGTGGGACCACAGAGCCAGAGCTCAACCCCCGCATAACTAGGCGAGTATCACTTATGAAGGAGTAAGATCACAGTTGATGGGATAAAGTCACAATTAAGGGATATGGTCATACATCAAGAAAGACATACAGTACTATATTTGTGTAGACTATTGAGGTTACACTTTAAAGAGAGTCACTGACCTGTGATGACATAATGACGGTCCGAGCAGTCAATGTCAAGGTCCTCCTCCACAAACTTTGTGCGGCTATATTCATAACCACTCCTGCAGAAGAAGCGCACACACTTGCTTTGTTTAATCCATTTATTTTAGTGAAGCACAGAGAGAGAGAGAGTGAGAATGGAAAACAGGAGCTAAAAACAAAAGGGCAGCAAATAAATGGCAAGTGGAACATATATATCACAACAGGAAGAGTACTGTACAGTAGTAGCAAGATTAAAAATACAGAAAACCACTTGTTTTTTGGATGCCTCAGGATTGAGACAACGAATAATCTGTTGTGTTGAATAATCAGAAGTCCCAATACGTATTAACTATTAGCTCAAGAAGTGGGACATAAGAGTTAATGTCCAACCTTACAGACATTTTGAAGTAAGTACACACTTAAACAATAGCAATAAGTCCTGGGTCAAAGGCAACTGGAAAAGAAAGTTATTGTGTTGGAGTGCTAATTTCCTCCAACAACAAGAAGCTGCTATGTGGCTTTGACCAAGGCTGTTGTTACCATAACCTCATTTGCAGTCTATAGATGATGAGAAAAGGTTTCATCTATTTTTTTTTTTTTTAGAATACAGTATATACATACAGTATTAGTACATATGCAAATACAGTATAGAACAGGCCATTGACACTACCCCCAATCTGTGTCCATGTTTAACACACATCAATCCTGACATGAACACAGCACTATAATAGAATCTGTGCATTAATGACTTTACATAATATACATTGTGTATCTACAAATACCCCACTGTATCTTGTCTCTAATGTATGTTATATAAATACAAATTATTTGTATTGTTATATAAGCATTACCCCCGAAAGGTTAGATGGCTGCCTAGGTTCATTAGCTTTTACTTAAGTATAAAATTTGAAGTAGTTTTACATATCAAAAAGTGAAAACATTCTGACATGAGATTAGTCCACAAGTTGAGAAATATACTGGAGACTGGGAAGGTACTACAGTGGATAAGGGATACCTAAGAAAGAGACGAAGAGAAGGCAGAGAGTTGCAATGATGGACGCATCACAAGAGTCAACACACACAACCAAGGACAATTCCCTACATGGCAACTGAGAAAGGGCACTGGGGCAGGAGGTCAAAGACAATAGGAACTAATTGGGAAAAAGACCTGGGAGTAGACACCTCACCAAACTCATCATCTGAGACACCACAAACTGGATAACATCAACTGCATATGCAAGTCCCTCAGAATGGAGAGGCATGAATTATGAGAACATGATAAATAAACCTTGCCTCACTCAAGGAGAAGATATATGGCAGAGATAATACAGAAGGTATAAGTAAGTAATTATCAATAGAAGGCACCAAACCGGGAAGGCTATGTAGCACCAACAGAAGGTATAAGAGGATTTGCTATTTCATACAAGAGGGACATAAATCAAGGGATGGGAGGAAACTAAATTAAGTAGCCAAATGAGCAATTTATAGATCTAATTAGAAATAAATTCTTAAGATCTGCAGTAACACCAATATAGAATTAACTACACAGTATGTTGTGTAGACAGCTCCGTACACAGTCTTAATGCACTGTACCACAAAGTGATAAAAGAACCCAAAGTTCTGAGATAGAACAATGGAATGAAGTGAGAGGTAGGGTGCTAAAGCTCAAGGATTGCAAGTACTGTACAGGTTAATGCTAGTGTCAGGCCAGAACAAGAAAATTATCAACAAAACCAGTCATTTCTCCTCTAGTAACTACAGTATATGTAGTAATGTATTAAATAAAATAGTAACCATATGTAACTTTCTGATTAGGCAAATAGTGGTGAATGTAGCAAAAGAGAATGGCGATGAATGTAGAGAGAGAGAGAGAATGGCGATAAATGTAGAGAATGGTGATGAATGTAGCAAGAGAGAATGGCGATGAATGTAGCAAGAGTGAAAACAGCAGTAAAAACACTAACCAAACACTTGGAACAATCAAGCGTACCTCTGACTTTAAGGAAAAGAAGGTAGTGAATCAATGGTATAAATCCTGACCGGGGAGGATTTACTGGGCGCAAATCCTTAACTGTAGCCTCTGTTTAACTCAACAGTAAAATGTGTACTTGGTTGTAACAACGATTCTTCGCGGCAGGGGATCGTATTCCAGGGACCTGCCCGAAACGCTACGCGTACTAGTGGCTGTACAAGAATGTAACAACTCTTGTATATATCTCAAAAAAAAAATCTCTGGTGCGCCCCAATTTAGATTGCTGCATCCAAGCATGAAGATCTCATCTTCAGAAGGACATAGCTGCTCTGGAGAAAGTGCAACACTGGGCAACAAAAATCATTCCAGACCCAAGTCAACTCGCGTACAAGGGCCACGAGGCTACTAACATTGCAAATGTAGCGAGTAAACTTATACTCGCTCCACAAATAAGTCATGACAGGGCAGATCTTAAAACTTTTAAAGTACTGAACAATTTGGAGGATGTTTATCCGAAAAATTTCTTCAAAAGGTCAGATGTAACACAAACAGGAGCAACGGTTCGAAGACTCAACAAGTCACAACGTAGGACTAAGAACAGAAGAAGCTTTTTCACCCATTGGGTTATAAGACCATGGAACAGCCTAACCGTGAAGCCGGTTACCTTCAGAGATGATTTCGGGGCTCGGCGACCCCACGGCCCAGTCGTCGACCAGGCCTGGAGAGAGTTCTGGTCGTAAATGCCAAAACTCGTTAACTTTAAAGTACAGCTGGAAAAGATTATTAAGGCAAATGGGGGGGGGACCTTTGACAAGCCGTCGGCTTCCTGTCCTCGTTGAGGCCACTAGTGTTTGTAGCAAGAGAGAATGGTGATGAATAATATAAGATGTCTATTCAGGTAAAGGTACATACATTGAAAATGAGTTACAATGTCGGATTAATAGATATAGCTAGTACATACAATGCCTGAAGCCACTAATAAGCACAGCGTTTCGGGCAACACTGTGTAGCAAGAGAGAATGGTGATGAATGTAGCAAGAGAGAATGGTGATGAATGTAGCAAGAGAGAATGGTGATGAATGTAGCAAGAGAGAATGGTGATGAATGTAGCAAGAGAGAATGATGATGAACGTAACAAGAGAGAATGATGATGAACGTAACAAGAGAGAATGATGATGAACGTAGCAAGAAAGAACAGCACAGGTGAAGAACGTAAGTAATAAGGGACTCACTTTGTGTACTCTCTGCTGCCCTTGTAGTTCCATATGGAGCGCCTGTACCAGGAAGTGGTAGACATTCTCGGCACCACTCTTGCTTTCTTGCGACCTCAAGTTTTCTTGGTTTTCCCTTATTGGGATGCAAGGGTTGTGTTGTCCCAATCTCCCCAGGTGGGATGCTGGGGCTTCTGTTATACAGCTCTCTCTCCAGTTGGGATGCTGATGGATACAGTTGTCCTGGTTTCCCTTGTTAGTATGAAGGCGAGGCCTTTTGTTCTGGTCTTCCCATTGGGATGTAAAGGAGTCCTGGTATACTATTCTTTCCCGTTGGGATGCTGGGATTCTGTATTTTTTGTAAGGCGAGTTCTCTATTGTTAGTGTCTGTCACACTTCGTCCTGGGTGTCACTAACGAGTACTCTCTCACACTACTTTTCCTAATGTCATTCCAACTTTTCCAGCTTTACACCGACACACATTCACATACACACATGTACACAATCCTTCATGTAGGTGTCCTTCACACGCTGTGTTCCTGTCTTTGCTTTGATGATAAATTATAGTCCATTGTTGGTATTATATCCACTTCTTATTACGATGACGTTTCCTGGAAGAAAGAAATCTTAATTAGCTATTTATTAGGGTCTCTTAGTACAGTTGACTTTGATCTCTATTCACAATTGGTGATCCCAAGTTCGATTCCCGGGGACAGAAATGGTTAGATTAGTTTCCTTTCACTTGTTCACCTGGCAGTAAATGGGTATCCGGGAATTGGGGAGCAGAAGGGGAGTGGCATCCTGGGAAGTCAGTAGTCTGACCTTGCATAGAATACAAGACTTTTGTCTTAATACAAGACTAAAGTATTTTGACCAGACCACACACTAGAAGGTGAAGGGACGACGACGTTTCGGTCCGTCCTGGACCATTCTCAAGTCGATTGTGAGAATGTCCACAATCGACTTGAGAATGGTCCAGGACGGACCGAAACGTCGTCGTCCCTTCACCTTCTAGTGTGTGGTCTGGTCAACATACTTTAGCCACGTTACTGTGACTCATCGCCTGCAAGACTAAAGTACATACATGGATGTGGGAGTTGTTGGGGTAACTTAGGTGGGGGGTGAGACGGGCGAGGTGGAAGGTAGTTGTGATGGCAGCGGAGACACAGTTGTGAGGTAGATCTGGGTGCCGATAAGGTAGGCAGGAAGAAAGAGTGAACCTCGAGCACAGATAAGGTGATAACACCTCACACAGCTGGGGAGCGCCAGGGAAGCCCTTCGTATTGCTGTATGTACAGTCGCGATACAGGTGGGGGTGGGGGGAGGGTAGGTTTTGCACGATGCAGGTGGTATAAGTTACATGATGCAGGGGGAGGGATGAGGGGTTGTATGCTTGCATCACACTAGTAAATTATAACGCGGTATTATTTATTTAAAATACTAATTTGTATTAGGACGCTGTATTTCAGCTGCAGTTTCTGGATCCCGTCCATTGACTTCCTACAGCCCTCTATTTAAATCCCTTTCCAATTCCTATAAGCCTGCATGTCAATTTTAATTATAGACATACTGAGAAACAAAACTGTGGCCAGTACTGATCCTTGGGGAAGAGCTCACACTAGTAATTTGTCCCCATATACATAACCATTTTAGTCCTCAATGTTCCTCCTATATTTTATAATTAAAAAATGTATCTTTTGTAAAGAGCTGGGCCGGAAACTGTCTTAAATGTGTGGCCGTGCCAGGCTGCTCAACCCGGGCTGTGAGTCAGGTCGCGTGGTCCACAGATTGCCTTTGAACACTTGTGTGTGTGTGCGCGCGCGCGCTTGTGCATGTGCGCTTGTGCATGTGCGCTTGTGCATGTGTGCGCTTGTGCATGTGCGTTTGTGCATGTGTACTCACCTAATTGTGCTTGCGGGGGTTGAGCTCCGGCTCTTTGGTCCCGCCTCTCAACCGTCAATCAACTGGTGTACAGATTCCTGAGCCTACTGGGCTCTATCATATCTCCATTTGAAACTGTGTATGGAGTCAGCCTCCACCACAACACTACTTAATGCATTCCATTTATTAACTACTCTGACACTGAACAAAATTCTTTCTAACGTCTCTGTGGCTCATCTGTGTAATAAGTTTCCACCTGTGTCCCCTAGTTCGTGTCCCACCCGTGCTGAAGAGTTTGTCTTTGTCCACCCTGTCAATTCCCCTGAGAATTTTGTCGGTATTATCATGTATCATTTTGTAAGGTTATCATGTCTCTCCTTACTCTTCTGTTTTCCAGGGATGTGAGGTTCAGCTTCTTTAGCCTTTCCTCATAGCTGTGTGCATGTGTGCTTGTGCATGTGCGATTGTGCATGTGTGATTGTGCATCTGCGCTTGTGCATCTGTGCTTGTGCATGTGTGATTGTGCATCAGCGCTTGTGCATCTGTGCTTGTGCATCTGTGCTTGTGCATGTGCGCTTGTGCGTACGTGCGCTTGTGCATGCATGCATGTGCATACGTACAAGCACATACGTGCAAGCGCACACGTGCATGTGCATACGTACAAGCGCATACGTTCATGTGCAGACGTGCATGTGTGCATTTTTTTGTGGCGGACCTTAGAGGTTAGTTTTAATGACATCATTACTGTCCCACCCTCTACCCCCAAATCCAGCCTTTCACTTTTATTTAAGCCCCAATATTTATAATATAAAAATTATATCCAGCATGTTATTTATCAATCATTACCTATCCATTACCTATCATTACAAATCTCAGCTTCATTTGAAGCTGAGATTGGATGATATTGCGAGAGTTGGCGAGAAACCACCTCGAGAAGCACTCAATTCCTTTAATACCATCACGATCTATTACCTCTGGGCCCCCGCTCCTGTGCCAGGTAAGTCCACTACGGGCTCACCATAGCCCGTGCTACTTAGAACGTTTTGTTCCCAGTAGCTGAATCTTAAGCAATATTACCTCAGGTAACTCGGCCGCCACGGCAAACGCCGACGACTTGCCCGCCCGCCACGGCAATTATGACTCATAATTTTTGCTACACCTTGAATTAAGATTACAGACTTCATCGAACTATTTATAGAACTTAAAATTTCTACTCGAGACGATGTGTAAGGTTATTGGTGGTTCTCAGCGACGCACTAACGCACGCACCTTGAGTGCACACCACCTGTGGGCGCACTTCTCAATCGAGCGCGCCCGCTTCCTGCTGGGTACAGGAGTGGAACATGAAGGTACTGGAGCAGAATATTGGCACGCGAGACTCATATTAATGAGAAAAAATATATAGTTCTTCTCTAGGGGGACATAAACAATAAAATAATAATAATATACAAGGAAATCTCATTCATGGGATGCATCAGTGAGAAAATCAGTTTTAGCCATAAGGATTCGAACCTGCACCCTGGGTACTCCCAAACAGTCCACAGGACCCCTTGTGGATTCAGTTGAAGCCCAGCTTACATTACAGGGGCCTGACAGCTGAGTGGACAGCGCTTCAAATTCGTAGTCCTGCGGTTCCGGTTCGATCTCCGGTGGAGGCGGAAACAAAATGGGCAGTTTCTTTCACTCTGATGCACCTGTTCATCTAGCAGTAAATAAGTACCTGGGAGTTAGACAGCTGATACGGGCTGCTTCCTTTGGGTGTGTAATAAAAAAGGAGGCCTGGTCGAGGACCGGGCCGCGGGGACGTTAAGCCCCAAAATTATCTCAAGATAACCTCAAGAAGAGATTACTTAAGAGTATATCGTGGTCATGTGATTTTAAGGCGAGTGATTGTAAGTACCGAGGGTGCTAGTTCAACTCCTTTAATTGGCATTGTTGCAGCACACACCTCATTATCTGCTTCATTTGTAATGTTAACATTACAAAGCTTATTGTGCAAGCCACATTATGTTCATCTGCTTTATCATAGTTACACAACCCTAACATACTTAATAACTAATCCATATTAATTAAAGCTTCCAACTCTACTAATTCCTTTATATATTATACAGACGCGCGCTTACACAGTTACGAAAGCTTTACATATAGGACACCTTCTTGGTAAATAGAGAGTGTTGTCAAATGGCTTCGTTAATTAATTAATCACACCTCTTTACATGGCCGCGGTGTTCATACATGGAATTGTATTTGTCACCTTCTATCCTAGCCAGCCACGTCACCTGGGATGATCATCTATTTAAAAGTCAAATGGAGGGTGATAGAGGGAGCTACGTCACCGCTCCAGCCATGACCTGCAGGGGCCAGCGGGGTCCCGCAGGGGTGCTCTTGGCTCTTCCCCTGTTTCTCGGTGACGCTGAGGCAGTTGTGCGAGTGGTGTGTGCAGTCGTGTAGCAGTCATGTGTGTGGTGGCAGCACAGGTGGCGGCTCCTGCACACACACGAATACTAACGAGCCACCGCACCAGCCTGTAATATGCGCCTTAAACTTTTTGCCGTGAACACCCACCTGTCACACACACACGCGCGTCTTGGAGGTTTCTTCCCTCCTGTTCACTAATATCCGCGCACTGCACTCTCCGGGTCTCCTTTATCACCAGTTACCTTGGAAGGGTGAGGGAGGAGGAGTCACCAGCGGTCCGCTCACTACTACACTCACCACCTGACTGGTGCACCCAGCCCCCCTCGCCCCCCACGGTGGGACGCCCCCCTACACCCACCTGCTGCCCCCCGCCCCCAGTCCTGTCACCCACAAAACCTTCACTCATTACTATGTGCCTTCACTGTAATTCCGGAGGGTAGATATATCATTGTTACTTGACTGTCTTGGCATGTATTTTATATCAATAGATCTACCTGAACTGACTGTAACTGTCTGTAATCTTGACGTACTTTCCCATTGTCACCTACACGGTGGGTATGGCCCGAGTGAATAATAATTAATTTAAACTAAAACCACATTCAAAGATGACATCACTGTACTAGGCTCAGTTTTGGACATCTCCCCCCCCCCCCCAACCACTTGGGCTGGTCGGTAGAGCGACGGTCTCGCTTCATGCAGGTCGGCGTTCAATTCCCGACAGTCCAAGTGGTTGGGCACCACTTCTCCCCCCCCCTTTAGTCCCATCCCAAATCCTCATCCTGACCCGTTCCAAGTGCTATATAGTCTAATGGCTTGGTGCTTTCCCCCTGATAATTCCCTCCCTCCCTCTCCCCCGCCCCCCCTACCATTACCCAATACAACAAGCCGCACCCTGTCTCTCTCTCTCTTTTGTGTGTGTGTGTGTGTGTGTGTTTTGTCAAGATGATGGAGATTGTATGTGAAGGAAAAGTTGTAGAACTGGTTTTATTGTTCTTGACCTTCGTTAGCTTGCCCGGGAGTGTTTGTACGGATCTTCAAATGGATTTCTACATCTTGTTAAGAGTAGCTATCAAATGAAATGCACTAGGAAGTGATGTGGTGGAAGAATCCACACACATAGTTTAAAATGGAGGTATAATAGAGCCCAGTAGGCTCAGAAACCTGTCCAGCGGTTGATTGGCAGTTCAGCGGCGAGACCAGAGTCGAAGCTCAAGCCCCACAAGCACAACTAGTTGAGTACAGTAGATGGGTATCTATAATCTAATGCTGCATAGCACTCGTGTATGTATACATACATACATACATGCATCTATATATATATATATATATATATATATATATATATATATATATATATATATATATATATATATATATATATATATATATATATATATATATATATATATATATATATATATATATATATATATATATATATATATATATATATATATATATATATATATATATATATATATATATATATATATATATATATATATATATATATATATATATATATATATATATATATATATATATATATATATATATATATATATATATATATATATATATATATATATATATATATATACAAGGCCCGATTTGCCTATATATATATATCATTATGTATATATTTTTTTTTATATAAATGACGTAGATATATGACCGAACCTAACCAACCCTATAACCTAACCTAACCTATCTTCATAGGTTAGGTTAGGTTAGGTAGCATAAAAGTTAGGTTATAGGTTATATATATATATAGTAGGCTGATATATATATATATATATATATATATATATATATATATATATATATATATATATATATAAATAAAACACACAACATTGCTCACCTCACATGCAGGGGACTTTCTGTTAGCAACTGGCACACCACACACTCTCCGAATTGCTGTGGCCATCCACCTTGCTGCCCCATTCCACACCAAGTATAGATGTATTTGTGGCAAGATTGTGGTCGACAGGTACGGACACCATGACCTACTCGGCCAAAGCACAGGGGGATGGCACTTGAGGCATAGTGAAGTTATCATCATCAATAGGAGCCTCACCACAGCTGGATGCCCAGCTGAGATAATAGCCTTATTACCTAACACCCCGTAACTCTGCTGCTCTTATTGGTCGCCCAGATGGTATCACAGTGAACCCCTGGAAGAATGGCAAGCAGTTGTATGGAACTACACGTGTGTCAACCCTGACTAACACCTACATTGCTGTCAGTGTTGCACATCCGGGTGGAGCTGCCACTCGCAGCGAATCAGCCAAGTCCCTTAAGTACAGAGAACGGGATCACCACTACAGTTTTGTCCCCATTACTTCTGAAAGACTTGGTGCCTAGGGTAAGAGTGTCACCAGTTTTTTTTAAGGAACTGGGTTCTAGGCTAATTGAGCCCTTAAGGACCAACCCTTAGGTAGGGACCAATTGTAGAGACCCATCACAGAGCTCGTCACAGCCCCCTTTCACCCGATGCCGGCTTTCTTCAAGAACAAGCAGAAGGAAGAGTAATAATTATTAATTAATTATTATTATTATAATAATTATAATAATTGTTGTAATTACTAATTATTACTCTTCTTTCTGCTTGGTCTTGAAGGAAGCCGGCCTCATGTGATAGGGGCTGTGACGATCTCTGTCTAGAACCAGTAGGTGCAGGACTCAGAAGTCCACAGCCTGGGGCTCGTGTGGCCCAGGCTCTGCTTCGGGAGGCTGGGGTCGTTCTTGCCCTTGCTGGGGGTGGTTCTTCTCCGGCCTCGACCTCGACCTCGACGGTCTCCAGGTTTGGAGTCACTGTGCCTTCTTTTACCAACTTCGAGGTTAACTCCGGAACTGGAGCCCCAAAATCTTGATATACAATGTCTCAAAACTTGGGTACAGTGCTCTGAACACAAAATTCATTATATGTCAAGATACAGGTAAAATGTTAGGGTCTTCTGTGTATTGGCAGTAATAACATGACATGATAATTAGTTTTGGATCATCTTCTGTAAGAAAAATATCTCATTTGATAAGTAATATTGATTTGATAATCCCATACAAGACATTTTTTGAGTTTGACAATAATCCATGTAAGTTTTGGTAATAAAACATCATGCTTAACTTATATTTAATAACTCCAACTTACATAGATTTGTTACCAGATAGTAAAAATATATGATTACATATGTATACCCTGGGCAGGACAGAAATGATTGGCTGCATTTCATATCTTACTGCCATGGTTGAATACCCCCCTGTTCACCTGGCAGTAAGTAGGTACTCAGGAGCTAGTCAGCTTGTTGTGGGGTTGCATTCTAGGCGGGGTCAGTAATTTGACCTTGGGAGAGGACGTCAATAAAAGCCTAATGTGAATGAAAACACACTGGCTGCCTGTCCATCAACAAAATGAATTAACATTACTGTCTTAGTAAAGACAGAATACAAACTTTTCTTAATTGCCCGAGTGTAACCGAAATGTTTTTCAGCACAAATGTGGAAGGCAGTTTTGTTTTTGGAAAGGAAAACTAAAATAATGGTTACGTGCTTTTATAAAAACTTTACAGTATTATGTCAGGTACTTTCCTATATGTTTATCTGCCCATACAAGGAAAAATGAGTTGAAAATTATTACCAAAAATTAAAAGAGATACTTATGAATCCCACGTGATGAAAAACACAGCTGGTCTCAATTCTGCACGAGTTTAGATAATGTGAATCCGAGCCCGTGATTTTAACACTCAAAATTCAAACTGCCCAAGGGTAGGGTCTGCCTGTATTCAAGCTGATGCAAGAAATTTGCACAACCAAAATGCTATTTTGGTGTGCAATGTTTCAATATAATACTGTACCTAACCATACAACTCCTCATTATCATCTCTCTTAATGCACTTTTTAGATGACTTTTTTTAACCTTTTTATTCCATGCTTCATCATACACAGTATTTGTTTCTGGAAAGAAGCAGGAATATTTAGTAATATTGTTCAAGTAGGTCTTTTACAGAGAACTTGGAAAAAAAAAGGGTCGATATTTGGACATTTCTAGAAAGTAATTCAATTTTCTCTCGTACAGTTTACTTGGCTTTGCACAAGGTTTTCAAGAATACAGTACATTCCACAAGTAGATCTAGGGCCAACAACAGTATCTATATTCTGTGCATAAAGTATATATCAACTGTTATGCTATCAATTCATTTCGGTGTTGTGAAACTTAATTGTATTATCACACTAGATATATTACCTAATGTCACACTCAACTAACACTGATGGCACCAACAGTCCCAATACACACAGAGCATAACAGACTAAGTTGTGAAAAAGAATCACATTTGCACCTCTGATTATGCAAATATTTTCTCTTCCCTTCGTTTCTTTGTCATAACTGTGCCAGGTTTGTGTTGGGCTTCATGGTGGTTAGCCAGCTCTGGTGGACATGATGACACTGGTGATGACAGAATTAGCTGCTTCAACTCATAGAACAAGTGCGAGTCATCTTTGGTTAAGAAAGAGATGGCCTTTCCATGCTTTCCGGCACGACCAGTACGACCAATTCTGTGGGTATAGTCCTCAATGTTCTTTGCCATATCATAATTGATGACAAGAGAAACATCCTTAATATCAATACCACGACCAGCAACATCGGTAGCCACGAGGATATCCTTTGCTCCAGACTTGAGATTAGCGAGAGCATGTTCACGCTGTTCTTGACCTTTGCCACCGTGGAGAGTTGTGGCATTGTGGCCCAGTTTCTCCAGACCACGGGCTAACACATCTGCACCCTTCTTTTGATTGACAAAAATGAGTACTGGAGGTGTAATGCCTCTCTTCAAAATATCGAGTAACTTCTTACGCTTTTCTTGTTCACTAACCATGAACACGGCCTGTTCAACACGTTCCACAGGTTTGCCTATAGAGCCAATGTACACATAGGCAGGTCGTCGAAGATACTGTCTTGCCATTCTTTCTACAGCAGGTGGCATAGTAGCTGTAAACATGACAGTTTGCCTATACTTATGTTTAGAGAGGAAGTTTTGCAGCAACTTGTCCTCATCTTCAGCATCTTCATTATCTGGCTTTTCATTTGTCACTGGCATAAACTTAAGAATTTTTTGAACATCTGGCTCAAAACCCATATCAATCATTTTATCGGCCTCATCAAAGACAACATAGGTGCACTGATTCAATACAAGGTATCGGTTTTCAAGCACATCTACGAGACGGCCAGGAGTGGCAATAACAATTTCACAGCCCATTCGTAACTTCATACCTTGTTCTTCACGTGACAAGCCACCAATAACTGCCACTGTTCGGATGCCAAGAGGACCTCCGAACTTTGTTGTTTCTTCCTCGATCTGTTGTGCCAGCTCTCGCGTTGGAGCCATGACTAATGCATATGGCCCCTGGTCTGCATCCTCTAACCGAGCAATTTTTGGAAGAGACTGAATCCATTCCAAAAGAGGAATGAGAAATGCTAAAGTCTTACCAGAACCAGTCTCTGCAACACCAATAATATCTCGATTTTGTAAACCAATGGGGATAGCCTGTCTCTGAATTGGTGTCGGGTCCTGGTATCCAACACTGGCAATAATGTCCAAAATATCTTTCTTTATATTAGATTCTGCCCATGTACGAATTGGATTGGGGATGCGACCTCCCTTGATTGCAATATTGTAATCTTCCCTGAAAATTCTCCAATCACGTTCTGTCATCTGCTCTACATTCTTTTCACTCCAGTGCCGATCATCCCACTTTTTCTTATCCTCCTTCTTCTGTTCTTTCTTTATGCGGATCAGCTCTTGGTCTTTGTCGGCCTGAGTACGACGATGTTCTATATAGTTTCCATAAAACTTTGATTGAACTTTCTTTTGTTCTTTTAAGTCTAGTCCACCAAAATGTCCACGACCAAAGAAATGAACAAGATGCTTATTGATGTATAGCTCATTGTAGTCTACTGACGTGTCCTCACCAGCATCCCAGTCAAACACAAACTTACGGTCATTCAACCTCCGAATCTTTTTCTTCTTTTTCACAATACCAAGGTACCTTTCATTAACAGCATCTCGCTCAAGCTGCTTTTTTCTTTCCAACTCAACATCCTCCTTATTCTCTCTTGGCTCTCGGTCTCGACGGTGTCGGTCGCGCTCCCGAGGATCTTCCTGCCTTAAGGCCTGCTCCAGTTCCCGCCGACCATCCTGGTACATGACTTCTCGCGCCTTCCTCTCCTCATCTTGCCTCTTGCGCATCTCATCAATCTATAAAAATATAAATATTATTCCCAACGACGATAAATCTCACTTTATAATTCTGATGTTTTCATTAACTGAACCACCTCTCTCAAGTTCACAGCAATTGATATTAATCTTTTTAATAAACTCCATGGCCTTAACTAATAACTCATACAGCATAAATACAAAGCAATCAGATAGTATGTGGAACAGTGTGAGGTACTGAGTAGAGCAAAGTAAGTAAACGAGCAAAAGTGTGGCATATATGGATGTATGCATGCTTGCATGTATGATGTGCGTGTAATAATCTAAGCAAGTGCAGTTACAAGATAAGATCTATGCTTGTGGTGTCCTGTCTTCCCTATACAGTATTCTGTTATATAATGCTTTGAAACCAATGATAGTTTTGGCATCCACCACCATCTCACTTACTGTGTTCCAAATGCGCACACTTCACTCTTCCTTCCTCACCCACACATTTACCTTTTTTTTTTAAACTAAGACTAGTGTTCATTAGAAATTTCACTGGTGTTAATATTTAAAATATAAGCTTAAGAGCTGATATCAACATCAGCTCATCTGAGGCCTAGCCCTAGGAATTAATTTATTTGATGAGCCTATTACTTATTAACATTAGAAATTAATTTTGCTTCATGATAAGTTACAAACACGTTAATAACAGGATGAAGCTGAAGCTGTATGCCAAGGCCTCCATATGATCAGTTGACTGGATTTAACATATCTACTTGTTGAGCAAACAAGTTCCAAATGCAAGTCAGCCTAAGAATGAATGATCGCTGATGGAGTGATGTACTAGAGAACGCCACAGACAGTATGAGGCCATTCAAGGCATAGTGCCTTGTGTTGCAGTTGTTAATGCCTGGTTCTCCAAGTTGGGCCAGATGAGGAATCTTGAGAACACTGACTTTAAACTGAACATTAAGGTCACCAGCACTGAAGAGGCCACCTCTCAAGTGCTGAGGGCTCTGATGTACTGACCAGTCCAACTACACTGGGTCAAGGCAAGACATGTTAGCCAGCAATTGCCAGACACATTAATGTGCTGAACACAAGCAGAAATGCTGACATTTAATCATTTTTGCTAAAACCCACAAGGGTAAAGAAACAAGTGAAGCACCTGCTGCCACTTATGTAACAGTAGGAGAAATATCAAACGAAGTGCAAGGGCCCAGTTCTTTAACATAGGAGAGAAACAGCAAGTGAAGAGCAAGGTGCCACTTCTCTAACATAGGAGGGAAACAATAAGTGAAGAGCATGGGCCACTTCTCTGACATCAGGATAGAGACAAGTGTAAGAGGAAGATACCAATTCTCTAACACATGAACAATAAATATTGACTTAAAAATACCATACCTCCTCTTGTCGGCGTCTGAGTGCCTCCGCTTGCCTCTCTGCCTTGGTCAAGAATTTGGGACGGCTGAGAGCTTCCTCTTCTGCCCTCTTTCTTGCTACCATTTCTTCCAAAGACAAAGGCTCTTTCTTTAATTTCTTTTCCGCCTCTCTTTTTTCCGCCTCTTCAATCTGCACATAATGATTGCTAATTACAATAGAGAACAGACATTTACAATTCTACAATAACACTGGAAAAGGTATAGTTTATTGGTCATGGCTGATTACCTCACTGTACCATTGTAATTCAAGTATCTGACCTTCCTTTTTATTCTCCGTAAGATAAATACACATTTGCAATGTACTTTATTGCATTATTAACAGGTAAGAAAACTTGGTAAATAAGTAAAGTGCAAGAAGCCAAAGTGTAGGTGACAATACAACGTTGACAGCTTCAGGGAAGAGTATAAAGTGTTCTCTTGGAAATATGGAGAAGCAGACCAGAGAAATTTATGATAGGTTGATCTAATCATAATAGAGGAAAGTATTTAACCATTAGACAGCTGTTAACATCAGTTGTTGATTCACAGGATAATGTGATTATCATCATATGAAGATTTAAAAAATTATTGTCTGGGCTTTACATGCATGATACAAATATGGATATAATAGGTCTATGTGGATGTAATGGAGTTTACCTTGACCTATGAAAAAATCCTGCAACCATTTCATGATGCAAATATGGTTATCATTTGATAATGATGAGAACCGCATTTGACTAGGGGAATGCGGTTAATCATCATTTGATGAGTTAAACAATTATTGTCTGGGTTTTACATAATGCAAATATGGATATAAAAGCTCTCTGTGAATGTAAATAAAGAAAAACAAGTAATCAAATTATCAGTGAAACATCGGAGGATAAAACAGAAAGCATCACCAGTCTAATATCAGGCACTGACAAGTGCCAGATGCAACCCTGCAGAGCGCCTCCACCCAGTGAAGCTATAAATATTCACTTATTTTCATGTTTCTCTTACATTCTGTGTGCAATTTAATAATTCTATAATGAAAAATTATTTGTTGGAATTTTTTGTTTTGTTTTTTATGCATAGGCAGATATGGCCATAGCTGCTGTTTAAGGATAATAGAGGTAACAAATAGTCAAGGTCCAATATTGAAAATGGATTCCCATTGGTACTGTAAAACTGATAAATTATAAGAGTAGTCAGTTATTTAAAAATTCAAGCATGTCTTCCAAGTCTCTACAGTTGCTTTCTTAACAAAGAAATAAAATAATGGGTACACTTATATCAAATACAGTACAGTACAGTACTGTAATGTAGCTTCAAAAACAGAAAAAGTACATCTGCAAACAAATTTTGTAATAGCAAGTATGATCCATTCTGGAGAGAATTCCATACTTGTACACACCAACCCACCTCCTCTGCCTTTAGTTCCTCCTTGGACTTTGCCTCAGGCGATCGCTTTCTTTTGTCTAACCGTTCCCTCTCCCGATCGCGCTCTCTGTCACGACCCTTCTCCCTGAGAGGACATATGAAAGATTAGTCCTTATGCTACTATCCAGGAATACTTAACTCATCATCAACAAAGAAAACATTAGAATGTAGTCTATATAGTCTGCAACTACCAACACTAAACCACCATCCAACAAAATCAAAGAAAATTCAGCATGGCTTCCCCCATGACTAAATTAATATTTATAAAATATAAATTTTATTGTGGTTAATCCCTCAACCCCCTGACCTCACCCTCTTTTTTGTCCTATATAAGCACAAGACCTGTATATCTCAGTTAAATTTGATAACTGTCTACAGGCAAGATGTAATCTACAAATAAAGCCTAATCTCAACTTAGTAATTCTCTGCATTCCTATACAGTATTTAAAAACATCCATTTGTGAATAATTTTGTTTACTGTTCTCCATACAAAATGATTACCAAAGTCTATAATAAAAGATTAAATAAAAATTAACATGTACACTATTTATGCATATATTAAATTTAATAACTAGGTATCAACTAAAATATGCAAAATAAAATTTTAAGCAAAATCCAACCTTAGTTTTTTTTTTAAGATGTACATACTGCTTTTCATAGTTATAACAGTTTATTATGTGTACTGTATATTGTTCACAAGAGAAGATTGTTCACATTGTGAACAATTGCCTATTGTTCACAATAAAGACAGAGCATACAAGCCAGAGAAGCTTACTTACCTCTCTCTGATGCGTTCCCTGTCATAGTCTCTCTCTCTCTCATTGTTCCTCTCACTGTTTCTCTCATTGTTTCTCTCATTGTTTCTCTCATTGATTCTATCATTTCTTTCATTGTTTCTCTCCTTTTCCCGCTCTCTGTAGTGATCACGCTCCTTTTCTCCCCTCTCTCTTTCTCCCCTTTCTCTTTCTCCCCTATCACGTTCCCTCTCCCTCTCCCTTCTTTCCTTTTCTTTTCTTTCTTTCCGTTCTCGCCGGTGCGACCTTAATCCTGTATCCTCATCCATGTTGTATTAACTGAAACATAAAAATATAGTGCTTAAAAATCTACAAAAATGTAAAAACATATTTTCAATGTTGGGCTCAACCAGAGAACAAATTAAGAATAGGGAAGGGAAATATCAGGCAAAAACACCAAGCCATTACGAGTACGTAGCACTTAGAAAGGATCAGGATAAGGATTTAGGAAGGGATGGAGATAAGGAATGTGCGAAACCACTTGGAAGGTTGGGGATTGAATGCCACCCTGCATGAAGCAAGACCGTCACTCTACCGTCCTGTCCAAGTGGAAGAAATTAAGAACCAGTTTTGGTGTAGATAAGAAATCAATGCCAAAATATTCCGGTTAAAAAAAATGGTTAAGAAATTGTTACAAAAATTTTGAGTTATGTATACAGATCTCAAATTGGATAATTGAAACAGTGTCCAATTTTCAAATTCAAAAAATTCAAATGTTTATTCAGGTAAAGTACATACATACAAGGTGTGAAATTGATAGATTTATAGATTGAGCTAGTACATACAATGCCTAAAGCCACTATGACGCAAAGTGTTTCGGGCAGGAAAAACACTAAAGACTAAAACTTAATACTAATTGAGATTAAAGTATAATTTGTGTTGAGAACATAAAAATAAAAAAGGGGGAATATGGCAGAAAAATAGCAAAAATACAATTTGATCGACAAACAGCATTGTTTAAAAAATAGCAGACATGGGTTGACATTTTAGGGATAAGATAGGTTACAGGGAGTTAATTAGGTAGTGCTTAATTTTTAACTTAAACTGGTTGGGAGAGGTACAGTCTTAAACATAATTGGGAAGGTCATTCCACATTCTGGGTCTCTTGATTTGTAGAGCATTTCTAGTTTGATTAAGTCGTACTCTTGGAATATCAAAAAGGTATTTGTTTCTGGTGTGGTGCCCATGGGTTCTGTTACAACCTTCAAGGAAGCTTTTAAGGTCAGGATTGACATTACAATTCAGCATTTTATATATACTGTATATATATAACCCACATGAGAGGATGTGCAGAGACTTAATATCTAACATATTCAGAAATTTGAGTAGGGGTACCGAATGATGTCTGGGGCCAGAGTTGGATATTGTCTAATAGCAGCTTTGTGTTGAGTAATTAGAGGACGTAAATGATTTTGGGTAGTAGAACCCCAAGAACAAATACCATAGTTGAGATATGGATAGATGAGGGAGTAATAGTGTGTCACCAGAGCAGGGCGAGGTACATAATATCTGATCTTAGAAAGAATGCCAACAGTTTTTGAAACTTTTTTGATATATTTAGAATGTGTCCCTGGAAATTCAACTTGTTGTCAATGAGAACGCCAAGGAATTTACCATCTAATTTGTTACAAATTTGGGTATTGTTCATTTTGAGATTTATTTGATTAGAGGATTTATTGCCAAACAAAATGTAGAAAGTTTTGTCAATGTTGAGGGTGAGTTTGTTGGCAGTTAGCCAAAGATGGACTTTATTTAGCTCAGTATTCACTGTGGCATTTAGAGCAAGGGGGTCAGGACTGGAGTAAATGAAGGTTGTGTCGTCAGCAAATAGAATTGGTTTGAGGTGTTGGGAGACATTTGGAAGGTCATTAATGTAGATGAGAAAGAGGAGAGGGCCAAGTATGCTGCCCTGAGGAACACCAATGTTGATGGTTAAGGTGGGAGAAATTCAATTATTCACAGAAACATACTGGAGCCTATCAGTAAGGTAATATTTGAGGTATTGCAGGGAGTGACCTCTGACTCCATAATGATGTAATTTAAGAAGGTTTTGGTGGTTGACAGTGTCAAAAGCCTTACGCAGGTCCACAAATAACCCAACAGGGAACTCATTTTTATCAAGAGCTGCATGTATCAAGTTAATCATACTAATAAGTGCATCTTTAGTACTTTTTTTTGGGTCTGAAGCCATATTGACAAGAGCTAAGTATAGTGTGTTTGGCTAGATAAGAGTAAAGCAGCTTGTAGATTAGTTTTTTAAATATTTTTGACAAGTTTGGCAGGATTGATATAGGTCTGTAGTTGTATACAGACCTATATTTAAATTATATACTCTAGCTACTAAAGATGGAGTGTACAAAACATCGACTGTTGTATCCACCAATAAATTCAGGTTTTGTATTGCAGTATATATTCTTGAAATAAAAACTTATGGACGGAATGACCCGAGATAAAGAATCATGAGCATAACTTTACCCCCTTCATGCTTGGGCCTGATGGAGCTTCCCTAGTTCCCAGCTGCACTCAAAGCTAAACACTACATTAAGGCTAAATAAGGCTTAACAACTCATACTGGTGGGACAAGTCACAACAACCATACTAAAAGTACACAAAACTACTCACTCGAAGTTCAAGTAAACTTGAAAAGTCGCAGCCGAATGTCACATGAAGCACCAGTGTTTCCCACCTGTTGGCCTTCTTGAGATGGTGTGTATATATTGTATGACCCCCAGAGTAGCACCTAATCCCTAACACTCTTCCCTCTTCGCAAGTTACGCTCTCCACTTCAATATTTCCATTTTTTGTTAGGAGATAAACAGCTCCCCGTGCTGGCCTTCCTGGTGTTCACCTCAACGTTTGTTGACGAATGATTGTCTTATGTTTTGGTGGAGTCAATGAAGCTCCCGCTTAGTAGTCAGACGCTCAGCGACCCCCATGCAATTTTCAGCGTTGAAAAAGAATTAACAGATAATGTAGTAGTAGTAGTAGTAGGCATCCATCAGTCTCAGGAGACTATGGAGTTGGGCTCTGGTTGTTGGTCCGGAGTGGCCTCTCCAGGGCGCAAAGCCAGGGTAGGTTGATATGCTGAAGCTGTTACCCATGCAGCAGGTCTCCCCCCTCTCCACGGCGCCGAAAGTCTCCAATGGAAAGACAAATGTCAATATGATTAGTTCCAGCGCCGTCGCAGGAACTGTCAGAACGATGTTGAATGTAACCATGAACTGCCCTACGGGCTCAGGAGTTAACCTCAACTGATAACTGTGGTAACTAACTCAACTGTTGCCCGAAAGAGCGTATTAGTGGCTTTAGGTATTGTATGTACTAGCTCTATCTATAAATCCAACATTATGTTTGTAAATCAACTATATACTTTTCCTGAATAAAATTTATTTATCTATTTATTTATAAAATGATTGACCTCAATTAATAATGATTTGCCCGAAAACTAGCTATAACTTCATCGAATATTCCCATCTCAGGATCATCACAGCAAATGGAAGGGGGGACGTTAGACAAGCCGCCGGCTTCCTGTCCTCGTCGAGGCCACTAAGGTTAATGGCCCTCAAATAAATCAAAGGTAAATTTGGTAAGGTCTTTAGTCTACCGTTTTTTTTTAGTTTAGTCCATTTATTATGCACCCGCAGACTAAAGATCTTACCTGAGATTACCTGAGCCACTTACACTAGTGGCCTAGACAGGAAGCCGGCAGGTTGTCATAGGTTCCTCCATTTGCCTTGATGATCTCTTCCAGCTGTACCTTAAGTGTTAACATTTTTTTGGGGCATGTACGGCTTCGGCGGGTAGGCGGTTCCATGGGTGTATAACCCTGTGGATGAAAAAGCATCTCTTATTCACGATGTGCATTGAATTTTGTAACTAGCTCATCAAGATTGTAACTTGCTTAGCTATATGAATTGTGGGGTTCAGTCCCTGAGCCCATTATGTGCCTCTGTAACCCTTTCCACTACCGCCCACAAGATGGGTATGGGGTGCATAATAAATGAACTAAACTAAACTTGTTTTCAGTCCTACATTATGGCTTGTTGAGCTTCAACCCGTTGCTCCTTGTTTGTTACATCTGACCTTCTGAAGAAGTTTTTTGAATCAACGTCCTCCAAATTGTTCAATATTTTAAAAGTTTCAATAAGATGCCTGAGACGCTGTGCATATTTGTGGCTTTAAGCATAGTATGTACTAAAGCTCTACCTAGAAATCCAACATTCTGTTTGTAACTCATCTTGTATGTATGTATGTACTTTTACCTGAATAAACATTTTATTTATATATTTATTTATGTAGGCGTACATAATACTAATAGTATTATTATACTATAATATTACGGGCTATTCATGCCCGTGCCACCACTTGGGTGACTTAATCTTCATCAATCAATCATCATCACTATGAAGACCCCAACTATCTACAGCTCTACAGTACCAGCTACTGATACTGTACTGGTAAGGGCTCCAAACAGCCTCCATTTACAGGCTATTCATGCCTGTGCCACCTCTTGGGTGGCTTAATCTTTATCAACCAATCATCATCAGTCTAACTCCCAAGAGTGGTTCAATGCAGATGCTTGAGATACCACACATCCACTAATATGTAGTATCATCACTGGCTGTTGTTGTTTTATATTCAGCTACTCGGAACAAAAAGTTCAAAGCAGCACGGCCTATGGTGAGCCCGTCGTACTCACCTGGCACAGGAGATGTGCCGAACTCATCAGTGGCACATGCCAGACTGGCAAACATAAGAATTACCTTTGGAAACTTGTGTTAGGAATAATTTAGAACCTTGTATACCTCATATGTCTGACCAATCCTGGAGTATGCAGCTCCAGTGTTGAGTCCATATCTAGTCAAACACAAAACGAAGTAAAAAAAAGTTCAGAGGTATGTCACCAGGCTAGTCCCCAAGCCGAGAGGTTTAAGTTGAGGAAAGACTATTGAAATTAAACCTCATGACATTGGAAGGCAGAAGAGTTAGGGGGGGAAGACATGATTACCACGTATAAAATTCTCAAGAGGAATTAACAGGGTAGTTAAAGAGAGGCTATTTATCACATGTGGTACATGAATAAGGGGACACGGGGGAAACTTATAATCCAAATGAGCCACTGGGATGTTAGAAAGATTTTTTTTCAGTGTCAGTGTAGTTAAGAAATGGAATGCATTAGTAAGTGATGTGGTGAAGGCTGACTCCATACACAGTTTCAAATGAATGTAGATATGATAAGAGCCCAATAGGCTCAGGAACCTGTACACCATTTGATTGACAGTTGAGAGGCGGGACCAAACAGCCAAAGCTCAATCCCCGCAAGCACAACTTGATGATGACATGTTTGTGTAAAGATATACATCTTTATGTACAATAGTATGTACATGCGCTACAGGGGCATGGCTTTTCTGCTTACAGAGCTATGTTAATGTTTCTGCACATGGGCTAATGCTTACACATCAATGACTAGGGAGAAGATCTAGCTCTTAATGTCACCTTTTAGCCATTCATTCTTAGCATACTAATTACCACTCAACTTTTTTCTTCATATTTTTCTTAAAAGTTGTGGATGGAATTGGCTTCAACTTCTTTCTTTAATGCCTTTCACTACTGACCACTCAAACAGGGAACGAGAACCTCCTTACATGTGTACGTTTATACATTGGGGTATATGTATGTTTAAACACCGGGATATGCATTTGCACATAAGTATGTGTCTGTGTACAAGAGTGTGAGATTTAGCTCCTGACTGTTAGACATCTATTTCCATTAAACATTCCAATCTTTGTATCTGCTCTTCCTAAGTAGTGAAGCTGACTTCTGCCATCTCTTATCACAACCCATTTCCACTTACATACTTACCTCTCAAATTTCAAGTGTTTTATTAGACTTTTCTGTCGCATTCATGTTTCTTGCAAGACTCCAATCTGCCTCCTCATTCTATTTGATATTTTTCCCACCATGTCTGTCTCTACCAGTATCTTGAATATTGTAATCATATCACCTCTAGTTTTTTTATTTTCTAGTACTGTACAGTAATGTTTAATATTGTTCTTTGTCTTCATAGCTCAGTTACCTTATTTCTGGCATCAATTTTGTATGAAATCTCTGATCTTGCTTGATTTTCTTGTGCTTTACAGAGTTAGGAATTATAAAAAGTGACAAGTTGATGATTTATCACAATGACAAATATGCTCAGCTCTTCATCTACCATATATTTCTTGGATTAATCACTGATACTTCTAACCAAATTACTTGGCAAACTTGTCATACCTACTGATATAAAGACAGAGTGAGAGTGCAGGGTGCACACTAAGCAATTAAAAATATTTTCAGTTAGAGTGTTTATTAATGTCTAAGTTAACAAACTACATATTATGATGCAATGATCTTTATTATACAGATGTCACTAAAAGGTAGCACAACACTTAATACACTAAAGGCCATATTCTGTAGATTCTGAAGAGGATGATAAAATGCTTGGAACGTTTCAGTTCTAGGCGCTTGCTATTGGCTGTGACTCGAGTAATTTGGGCTTTGGCTATTCAAGTTCACACAACTAGAACTCTCCAGGTGGGATTTGTCCTCACTTGACAGTTATCTATAAAATTGGCCCTATGAAGCACCATTGCAAAACACTTGGTCTATAGATTCTCATCAACTTGCGAGCAGTCGAGATGAAATGTTCGTGTCATAATAACCACACCAGCTATTTTCTAATCTCATAAAATGAATTTTTTATTTGGAATTACATACTTCCAAAAGATTCACTATAGCGCGTATAATGTGGATCACACAAAGGAAAACTATGTGGGAAGACCTGACCAAAATTTGTCTCCACAAAATCAATGTGTTAATGAGCACAGGATAAAGCTGGATTCTTGGTCAATGATCAAATGTTCACATATCCCAGATTTCTTTCATGTAAACAATTATAACCCACAGGAAGCACTCTTGCATTCACACACTGCTACTACATGCTGTACACACATTACTTATTTATGTAGATAAATTATACTAGATATAATAATAATAGGCAAAAGTATCCCCTCACACAAGACGAATTCTCAAGCCATTCAAAATTTGATTCAATGAACTCTCCTGAAGCATAAATAATATGAACAATACTGCACAATGCATCAATGCACAATGAGAGGAATGTGGATGCAACTGCAAGGATTCTCAAGATCACTGTACAGTATGCATGGAGAGTCATCTATTTGGCATGACATGAGCAGAATAATGTCTTTTACATTAGAGATGACATGCTCAACATACAATCAAAATACAATACTAAACTTATTCATTCATCACAGTTGCACAACACTCTTGGTTTCACACAACAATATAAAACCTAAATGACTTTCATGTCATTCAAATGCACATGACTCATGTCCTCAGGTATTTAACAAAAAAATATATATACAGTACATATATATATATGTATTTAAGGAGCTGCTGAAGATGTAGAAGTGGAAGTTAAGAAGATTATGTTGTTCACCTGTTAATATTACTAGCAGAAAACTGCCAGATTTGGCTCAGGAATTAGATGCATAGAACAGCATCATATTTTGAAATCCCTGTCCATTGTATCTTTTAATATCACTAGTAATGGAGTAAGCCGTAACTGTCTTGTGTGGGAATGTACACACCAATTTTTGATATGTGGCATATTATTCATACACAAGGATATCACAAAATCTTAACATTTAGTGTCTAAGGCCTATTAATATACCTGTTTACTATGCAGATGAATGCAACTAACCTACACTTATAATTGGCTTTTAAAATGAAAACTAAAGCTTTGACATTATGTACTTCTTGCCAAACTCCAAATGGAGTCATCGTCTTATCATTTCTCTATGACAGGTACAGTATAACAGTTATTTAAGAAGTCATGGATAAACCTGAATAATACATTATACAGTATATATATATTTGCATAAACAATTTATCATTTTAAATCAAAACACAAAACACTAACCGATTCAGAATGCAGTAAAAATGCAATTAAATGAATAAACTCTAAACATGAATTACACATCTTTTGATTTTTCATAACAAATAAAAACCTAGACTTTAGCTTAACTTTAGTATGGTAAGCATCCAGCACACAGTCCTCTCTAAACGTCTTCATTATAATGATAATGATGATAATAATAATAATAATAATAATAATAATAATAATAATAATAATAATAACAACAATAACAATTTTGTTGTCAGATTACAACATATAAAACCAGTACACTTGACACAAATGATCTGTGACCTTTGCCCTTGTGTGAAGACCTTCTACTGTACCATGTACTAAAACAATATACACTACGTTACTGTATCTGTAATAAAATGTTTAGCCAAATATAAAAGTTATGATAAATAATATTGTTTAAATGTCTGTTGCTCAAGTTTTGAGTGTATTCAATATGATTTTGTAAAGGCTCAAGAGGAAGGTTTTAAGTTCCCCAATTAGAGATGCTATGCGCAATGGTAGTGTCCAGGAAGGAAATAGAACATTTTCACACATGCTTTAAGATATCAACAGACAAAGGAAGTCCTGACACATTTATTGACAATGTTTCAAATAAAATATTGATAATTCAAATTACAAGATCAAATACATGTGCACAATGTATTTTCATGCAAAAATTTAAATTAAAGTTCATAGCTGTGAAGCATTGATTTAACCAAGTTTTTTTAGTTATTTTATTTAATCCTTTTTAAAAAGTTACATTTTACAGTCTTCAATAAATTCACTGTTCCATTCTACTAAATTTGTTGTGCATGAATATAAGTGTACAATATACCAATGATCTTGTACAAGTACAAAATAACTCTTAAGAAGTAATGCACTTGTTTACTTAGAAAAGTTTCCGCTTCAGTCATTGAAATTTTTCTACATTTTACGCGAGGTTCAAGTTGATCAAACATGACAGCAACATCACCAGCATCACAAATTAAAGTCTAAGAAAACACACATTAAGCCATTCCCTTTGAACCTAAAAAAAATACAAATGTCCTGTCATCCAACATGACAACATACACAGTCAGTGCTCTTGATCTCTGGAGAAAACAGCATCTTCAATACCAATTAATAAGAAGCAATTTCCATTTGATTTCACATTAAACCATTATCTCTCAATTATTGATGTATTGTACTGTCAATTTGGTCTTTTCTACCGAATACAATTTGTCTTAGGACAAGAGATGAGCTGTATGGTATACAAGTCTGGAGTACCGGAATTGGACTTAAGAATGAGTAGTGGCAATACCCATTTTAGGAAGACTGCCTTCACATACGACTAGCCCTCCATGTGGAAAACATCTGATAACTGGGCACAACTCAACGAGTGAAAAAATTAAAGTGAGAATTAAATTTGTGTGACTAGAGGGTTGATACAATGAAAAGAAGCCTAACAAGCATATATATAATGTGTGAGTGTTTGAGTGTGTATACTGTATCTGTGTGGGCACAGGTATGTGGTTTGGGCTATTCAACCTGTCCTCACACTTAATGCACTGCTATTTTGATGATATTGACCACATCAAAATTCCAGGGCTTTTTGGTGAAATTAAATGCACCATAATATTGATGCTTTCTCTGACTAACAAGCATTGGCTTCGATAGGTAAGGTGGCCTGCCTTGGGTTAAACACTTTTGCTTAGGAAAAACAATTCAAATTTTACGCTTTTCAAATCATGTGAATGATTGGGTGGGAAAGAAACCAGTATGAGCGTCAGTGGTATATGGTCAGAACCCACCAACTGTAAACAGTAAGAAGTCTAATATAGTACATGGATTGATTTTGTACCAGTACATTCTTCTCAATGGATAAATAAAAATTATTCTGAAAGCTAATTGCTAGAAAATCTGAATATCTATATTGATGAGTAAACAAAAATAATGTTGCCATGACCATGGATTAGAAGCATCTCTTAAGAATGTTAATGTGTATGATGAATGCCATATAAGAGCATGATGTTCAATGCTTGATACATACATACTACACACTGAGAAGTCATATTCCGCACAGGTGAGTCACGCCACACATTGCACAGGTGAGACACACCACACATTGCACAGGTGAGACACACCACACAATGCACAGGTGAGACACACCACACATTGCACAGGTGAGACACACCACACATTGCACAGGTGAGACACACTACACACTGCATAGATGAGACACTACACACTGCACAGGTGAGACACACCACACAATACACTGATGAGACACACCACACACTGCACAGGTGAGACACGCTACACACTGCACAGGTGAGAGACACCACACTGCACACGTGAGATATACCACACACCACACATGTGAGACACACCACACACTGCACAGGTGAGACACACCACACACTACACTGATGAGATACACCACACACTGCACAGGTGAGACACACTACACACTGCACAGGTGAGACACACCACACACTGCACAGGTGAGACACACCACACACTGCACAAGTGAGAGACCACACACTGCACAAGTGAGAGATACCACTCCACCACTACACAGATGAGATATACACTACTACTACTACACTGCACAAGCAAGATACAACACAATGTGCACAGGTATGAAATACCACATACACTATGCAGCTGAGGAATACACATCACACTGTTCATGGCTGAGAAATACCACACTCCCACCCACCAAGTGTCAGCTTTATGCTTTCAAAGGTACAAATTGAATTTCCTGACAATTCAAAATTTTGCATTTAGAGTATTGAACATTGCATTAAAAAATTACAACAGATAAATAAGCTTCATTGAATCCCTTGGAAGACCCCTAGTATCAAAAGGGTTATATCTGGATAAACCACCACTCACTCTACTAGATATGTATTATGAGTGCAATAGGTTGTTTCCTTACAGGGTTTCTTTCCTGGTTAATGCTCATGTAATACAAACGTAACACTATACATCATGTGATCACCTATTTTGTCTCTATTTAGGAACAAAACACACACAGCAAAGTTATAATGAAAAGCTCTCAAGGACTGTATGCTGTACATTTCAACGTCTATGTGATTAGAGTACTTTAAGAAATAGAATTTGACACCATTGGATAGCTGATGTAGTGACAGTGGTTGAGGTAGCACAACAGGTCCTAATAATTAATTTCTAAAAGTTTTATTTTTGGTGTGGCCAGCTTAATTTTTGTTTATAGAAGCAATGTTTGGACTACAGTACCATCAACTCAACCTCTCAGCTGTTGTGTTGGTAGCACTGATAGCCTCTAAAACAAATACAATGTTTATATAGAACACATAAAACAATATTGACAAAAATGGCCAATTATTGTGTTAACACTGTAACCCAAGTCAATGCATGGTTCAGAAAGAGTACTTAAGTAGTAAGCTGAAAACTCAATATGCATTGCTTTAATTTAAAGCTTAAATGTTTAGGTAGATATGTATTAGTCTCTATTACCCAGTTAATTCAGTTCCTGCTCTTCAGAATAAATCACTTCTGTGTTAATATCTGTATGCCAGTTTGATTCATTTGCAAAGCAACATACATTAATTATCTAAACACTGTTCCTTGTGGCTTTAGGAGCATATTTCTTAATTCATCAAACTTAGTCTATGTATCAAATGCCTCTTTGTTGGAAGTGCTGCATCTCCAAAGTAAGCAACAAGTACTTGGTATTTTATCACACAGTTATCTATAATAAACATAAATTTGTTGTGTACACATATTCAATAAGTAATATCTCACATTGAAGAAACATAGCCCATTCAGAATCTTATTTAAAGTCAGATTCACTAAACACTTTTGTACATTTAAGCGCTTGTGCAAGGAGCACACATGACACTTGTTAAAGCATTTTGCATATTGACTTAATTAGCCAACAGGTTATTCAGTTACCATCTGTTTGCACTTTAACACACCAAGTCACTTGTGGTATTTAGACTTTTATAAAGTTTTTTTTCAAAATATTTAATAAAAATAGTTTTTTCTGTTTTACAGGCAAAGAAGGTTTCCTCATCCTTATCTAATTAGCAAGGTTCCTCTCCATATTTAAGTGTGTTATCCATAACTGAATCTTCTCATGGGTTCAATACATTCTCTCTGCTAGATGTAGTTTCTGAAAAATTGTCTTGCTTGTTTTTACATCGTTATGCAAGCTGGTGATCAAACACTTCACTTTTTTTTTTTTAACTTGCCTATACATTTATTTGTCACACACAAACTTGTTCTATTATATGATGAATTGTGAAGACAGCAAGACAATGCAGATGTCACCGAGATAAATGACTTGGTCTCGTGTCCTGCATTGCTGGGTTACATGGGACTCATGTCTTGCCATGCTGGGATACATGACATGGTCTCGTGTCCTGCCATGCTGGGATACATGACATGGTCTCGTGTCCTGCCATGCTGGGATACATGACATGGTCTCGTGTCCTGTCATGCTGGGATACATGACATGGTCTCGTGTCCTGCCATGCTGGGATACATGACATAGTCCCTAGTGTTCTGCTATGTTGAGATACATCCCAGAGCTGTTCACTATTCTGACTACCGTGCTAGGTCACAATGAAGTAAAAAAATAGTGGATGCACAAGAAATAAACGAGGGAACATACATGAGTAGTTTATAGTATGGGGTCCCCTACCATCACGTATACTTTCGAAGACGAGAGAATAATTTCCAAAGAACAAAGCTGAATAAAGTGGGATGCAAGTAGCAGGATGCAAGTACAGTAGTGGGATGAGAATAGTGGGATGATAATAGTGGTATACAAGTACTGTACAGGCAGTTGGATGCGAGCAGTAGGATGCGAGCAGTGGAATGAGATTAGTGGGATGAGTAGCAAATGATGCTGGGAAGGTATTAAGATGAGAGTAGTGGGATGAGAGCAGTGGGATCAGAATATAAGAATGAGAAAATTGTAATTAAAGTAGCAGGATGACAATTATTGGTTGACAGCAGAGAGATGAGAATAATGGTAAGACTGAAGTATTACAAAGACAGGATGGCACAAAAAGTTGTACCACAAGAGGCATATAGTTGTTTATGGACAGAACACAAGCACTTAAGATTCTATTCCTTTCAGTAAGTGCAGGTGAATACTATATACACAATACCTCACACAGGGAAGATTTCATTAGTCAATCTACATTTTACTTCATCCATCTATACTTAATTTTACTGGTTTATCCAAATCTCAAATGTAATGTAGTCCAGCATCTTTGCATTTTCATACTTTTCTCACTCTCTGTCTCTTACCTCAATAGGACAATGTTATATTCCCCTGATCATTTACATAATTCTTATATTTCATTTGAGGTAATCCCCTCTTGCCAGCATGATGAATGTTTGGCATCTGGGATCTTATATCTCAGCCATACGTTATGCACACTACAAATATCATGCATGGTGTGAGCATTCTGCAAGCTATGAACAAAATTTATAGTGTGAACATCAAGTATGCCATCATCATCATCACCACAACACTGTGAGCATCATGCATGGCACAAACTTCACAAATGCCGTGAGCATCGTGCACGTTGGTGCTAGGTGCCAGACGATGCAATATAAGAGGCATGCAGTAGTTTATGATGTCTATTGTGATGTAGAAATAATTTTTAGAGCTTGAGAATATGCTAAAATTATTCCGATACATGGTGGTGGTCCTCAACCAACTGTTTTGAGATTTTATAGAGAGCTTTGGAGAAAAGCTAAAGTAAGGGAAATCATGGTATTACAGAAGACTTTAAATTATAAGTGTGCTGTTGAGAGACTTCCTTAAAAGGTTTATCTAGAAATTAAACCAATGATGGATAACATGTTGATTAAAAGTTTTTCCCTGTAAATAATTTATTTATATTGAGGGGAATGTGCAACAGTTAGAAACAGTTACAAAACAACTTACACATGAAAGAATTATGTAAACATAAGTAAACTGACTACTGTACTTGAAAGATAAAATTTTGGTCAGTTGGTTAAAAAATAACAAAAATGAATAAAAAATGAAATATCACAGTAATGCCATTGTGCAATTTATAAAATTGAGCTTTAATACTAAAAATGCAAATGGTGCCACAGGAAAGCAGGGTTTAATGGTGGTAAAAGGAAGGGACATTGTCAATGACAACAGTAAAACAGAAAATTTCAAGCATATAATAATTGTGTTTAAGCAAGTTCATCATTTTCTTTGAAAATCCCATCTTACATAAGTAATATACACTGCCTTGTACAGGAAATTTGGGTGGTACATATATTTTAACACATGAATGCAATATGAAATTATGAGAATTTAGACACAGTAATGAGGAGTACATTTTTGCTGATGTGTTGGACCCTTATCCCAACCTGTATTGAACGAGTGGAGCATTTCTCAGTGAAATGCAAGTTTGCTGCCATACAAAAGGTAAATTTATTATGACTCCAAAAGTGGGAGGATATAAAGAAGTAATGCAGAGGTTGAGTGAATCAAAAACCAGATCAAAAGATGGAGAGGCCCAAGAATAACAATTATGGGAAGATGCTAATAACTTGAGTAAAGTTGCTATGAGGTACACACACAGACAAAAAAAAAAAAGTAAATGCAAGCATGACACCATTTTGTGCACTGGGGACTAACATGGAAAAATATGACAGGATGTATCACAACCTGTATTGATGAATCTGGTTTAGGGAACAGCATATGCCTAGTGGCCGAGGTAGAATATGCACAGGTCGTGTTGGACCAAACTATGAGAAGAAACGACTCGGATAAGAGACATTTTGCAGTATGCATGCTGGATATCATACATTTTTCTTCTAATCACATTATCTTGTTTTAAATTTATTTCACAAATAGTAGGAGTCAGAAGCCAATCATCATCAAGGTCTGACATTAATAAGGACAAATTTGCTGGCACTTAAAAAGAGCATTTGGCAATCACTTTATTTTTCAAATATTTGTAATCATGTTATCAATAACGAATAATCAACACTCTTATGTTAGATACAAATAAGTTATAATATACATAGTGCCTACCCTAAAAATATGTTTCCACTTTATGACGGATCATGGGAGAACTCCGAGGCACAAAACATGTTTGCCTCCTATATTAAATGCATCCCATCAAATACAGCCTATCTAGATATTTGAAATTATTTGGACATTTACCTTTGAACGTCTGTTTAAAAAATCAACGTGTTAACAGAGAGAAATAACAAGATGTACACAATAATTTTTTGATATTAAAAAGGAGGAAATCCCACTAAACTAACAGCCTCTGCAAGTAGAAAGAGAGCTATTTTGTATTTTCTTGGCCAAGTAAGTGTCATCCTTTTCACACATTATACTAAACATACAAGCTTGCTTTGACACAAAAAGATGTGGATTCCTGGTAAAGTTGATAATATGCAGTAATTACTAGTGAAAGCTAACTCTTGCCTATGAAATGTCAAAGTTTCCATATTGAGTCTAATATTACCCAAAGTTCAGTATAATCAGCAATGGCATACAATAATTTTATTTTTGCTCATTGTGCTGTTAGTTATGAACAAATTTATCTGACACCCACACACACAGTTCAGTTGTGTGTTCCTAGCTCTCAAATATCAACAAAAGCCAGCCTCACAGACTTGCTCTTTACAGGAAATGTATCACAGTTTATACAAATATCCTAAAATCCCAAATTTGATGGGAAGATTCTGCATGGGCCACTCTAGGCAAGGATGGACACAGCACTGTGGAGGCAGAGGAATGCAAATTCCAAAGCACTACAATGCTATAATTCATTGCCAGTTTGTACTCATCCCCAGTCACACACACACACACACACACACACACACACAAGGCTAAAGACAACACATGCTGCCAACTCCAACAACCAAGACATGTGGTACAGGGTTTCTGTTGAGCCCAGGCTGCCACTTGCCAGATACTGTATATATGTGCAACTCGCCTCAAGATTCAAATTTTGCCTCGATAAATATTTAGCTTATTAATAACTGGAACTAAACCTATGAAACCAGAGGAATAATTTAGCAGGTAATAATGTGAGAACAGTTTCTGAGGAGATAGTGGCTTAACGAAGTACAGTATCTGCGTCCGAGGCTTTAACAAAAAACCTGTAGGTTATCACAAGACTTACAACCATCATTTAGTCTTCAATTGAAACCTGGCTCCTTAATTTCCACATGCAAAATTCAAATGCATTTGATTTACTACAAAGCTGAGGGCTTATTTTTTGTCATAAAACTTGATACCGGTAAGACACTGGTTGATTGCTTAGCTATCACAAAATCTCTTCGTTGGCCGGTGACAACACAAGGAAGAAATGGCCAGCTCCCACTCCCTCTCGCACTATCCACACATTATGTCTATCAATGTTAATTCTAAGTCAAGATAATTGCTAGATATTTCTTTTGGGTCATCATGTATACTTATTTTCCAGTAATGGTAAATCATTAAATGCTTATTTATGCAAGTATAATAATAGCCGAGAGTAACGGAACTAAACAAGTCCAATATGAACTTGACATATCCCAGTGACGTGGAGGAGAGCACAAGCAGCACGAGCAGCCTTAACTAATGACGATGGATGTGACTATGTACATATTGCTGAGATTACTGCTAGCCATTTGTGTCAACTTTGGTGAAGCCACTTTGTCACTCTTGTCTGACAAATCAATGCACTATACTAACTGCAATCAAAACACAGTTAAAAATAAAGTAAGATTACATGGAAATGCTTGTTTTATAGTGTGTGGTGTGTGTGTATGTATGTATGTATGTATGTATGTATGTATGTATGTATGTATGTATGTATGTATGTATGTATGTATATGTATGTACGTATGTATGTATGTATGTATGTATGTATATATGTATAAGTGCATACATTACTATCATATATCAAGTTAGATACAAAGGCAACCTTGCATTGCCAATACAAGTGCCACGTAGAGTGAACTTGACAATAAAGTGACAACGTATGCACACTTGAAAATGGCGATATCATCTATTATAGAATGAGCTGTTAGGAGGAGGAAGATGATGAATCTGAACTGTCATCCTTGGTCCTGCACTTGAGCGACTCGAGGTATTCTTGCTGGCTGGCTGCCAGTACCTGGGCAAGAATGTCTGCTTCGGCATTTGAATATTCCGATAGCCCTGAAACAAATTTTTTTTTTTAGCTAATTTAGAAATGCTATATATTGTATGCAGAATAAGTCATGATAACAAAACTGAAAATGAATAACCCGACCCCCCATACATGAAAAGAAAGGCAAGTAATAATGTTTCTATCCATCCTGGACCCTTATCAAGTTATGTCAAGGAAGAGATGTACTGTATTAATCTACTTATCCAGTCATCTATCAACTGATGCCAGTTATTCATCAGCCAAAATAAAGACTCGAGTGTGTCTCACCCCATGTGGATAAAGAGTAAAGACAACTTTATCTTTATAAAATCACAAAGATTCACCATTTCCTTTATGCCTTCACTGTAACCTAAGTACAGTATTAGTACATTCACTGACTGGGGTTGGTCTGCACTATAAAGCAATTACAGTAAATTTATCAACTTTGCAGGATTCTGAGTAACATTGGAAATTTATGCAGATGAGTTGGTAGCAACAAATCATGAACACGTGCATTGTGGGCAGCTCAACCTCAAGTGGTCGAGCGACGGTCTCACTTCATGCAGGTCGGCGTTCACTCCCCGACCGTCCAAGTGGTTGGGCACCATTCCTACCCTCCCCCCTGTGCCATCCCAAACCCTTATCCTGACCCCTTCCAAGTGCTATATAGTCTAATGGCTTGGCGCTTTCCCTTGATAATTCCCTTTCCTTCTTGCTATTGTACACACACACACAAATTATTATTGGTGTTCAATTTTTAACCTGAAATTTATGCATATTCCAGAACAAAATGATTGAAATATTAACAATTATTAGTAATTATCTATATAAAGAAGACTTTATATATATAAACAAAGAATGGTTTGAAATACATTAGTGTAAAGTGTTTTGAACTATAAATATGGCATCTATTTCATTACTTAAGTGAGGGTTGTGTTATTGTATGCCATGTGTATGGAATACCATTTTTCACAATTTTTAATTTTTAATTCAAGATGACATTTAATTATTTTGTATTCCATATACAGTACCATTCAGTTAAACCAATACTGAATGCTGGTACTCTACTATCTAGATTGAGTGCATTTGTTTAAATTTACTGAAGGAATGGGCAATGAGCCATTATTTACCATTCACTTCTAAAAGGGTTAATGCAAAATACATTAATTAAAAATTCAAGTGAATATTAACTGCTTTTTCTGCATATAATACAAGCAACATTTAAATACAGCATTTGAACAGTTTCCAATACACTGTATTCTAAAGTTTAAAATGTTTTTAATTATCACCCCCACAAATAATAATTAAATAAGGGTTTATGTCAGATACAGTAAATCATCACGCGAGACTGTGGCATGACTGTCAACAGTGCATAAGAATTGGCAATGAAATGATTAACTTCAAGTAGGCTGTGTGGGAAGAGACCGATATTTCGTACAGGCAGCAAATCATATGGAATGACTTACACTTTGCCTATGAAACACATTATACATTACTCATTTTGCAACCGTAAATTCTTTTAACTAATAATAGGTGATAATATATTCTAGGCACATTATACTACAGTGTTTTATCAATTGCATCAATGAAGACATCATATTATAATTTTGTATTACTTACCAAATATATTAGGAGGGAGGTGATTTAGGAAAGATGCTCTCTCATTAACAGTGAATTCTCCTATGGAGGAATATCCCGAGGAAGAAGGCATCGGGTCTTTGGAGGAACCAGGAACTGCTGGGTCATGGTCAGGTTCGGAGCTCGTCTCTTTTGAGCTTGACGATCCGCGGAGTGAGGATGAACCCCTCGGTGATGTGGAGCCGCGAGGTGATGTGGAACCACGAGGCGATGTGGAACTGCGAGGTGATAATCTAGCCAGCTCGGTGGCACAAGGGGAAGAACGAGGAGAGCTACGAGAAGTTTCTGACGATCCTTCTGCCTGAGAGCTCTGATGGAGGGGTGAGGTGCGTCCTCGAGTACAACGATCACTGGAGCTGGAGCCAGATGGTGATGATGGGGAGTGCTGTGCAAAGAGAAGAGAAGAGAAGATGAGAAGATGGAATAATTAATCATATAAACAGAGTAAAACAATTGAGCATTAAAATATATAATTATGAAAAGTTACTTTTTCATAATCTTCAGCTGCTTCAAGTAAAATTCCACTGTTTCCTAGGATATCATGTAGTGAGGGTAGTTAGGATGAGAGAGTATGAAATAGAGAAAGGCAATGGAAAAGGATACCTTGTCAAATAGCAGAACTTGCCGGAAATAAACAAAAACAAATAAATAGGGAAGTGAATATCCGTGAAGAGGTATTAATCTTGGACTTGAGCAACAACTATGTACACTGAATATTAATAAGTATAATAATCAATAAGACTTGAGCAACAACAGTACACTGAATATTAATAAGTATAATAATCAATCTAAATTTGTGTGTTGCATCTGGCCTAATTCACACACTCCAAGTCTTAAAACTCAAAGGTTATATCTTTTTTCTAAAAGGACAGACCTAAATGCTCAATTAGTTGTTAAAAAATATTCATCTTCACCTGGCCTTTGGAGCGTTGATCATTTTCGCGTAGCCACTGGAGGTAACTCTCACGTGCCACCTGCTCTTCTATAGCTTCACTCGTGGCCTCAAAATCCGTAGCTCTGATCTTATCCTCCAACATAGCCTGAAAGCAGTCATTCTGTACACTGTTCTTATGCATAAAAAAATACATATAAAATTATTAATAACCGTGCAAGCAATTTCAAACACAATCATTAAAGATCTGCATATTTAACTTAACCATGTAATGTTCCATCACCTAACACCAACAATGAGTGGCGTACACACACCGATCCATAGTCTTCGCTAACTACTGTGTCTGTGGGGTTAGTCTCCATGAAGCATACTCACTCAAGTGATAAAACCCAAAATTAAATAACTGGCTGACCTTTTACTATGTGATGATATTTTGGGCCACTCTCTCCCTAGCATCACAGTTATTTCTCTGACAGTTTTTTTAATCTCAAATGTCTTTTTGTTATAGGTATTTTTCTCCCATTCTCTTTTTTTATTGTGCCTGTTCATTTCCTTTCCTATTTCAAAGTTAATCCCAGGAATAAGAAACCTTCCTTATTCAGAGATTAAGAAAGTTTAATTTATTTTCTCTAGAAAGATGAAGAGTAAGGAGCCAGATTTACTCACTGGAATCTATTAATGTAAATTTATATTAATAGTGTATAGTACAGTATTAAGAATATGAAGACAGACGTATAAAACTCAACTAATATTGTATTCGTCCATACAACAGTACATTATTCCAACTAATGATGTGATACAATCACTTATGTATCATCTACTTTATCTGTTTTAAAGATTTACTTTCTCCTTTCCCCAAGTAAAATACAAATATGATTATAATGATTACATGAGTTGAAGTACAGTATATAAATAAATGAAAGGGTATAAAATAGGTTATATTAGAAAGCTAAATATATCAACACAAAATAGAACACAAAACAATGGACATAAATTTGGGAGTAGGGTTTATCTTTGGAACAAATTACTGAATAACATAACAGACATTGGATCACTGAATTGTTTCAAGTACTGTATATGCTAGATATATAAATGAATGAGTTAGGTTGGGAATGAATGTATGCTGCCTTGCATGGGCCAATAGGCCTTCTGCAGTTCCTTTTATTATGATGATTTAAGAACATAAGAACCAAGGTAACTGCAGAAGGCCTATTGGCCCATACGAGGCAGTTCCTATTTATAACCACTCAATAAAAAGAGGAAAGTAATAGGAATAAGAAGGGGCTAGTAAAAGGAAAAGTAAGGGATTGTAAGAGAAAACAATGGAAAGAAAAGGAAAGAGAAAGAAAGATAAATGGAAGGGTAAACTTATGTTAGGTCACATTTGTTAGAAAGTTTGGAGCATTTGGGTATATACTGTGAAAGGGAAGAGTCAACAGCAACAAAGCCAGGACTCAAGTTTATGTTGGGTACATTGTGTATAAGGAAGAATGGTCCAGGATGAACCGAAACGTGGTCGTCCCTTCACTTTCTAGTGTGTAGTTTGGTCATCAAAGACGAGACTTTCTATACTGTTGAAGGTTCAGGTCATTTACAGTAACCACCAGCACAGAAGATAGCACGACACAGTCTTCAAGTATTGTTCATTTACTGACCTGCTCCAGGTGAACATTTTCACTCTGCCTGGTTGCCTCCTTCATAAGGTTCTTCTCTGCCTGGCCTGGCTGGAAGCCCGGCAGGCCCAAACCTACACCAATTGTGGCCTTGAAGGGGTCCACGAGGCTGTTGTAGTGTGTCCCCATGTGGTAACTCAACCGAATAGGTTCATTATCTGTTTGGAGGCTGCCCTGAAAACTGTTTATTGGGTCTGAAAAAAATTTATACACATTAATTAATGGCACTTAAATAATAGAGCTTTCAAAAAATATTTATCATCATATTCCAATTCATCCTCCTGTTTATATAATAAGTTTTTGTAACTATGCGCACCATAATACAAAGATTGACGTACTAAGTAATTAGATAATAGAATTTGGTACTATTCACTTTATATAGTCGGGAAAAAATGAAGCTAAATAACAAGCAAATATTCCCATGCCTAGTATAGCACACATGTGTACTGTACTATATTAGGCCTCAAATATGGTGCATTGGGCCTAGGGGGGGGGGGGGGTTAGATTAGTTTGTCATTGCAACATAAATAGAAAATCTTTCCCAGTTTGTCCAAATTCAATAGTACCAATTTCCACTTTCTAATTGCATTATACGTCGGTATATGTACCATGGTCCACATCATTACTATAAGTACAGTACTACCAAAGCAGGAGGAGAGGCTGCATATTTACAGTAACTCACACCTTAACATTTATCCATTAATATTGAGAACCAGTGCCTTTTCATTAATATCATACACAGCAAACGATTTCAAGTCATCCTACAGCACCTGCACTTCAGTACTCACCTACACTGTAGCAATATACTTCAATAATGCGGTTATACATTTCTGACATAGCTGCTAATTCTATATGGTTGCCAAAACAGTCGTCGCGCCTTTTCCTTTGGACGTACGTCTGGAAGTTCTCGGATACAAAGGGAGCGAAAGCGTCTTCATTTAGGGCCTGAAGAAAATGATTAAACATGACTTAGTATTATAAAACACTGTCTACAGGCAACTTTTCAATTTTATTGAGAGAGATAAATAACAGCAACACAATACCTACAGAAGGCAAGCACCAAAGTCTGAAGTCAACAACAGTTGTGCTCAACATCACTTAAAGCAGTTATTTTAACATGAAAACTGACACATTCCTAATTTAACATTTCAAATGTATGTCATGTCATACATAAAGCACTTTCACATTTTATAATTCCACATATGTGAAAAGGGATGATGAGCTAAATGTTTCAATCTCATGAGGGTAATGATAATGAAATGTCCAAGAGTGGCATATCTCAGGACATAGAGTGACATAATGAGTACAGAGGACTACAATAATGAGTGCATGATGGTGTGAGAAGCATGAGGTGGAGGTGTATGTAGTCAATGTCACGGTGGTGTTTGTAACAGTTGCGGTGGTGATGTTTTGTTATGGTCATAGTTAATGGTGTACCAATACTAATATTTTGACCAATCCCAATACTTCCTAATTGCCCAATACAGTACTGTGTAAAAGGTATTCTATTTCTACCATCATTCAAGTTATTTAGGATGGTATAGAGCTAATATGGCTAAAGACAGATATAAACAGTCTTAATTAACCTTTAAGTTTAAGAATTAGAACCCTTGAAGCATGGCAAGAGGATTTCATAAATTGTATATTCCAAAAACAGTGTAGAATGTGAATTCAACAATAAACAGCATTGATCACATTTTACTAAACCTGAGGCTTACTATATAATCCATGCAGTGTTTTCGAACGCTGCTGTGCATATCCTGATCACCATAAACTTGGTCAGCAATTGCACGGAAGAGACAGGCACCGTCCTCGCGCATCTTCTTGATCATCAGACCCTTCTTTTTCATTTTCTTCTCAAACCTTCGCTCTTTCTGCATGAACAAAAAGAATAACACTAATCTATGGCTGGGCTCAGGACTGGCGAGTTCAAGAAAAGTAATTGTAGAGCTAATACTATCAGCCAAATGGATTAGAAAATGGAGAATCACCACAGCTTGACAAAATCCAAATAAACAGGAATAGTCTGCCTTGTACCTGGATTGTACCTGGATGGGGTTCTGGGAGTTGTTCTACTCCCCAAGCCTGGCCCAGAGCCACCCTTGACTTGTGAAAGCTTAGTCCACCAGGCTGTTGCTTGGAGCGGCCCACAGGCCCACATTCACTACAGCCCAGTTGGTCCGGCACTTCTTGCAGAAAACGAAGGTGGAGTAAAAATCAGATAGCCAATTGCCATCCAAAGCTCCAACACGATCTTGGGTTATGAAACTGCTAGACTTCTAAACAAGTATCATATGTTAATGAGACAACAGCTATAGCCTAAAGCTACATTGGAAGACTATACAGATTCAGGCAAGCACTAATCCACATTAAACTCTACCATTATATTATCATCACACCAGAGCTGGGACACCTTACAATCCCCTTGACTTAACCACTACGGTTTAGCTCAAATTAACATGAATAATCCACTTTAATCCACAGGTGTACAATGCTCTCTGCAGGACAATGATCCTTCGAATCATTGAAAGGTAATGAAAGTCATCCATAGACATACCAAGCCTTCAGGATATCATTTCATTTTATATTTGTGGCTAGAAACTGAGGCAAGCATTAATAATGTTTAAATAGAAATTTTAATGCATGGGAAAAAATGGACTTTTGTAGGTATCTGGCTTTTATTTCCACAGTCTCTACATGAATAAAATGTGTGTGTAAACTGAGGGCTGCCTGCATAGAGAATGTCACCAATTGGTACAGATAAGGAGATACACCTACCTCTTCCCACTGATCTGCAGTTAGGTTCCACCCAAACGGCTCATATTCATCGCCACTGTTGTAGCCACTGTGGTCATTGTCCTCTTCATCTGGGGGTTGTGATGGCCCGGCCTATAATATCAAGGGACATTACAGGTGCCTGTAGTACATAGTGTTTTGTTGGGAGTTCTGTATGTAGAATATGGGTGTCAGCATTATTTCACACACATGAAAGGTTTAATTTTGGCAGCAAAACAGTAGAGATGAATGTATACTGTAATAATAAATTCTCGTGTAACCATTTTCAATATTGGCTTCTTCTGTAACCAATTGTATATATTTACCTCACCTGGTTAAATGGTGATAGCATTTATCATGTGTAAATTCTAATACTGTACAGAAAAAATTAACAACATTCAATATATTCTATGAGAATTATCTACAGAGGCTGGCAAAAACTGAACATTCTAGTGCTTAATCAGACAGCCATTTTCCTGCTATGGGTAACAGTGTACTCACCTAGTTGTGCTTGCAGAGGTTGAGCTTTGGCTCTTTGATCCCGTCTCTCAACTATCAATCTACCACATCACTTTCTAATGTGTTCCCTTTATTAACTACTCAAACACCGAAAAAGTTCTTTTTAATGTCTCTGTGGCTCCTTCGCGTACTCAGTTTCCACCTGAGTTCCCTTGTACGAGTACAACCCATGCTAAATAATCAGTCCATATTTGCCATGCCAATTCCCTTGAGAATTTCCCTGAGAATGTCTCCCCAAACTCTTCTGTCTTCCAGCAATGTGAGGTGTAATTCATGCAGCCTTTCCTCATAAATCATACCTCTTAGTTCTGGGAATAGTCTAGTGGTATACCTTTGAACCTTCTCCAGCTTCGTCTTATGCTTGACATGGTATAGACGTCATGCTGGAGCCGCATATTCCAGGATTGGTTTTATATACATGATATACAAGGTTCTAAATGATTTTAAATGAGTCTTCTTACCTATCAGCAACTTTGGGGTAGTCTCTAATTAATTATTAAAAGAAGCCACCAAGTCAAGGAGATCTAGCTCTTTATGCCCCACCTCCTGGTCATTCATACCTGCATGCAAACATTAGGTACGTGGGGCTCATGGTGTCATCAGGAGTTCAACATGCACAATGAAATAAAAAAAAATGTGATGTATTTGAGATAATATTGAGGCTGTAGACTGGGATCGAATCTGAATCCCTGATATCCATGACTTATTTTTTTTAATTATTAACCATGACATTAACCCCTGTACTGCGCTCACCGAGATATCTTGGTTGACGGGTGGTATGCTTACCGAGAAAGGTCAGTTGTTGGTATAACATACGAGTCAAAACTTGCATTGAGTAACTTGGGTAGCAAGTGGATACCTAAGGCCTCTAGTGAGCCTGAATTTTGACCTCGAAAAAAATTCCCAGCATGCCCCATGATTATGGGAAGGCTCAGTTTGAAGTGAGCAACCATAGATGACAAACGTGCATCTAGCTCCTGGTCACCCACAGGTCACGTGGTTGAAAAATCAGTCACAGAGGTATTGTATGAACCTGACCTTGATAGTCATAGTAATGATCCAAGACCAGATAATGACCTAACACAATGATCGGACACGAGCAATTCTGACACAGACATGTTGATGATACAGTGCCCAGTATGAGGATTACACCACCACCACCACATCCCAGGTCAACACTATTCTCATATCACCAGCTGTGCGATCTGCCGTTCCTCTATACCTTGAATATAGTACAGTACGTGGAAAATTACTCTTTTTCTGGGTTCAGTGATATGGTTTGGATACTAATAGTATAGATGAACCTAGTGGTAGCAGCTCTCATTGTGTTACTAAGTGGAAGTTTGCACTGTCCGCAGCTTGCCCTGTAAAGGGACACATGTGATGAGCCATAAGGAAATTGAGGGAGGAGTGGCCTCAATTTCAACTGTTTGTGGTAGCTCTATACAAGGTAGAAGATCTTCATCCCTCAGCAAACAGTTTTATCATTAGAAGACAGACCTGTGGTGTTGGTGCCACCTTAAGTAGCATGGGTGTACTCATGTGGGAAGATTGTGACACTCTTGTACCAGAAACTTATATTTGATGATACAGATATAGGTGTTATAGTGAAAATGAAAAGTTAATAGTGAAAATGAGTATTTTGTGGCTTATTTTCATGAGTTGTTGATGAAACATCTTGTTGATGAAACCAATCGCTATGCAGTAAAACTAATTACAAACTGCTTATTACAATCCCCAAGTTTGCCACATTGGAAAGACACCACTGTACCTGAAATGAATGTATTTCCTGCACTGTAAATGCTGATGAAACATTCAGTAAAATATGTCATACAGGATTATTGCTACAAAGACAGCATTGTTACAACCCCAGTTTTCAGGAAATACATGCCTTACAATGGATTTCTTAGGTGCCTAAATTTTGAAAATAATGATAACGTGGGTGCAAATGATAGACTGTGGAAAGTAAGTAACCTGTTCAGTGATCTGAGAGGAAAGTTCAGAGATTTCTTTGTACCAGGTCAGAATGTAGTGATTAATGAATCACTTGTTCTTTTCAAGAGACATTTAAGCAGAATATTCCATTGAAACGGCACAGATTTGCACCGAAATTCTTTGGACTCTGTGAATGTAAAACCCATATGGTAATAGATATTATATTATATTCTGCTACTGATGGAGACACATTTACAGGAGGAATCCACTTGTTAAATCTGCCAATCCTGCAAGCATCACAGTTGTCATTTACATCGCTGAGAAACAAGAACGTGGGGAAAAGAATGACCGATACAAAAATTTGAAGGTAAAATTCGAACAAAATTTATATAAACCATGTTAAGTTCCATGTAATTTGATCTTAACAGTAAACAAGGTTAGGGTTCCACTCTGGAGACTGGTGCTGTCAGCAGGAGGAAGGACCTTGTAAGTACTCTACTCGTGCTTATGGATAATCTAACCTATTTAGAAAATTATTCACAAAAAATAAAGACAAATACAGCAATTGGACAGTAAGGGGAAAGTGAAAGAACAGTACAGAGGCAGGAAAATGTAAGATATACAGTAATGCGTTACAGTATTGGGTGAATGGGGAGTTGCTCTTTTACATCCAAAAAGAGGGTATTTCTGCAAGCTAAAATATTATGTTATGTGCATGCATTGTGCTCCTAACTGCTCCAGAGACATAAAGGCAGCACGTTTACAAACTCAACATCACCACGTTTATTCTACATGCGGCCAAACTCACCTGCGGGGAGAGAGCCGGGGGAAGGGCAGGAGTGATGGAGCTGGACATGGGAAGAGGGTGTGGATGGGGGTGAGGATGTGGATGAGGGTGTTGGTGGGGGTGGGGGTGAGGATGTGGATGGGGGTGAGGGTGTGGATGGGGGTGGGGGTGGTTGACAGGTGTCACGCTCCACCCACTACTTGTACTCGGGTAAGGTGGTGAGGTACTGCCCCGGTGGTCTCTATGGTCGCGGTGTTTGGGACGCACATTTCTGTAAGCATCCATGGCATCAGCCCCTTCTTTGATTAAGGGTAACAACTTGGGAGTACCTTATCAATATTAATCCATGGCCAGTTCTTTCTTCAGTAAAATTTTATATTAAGTATATTGTTTAAATTCCAGCTACTTTTTACTTCAGGTTGTGAAGAGTACACAATCAAAGATTAATTGTATATAATTTAGTCACCTTTAAAAACAATTCCAATTCCAGTGAGTTATGGCATTTTTTTGTGTGATTAAAACATAATAAAAATATAAGTAATATTATTCTACTTATAAATATGCCAGTACAAAATTGTCAACTCAACATGCAAGGTAAGCCTGTATCAACAAATTTTATATTAATAAAGAAGTTATTTAGTATGGAGATGGGGCCTGAAGCTATAAAACTACAGAAATGTACAGGACTGTCTTCATGAGGCAAGTGGTATTATGAATAATTTATAATTTATCATCAATATACTGTAGTGAGAACAGCGTACAATACAATGACCAAACCACACACCCGAAGATGAGGAGACGATGACATTTCGGTCCGTCCTGGACCATTATCAATTCGATTGTGATAATCGACTTGATAATGATCCAGGACGGACCAAAATGTCATTGTCTACTCATCTTCTGGCATGTGGTTTGGTCATCATATCTTCAGCCACGTTATTGTGACTCATTGTCTGCAGTGTACAGTATATATTTTTTAACTCAAATTAAGAATTAAAGTTATTTTGAAATATATATGGATTTTAATTTAGTTTAGTTTTCTTATCAGTATCATCAGCAAATGATGATGAATTTAGACAAAAACAGTGTACACAGAGTTCCTGAAGCAAATGCATTACTGAGTGACACGTAAAGCCAATTGTGTAATTTTTATTTTCCCCCAATATTGTCTTTCCCTCTATCATACCTGAGGGGGCTGGCTCGGTAGCGGCGCTTACTGTGTGACGGGCCACTCTCATGCGTATCTTCAAAATGTGAGGGAGATGCGTGGGATGGGCGCTTCTCCTCCCGGGGTGCTGACGTGGGAGGTGGGGGGGGCCAGCAAGGGGGTGGTGACTGTGATGATAAATACAAGGTGCCCCGGCTCGTCCCTTCCCCAGCCTGTTGGTGGAGGCTCGACATCAAACACACGAGTTGCCAATCAAACGTTGTCACACACACGTGCTCATGAACCTTTGTATCACTCAGTCAAAATATCAGCAAAATTATTCGTACTTCATACCTGAGAACTTAATTTGATTAACAAATATCTAATCTCAAACATAAGGGTATAAGGTTAAATTAAAAAAAAAATCACTAAAATGTTCTTCTCAAACTGCACATTGCACATACAAAATATTTGTCCAGGTTAAATCATACAAAATACACTGTTTCAATTATCTTCTAGTTATGACATCAGACTTAAAGTTGCATGAATAATGAGACATGGATTCTGATAATGTAGTTTGTTAAGTGAGCAGCCAATTAGAGGTTAATAGGCAGTGAACATTGTAAAAGAGAATAAGACAGGACAAACAAGGTATAAACAAACCCATGTTCCAATGAGACAAGAGGCTATACCCGAGTGTTCCATAACTTATATGTTTTGAAAAAGGCTTTTTATGCAAGTGGATGGGAAATAGCCCTTTGGATGTACTTACCTAGTTATGCTTGTGGGGGTTGAGCTCTGGCTCTTTGGTCCCGCCTCTCAACTGTCAATCAACTGGTGTACAGATTCCCGAGCCCACTGGGCTCTTATCATATCTATATTTGAAACTGTGTATGGAGTCAGCCTCCACCACATCAGTGCCTAATGGATTCCATCTGTTAACTACTCTGAAACTGAATAAGTTCTTTCTAACGTCTCTGTGGCTCATTTGGGTACTCAGTTTCCACATCTGTCCCCTTGTTCGTGTAACACCCATGTTAAACAGTTCATCTTTATCTACCCTGTCAATTCCTCTTTCAAATTTTGTAGGTTGTGATCATATCTTCCCGAGCTCTCCTGTCTTCTAGCGACATTAGCTTCATTTCATGCAGTCTTTCCTCGTAACTCATGCCTCTTAGTTCTGGGATTAACCTTGTGGCATACAGACTTCTGGTAATCGTTTGCATATTGGGAGAACTCTTGAAAGCTTTAGTTATCTTCCTGGACAATATTAAAGAAACGGGCAGCATTTCAGATGCATCACTATCACTTACTGATGCCAATGCTTGGAAACATTGATGCTACGCAAGATTTTAAGGACTTTTATGCACCATGAAAATATTTGTGATAAGGATAACTCTGCTCCAAATATTTCATTTATCTGCTACAAATAGTTTACTAGAAACTAAATTTTCAGAATTTGACATTTTCAACACTTCTTCACCTCACTATGGCAAAACTAAAATAATTATAATTTTTCATTCTCAAAATCAGAAGTACTATTAATGTTTTATAATATAAAAAATATCAAGAATTTTTTAAAATTTTTGTGCGCACCTAGACATGGACCTAAAACCTAATGTGTAATTTGAGAGTAAAAAGTGATCGCGGGATTCACATTAGTGGTCCGCGGGATTAATAATGATGAATTTGGTGATTCCTGAGCTCTGAAAGGTTGGCGACTACTGGTTTAGAACACCCCATACAACAGACCATTCACAATTAAGAGCCTATGAGTGTATAACTTAAATCGCGAGATTATACAAAACTCTCCCCTTCAACCCATGTGACATCTGTTTTCTGAGAGGAATGTAAACAATAAAAATATTTGCAAACAAACAAGGATGCAAACAAAAGATAAACATAAAAACATATAATAAAAAGTCAAACATGACCAAAGTTACTCCCACTCTCTTCAGAGAAATTTATTATTCCAAATATACTGTATACTGTACTGTTCCCAGGGCTGTACATGATAATTAACGGAGAGGTGCCATACAGAAAGCCTCTGCTCCAACCAGTATCGTAATTTATTTGGATAGCATAAAAGTCCTTCCAAAAGTAAAGACATAACACCCCCAAAATGTTTTAATACTCTATTTCCATCAACACTGCCAAACAACTCTCTCATTATCTTGAATTCTGACGAGAGACTGGTATACAAAACAGCATTAACAAACAGGGATTCTCCCACTTATGATGACTCTTGCTTACTCAGTTGCCAACAAATTGGTACTGCAGTGGAGGTAGATGACAATGCCTTCCCACACTTAATCAGTTTGCTACTTTATGCTTCAACTCAAGTGTCATATGGAATCCAAAATTAAATGTGGCAATTTTAAGAAAAAATACTCCTAATCATGATTGATAAGAGACAAAGTGTTGGTGTTGCCCCCATGAAGGCAGAGAGAAGAGTAGTAACTTTGGAAATTAAAATGAACATAAGGCAATTATAGAAAGAATAAATATTAACACCGACTGCACATGTGTATGGAGTAAAATCCACAATGAGCACCATTATCAAAGGCAAAACTAAAGTTTTAGAACATGTGAAAGATTCAGCACCAATGAAGTCACCTACAATAACCAAAAAGTGCGGTGTTGTTAATTGTGACATGAAAAAGCTTGGGTTACTACCTTCTACCTCCTCGTCCCCCACTCTCTCCCCTCCCCTCTACCCTCTCACATCAATAATTGTCATATTTAGCATAAAAAGACAATGCCTGTATTCAAGGTAAATAAAGTGTTTATTTAACATTCTTCATATTTCAGTTATACTGTATTTTAAATGTGGTAATTGTTGCTAAGGGAACTTCTCACATTTGTAGCATTGTGTTATAGGAAATCGAGCTCTGAGTTCCAGTCGATTGACTTAGGTGGAAAATTAGGAACACATTCCTGTTGGAAGTTGGGGACTTTATGCACAGTACTTTTATGAGAAATTAAAATCATTCAGTTCTTCAAGATGGCTGCACTATTGTTGCCAAGATATAAAACTACAGTTACATTTTAATTTTTTTTAGGTTTGACAAGCATAACTTCAAATGCCATTGCTACATAACTAAAATACTGAATTAAGTTTATGGTAAAATTTGAAAGAGGAGATATCGCTCCAGAAACTGACATGGGAATGCTCACAGTATACATGCAACACACACAGAGTTCCATCCCACATCCAAATATGAGGATACATCAAAAGTATGACCATGAATAATATTGGAATATTATATCCCCCTTCTGTTCCATGCTATTAGGCAACACTCCTAGAAGAACATCTGGTTTCCAGGTGTATGGCTGTATACAGCAGAGGGTGCTGTAATGGTCGTGCCCCAAGATGAGGTCTTGGGGCTATTTATACCAGGGTGTTACCCAGGTCAGGGGGTTACCGAGATCAGGTGGGCTACCTAGGTCAGGGAGGGTTACCTAGGTCAGGGAGGATTACCTAGGTCAGGGAGGGTTACCTAGGTCAGGGAGGGTTACCTAGGTCAGGGAGGGTTACCTAGGTCAGGGAGGGTTACCTAGGTCAGGGGGGGGTTACCTAGGTCAGGGAGGATTACCTAGGTCAGGGAGGGTTACCTAGGTCAGGGAGGGTTACCTAGGTCAGGGAGGATTACCTAGGTCAGGGAGGATTACCTAGGTCAGGGAGGATTACCTAGGTCAGGGAGTGTTACCTAGGTCAGGGAGGGTTACCTAGGTCAGGGAGGGTTACCTAGGTCAGGGAGGATTACCTAGGACAGGGAGGGTTACCTAGGTCAGGGAGGGTTACCTAGGTCAGGGAGGGTTACCTAGGTCAGGGAGGGTTACCTAGGTCAGGGAGGGTTACCTAGGTCAGGGAGGGTTACCTAGGTCAGGGAGGGTTACCTAGGTCAGGGAGGGTTACCTAGGTCAGGGAGGGTTACCTAGGTCAGGGAGGATTACCTAGGTCAGGGAGGATTACCTAGGTCAGGGAGGATTACCTAGGTCAGGGAGGGTTACCTAGGTCAGGGAGGGTTACCTAAATCAAGGAATTATCTAGAGCACAAGGTTATTTATATTAGGGGTAATCTAGGTCAGGGGGTTATCGATATCAAAAGGTTATTTGTATCGGGAGGTAATATATGCCATTATTTATATCAAGGAAAATTGATGTTAGGGGTTATTTATATATGGGTGTTCCTATGTCAGGGAGTTACCTACATTAGAGAATTACCTATCTCAAGGGCCCAGAAGGTTACCTATGTCACGAGGTGCAGGGGTTTACTTGTATCAGGGGATGCTTATGTAGGAAGGGGGGGGGGGAAAGCGGCTAATGGAAAATAATGACTGACGAACAATCTATTAACACTAGGTAATCTCAGACTAATAAATGTGTCACGTGCCCTCCTAACTCCTGAAGAGTAACAAAATCCAGAATCTCATGGATGAATATCAAAGACCAAACTTGTCGAACAGCAAAAATATAAAGCCTACAGTGAACTAAATAATCACTACATCTTATGGTGACAATCGGAGAGGCAAGAGTTTGATGTCCACCACGTTCAAAGGTGTCAAAAGTGAGGTGCTTGGGGCAGGATGGTGTGTGCATTGAATGTTTGGGACAAAACGATGGATAGAAGGATTAGGCTAGGATGGATTCACCTGCATGGGATGGGGTTGAGAGTACATGACCACCCCCTCCCCCCCCCTCCCACCAGAATGTGGTGTAGGTGGGTAGAGGGGCTAGGGGTTTCATGGGGCTGGTGGGCTGGAAGACCAGGGAGGTAGTGGGAGTGAGAGACAGAAGAATGGTATATAGGCCCACCTGTATATGGTTGGGCAGAGACCCCATAGGCATCTGGTGCTGGTGGGTGGAGGTGGCGGCCGCCTCGCCGCCCTCCACCTCCGCCGAGCCCGACGCCTGCTGCGGCGGCTTCTTCTTGGGTAGGATGGTCATCCCGACGACTCTCGCCTCTCACGCCGCCCCGACACACAGATCTCGCGCCCGAATTCCGATTTATTCCCCCGAGCTTTTGTCCAGAAAATGGCGAAAGTATGGGCTATAGATGCCTGAACCTTGTTTTCAGACAGAGGACAGACCACCGGCGGGGCTTGGAATCTATAGATGGCGATAAAGTTAACGAAAGAGAACCGATGAAATGGAGTTGGTGGAGCTGGGAGAAGTGATGACTTGGGAATGGGTTCCTGAGTGGCGGTATAGACGCCGTGACCCGCCCCGGGTTTGTTGTCATTGACGGGGGGGAGGGGTGAGGGGGGAGAGGTGGGGAGGTCACGTGACCTGCCAACAGCTGACTGCAGCCCACGCGGAGCTAACCACTGTCAAGAGCTAATTAGCGGCCCTGTAGGGGGACTCCTCGAGCGGCACGAGCAGGTGATGCTGGCAAGAACGTGATGGAGGCGTTGTCTTCCGTCCTGCAGGCGAGGGAGGAGTCGTCTCCCCTCCTGCAGGCGAGGGAGGAGTCGTCTCCCCTCCTGCAGGCGAGGGAGGAGTCGTCTCCCCTCCTGCAGGCGAGGGAGGAGTCGTCTCCCCTCCTGCAGGCGAGGGAGGAGTCGTCTCCCCTCCTGCAGGCGAGGGAGGAGTCGTCTCCCCTCCTGCAGGCGAGGGAGGAGTCGTCTCCCCTCCTGCAGGCGAGGGAGGAGTCGTCTCCCCTCCTGCAGGCGAGGGAGGAGTCGTCTCCCCTCCTGCAGGCGAGGGAGGAGTCGTCTCCCCTCCTGCAGGCGAGGGAGGAGTCGTCTCCCCTCCTGCAGGCGAGGGAGGAGTCGTCTCCCCTCCTGCAGGCGAGGGAGGAGTCGTCTCCCCTCCTGCAGGCGAGGGAGGAGTCGTCTCCCCTCCTGCAGGCGAGGGAGGAGTCGTCTCCCCTCCTGCAGGCGAGGGAGGAGTCGTCTCCCCTCCTGCAGGCGAGGGAGGAGTCGTCTCCCCTCCTGCAGGCGAGGGAGGAGTCGTCTCCCCTCCTGCAGGCGAGGGAGGAGTCGTCTCCCCTCCTGCAGGCGAGGGAGGAGTCGTCTCCCCTCCTGCAGGCGAGGGAGGAGTCGTCTCCCCTCCTGCAGGCGAGGGAGGAGTCGTCTCCCCTCCTGCAGGCGAGGGAGGAGTCGTCTCCCCTCCTGCAGGCGAGGGAGGAGTCGTCTCCCCTCCTGCAGGCGAGGGAGGAGTCGTCTCCCCTCCTGCAGGCGAGGGAGGAGTCGTCTCCCCTCCTGCAGGCGAGGGAGGAGTCGTCTCCCCTCCTGCAGGCGAGGGAGGAGTCGTCTCCCCTCCTGCAGGCGAGGGAGGAGTCGTCTCCCCTCCTGCAGGCGAGGGAGGAGTCGTCTCCCCTCCTGCAGGCGAGGGAGGAGTCGTCTCCCCTCCTGCAGGCGAGGGAGGAGTCGTCTCCCCTCCTGCAGGCGAGGGAGGAGTCGTCTCCCCTCCTGCAGGCGAGGGAGGAGTCGTCTCCCCTCCTGCAGGCGAGGGAGGAGTCGTCTCCCCTCCTGCAGGCGAGGGAGGAGTCGTCTCCCCTCCTGCAGGCGAGGGAGGAGTCGTTGGTGAATGGTCACCGAGTTATTTTGTGGCCTTAATTACTCTTTAGAGGTTAATAGAACTTAAGCCCAGCCCAAATCCAATTCTTGGAACTTAACTTAAAATTAAAATAGAACTTGAGCAAATATTGTATCACTTAATTAGTGTACTGTATGTAAACTCTAGAATAGTTAACCAATAAATGTTCAGTGCATGCTGGAAAAAAGCAAACACAAATTTTAGACCCATCAAATTCCATTTTGCTGATGCTTAACAAATATTTTCATTTCTTTATTTATATATACAAGAGTTCTTACATTCTTGTACAGCCACTAGCACGCATACCGTTTCGGGCAGGTCCTTAATCCTATGCTCCCTGGAATACGACCTCGCCAAATCGTTTAACAACCAGGTACCCATTTTACTGTTGGGTTAAACAGAGCCTACAGTTAAGGATTGACGCCCAGTAAATCCTCCTCGGCCAGGATGCTAACCCAGGATGAAACGCTAAAATTAAATTATTACTTAAATAGATGCAAAATGCGCAACACGCTCCTCAGTAAGTTGTCGTCAGTCTTAAAGTGCCATTGCCTTGACTCATGCTTCTAGTTTTTCATGTGCAATATACTGTACTCAAATGATCTTTAATATTTATTAAATTAATATCTTTAATATTTATTAAACAGATAATTTAATAAATATTAAATATCAGGTGTTCTGAAAGGCATAGATTTTTTTAGGATTAAACCTAATTAACCTTTGACCTTCCAGAGACACAGACATGCGATTTGCAGTGGGGTCACGCGTGCTATTTGTGGGTGAAGGGGACTTCTCATTTGTGGCCTCCTTGGTTGAGGAGGACTGGTGTGCCAATGTGCATATTGTTGCCTCGTGTCTTCAGCAGCAGCTGACTGAAAGAGCCGAAAGAAACACTGTGATGCTGGCTGAGAGAGGTTAGTGTCATGGGTCTGTTGTTAGAGGTTAGTGTCATGGGTCTGTCGTTAGAGGTTAGTGTCATGGGTCTGTCGTTAGAGGTTAGTGTCATGGGTCTGTCGTTAGAGGTTAGTGTCATGGGTCTGTCGTTAGAGGTTAGTGTCATGGGTCTGTCGTTAGAGGTTAGTGTCATGGGTCTGTCGTTAGAGGTTAGTGTCATGGGTCTGTCGTTAGAGGTTAGTGTCATGGGTCTGTCGTTAGAGGTTAGTGTCATGGGTCTGTCGTTAGAGGTTAGTGTCATGGGTCTGTCGTTAGAGGTTAGTGTCATGGGTCTGTCGTTAGAGGTTAGTGTCATGGGTCTGTCGTTAGAGGTTAGTGTCATGGGTCTGTCGTTAGAGGTTAGTGTCATGGGTCTGTCGTTAGAGGTTAGTGTCATGGGTCTGTTGTTAGAGGTTAGTGTCATGGGTCTGTCGTTAGAGGTTAGTGTCATGGGTCTGTTGTTAGAGGTTAGTGTCATGGGTCTGTTGCTAGAGGTTAGTGTCATGGGTCTGTCGTTAGAGGTTAGTGTCATGGGTCTGTTGTTAGAGGTTAGTGTATTAGTCCTGTTCAGAGAAAGAAATATTAAATATTGGCAAAGAATGTAGAATATGAATTAAGATAATTTTACTAAGGTAAATATATATTTTGTAACAAAACATGACCAAAAACACAAATGTATACAGTAATTATTTAAAGCTATCCAATTCTTCCTTATTTATGCACACATTAAATATATAAAATATTTTCCTACAGTATTATTGGTAAAGAATGACAAGAAATGAAAATGTAGATTTACCCAAATTTGCCCAAGCTGACCTGCATTTGTAGAAATGAAACAGATATATGAATTATTTTTCTACAGTAATATTGGAAATGAATGTACAAATGAATGAATAAGCACAAGTTTACCTAGATGAACACTTACTTAATAATGAAATATGATATTAAACATCTAGCATTCAATATAATGAAACTCCTATTTCTGGGGGAAAGGGGGGGGGGGCTTTGTTATTTGCTACTTTGAGAATATTATTTGCCAAGAGGAAAAGAATGATGACCCAAGTAAACACTTCTTCATATTAAAGCAATATGAAATTACTTTAATATGAACAGCCCATTAGGAGAGTGCAGTGTGCATTTGCTATGCAGTGATCCTTCAATTTTTTTGATGCAGTTGTCTTATTTGGATCTTTGTTCCGAAACATGCAGGATTTGTATTTTTCAATCAACAAATCCATTTACAGAGTAATCACACTAACGTGAGGTATCAATGAGAAAATCCATAGGAGCCGTGAAGAGGATTTGAGCCTATGTAGTGGGGGTTCCCACGCACATGACCTGTGAAAGGATCAGGTTTTGGCTTTTGAATCTCTGGTAGGCTGTTAAGGACTTGCAGGGGCTGATGTGAGGTAGTGGTCTGGATGTCTGGGGCGCGTGAGTGGGAACATCTACCGCATCTACGTGAGATCCTCATCACGCCTTCTACAGATTTTCTCAACAAATCCATTTATGTCTTAAATTATTTACAAAGTTATGGTGTAGTTGAATAACTGGTACCGAGCTTGCCATTCTGTAATTTGTTTGCTTAGCATATTATGTATTTTCAGGTGTGGAAGTTGTGTTGGGGGTCGATGCCACACAGCTTCATCATAACACCATTATTAAAGGCTACAAGTTTTCTCATATTGTCTTCAATTTCCCTCATGTTGGTGGGAAAATGAGAATTGACTTGAATCGCAAGTTACTTCGTGAATTCTTTGCGAGTGCTGCTCGTGTTATCGTGGAATGTGGCCAGGTTTTGGTAACACTTTGCGCAGGGCAAGGTGGTGTGCCACTTGACCCTGTTGTACGCAGGTGGGATGACTCATGGCAGATTGTTCTCATGGCTTCATATGCTGACTTTGTACTAAGAGACTTGGAAAGTTTTGATGGTTTCAAATACTTGGGGTATTCAGCAACTGGTTATAGATCCTTGGAAAAAGGCTTTCATCTAACGGGGGCTTTTACATACACATTTCAGGTACGTGCTATTTTACCTGATGCAAGCATCAAAGATCCTCGGTCCGTAGAGATGATCTCTATGTGCAGTGATTACCAGTTGAAGGTCCCTAGCTTCCTTTACACTAAATTTAAAAGAAAACCATTTTCCGACAAATCTACCATAATTGGCTACCTTTCTTTCGTGCTGAGAGAACATGTTGCCAGAGCCATGACAACTTGTTTTGGAGATGATATTGTATATGGAAAAGATGTAGATTTAAAAACTTTAGCCAGTTCCCATGCATTTTGTTTAACTGCAAAGCTGAAGGGCAGAAGTGTTTGTTTCCACACAGCATACAGAGTAGATACGACCCATGGCTTCAAGATTGACCCTCTTGTCATTTTTGTTTTTCCTGAGAATAGTAGTGATATGCAAAATGTATTATATCAAGAATTGGTACTGGAAATTAGAAATACAAGTAAATCTTTTCTCTCCCAAGTGAAAAGGGCAGCATTGAAGGATCTTGTAGAAGAGAATTTCTTAATTTCTCAGGAAAGTGTTGGAGATGATAATGCTACTTGTACCACATCTGTGTATGTTGTAAATCTTGCATATGTGGCCAGGTTATACTTTGACACTGATGAACATGAACTTTGGGGCAACGGTCAGTGTGTGTGTGATAATGTGATTACATATAGACCCTGGAGTCTCTTCCCTCTTGAATATATTTATGACATCAGTTTTTGGGAACCACCGCCTTTAACTGATGCAGCACATTGTAAAGACTCGTTGACCTCAGGGTGCTCTCATACTAGTATAGTATTTGATGAAGTCATTATTGGTGTTGTTATTATCAATGTAGCAAAGGATACCTTGGAAAGCTATGAACTCCTAAGCACATATGTTCACCCAGAAATTAAGAGAAGAAGTTACACCTATAGAATTAGGTACAGAAGTAACTATGGGGCACTCTCTGATTACAAAGCAAAGACCATTCATTCAGAAATTGGAAGGAAGCTTGAAGAATGTTTTGGGGTTAAGATTCGATAAAAAAATTTAGAAAGTTGGAAAAAAAATCACTGTTGGACAAAACCTGCCTCTCAAAACAGTTTCAGTGCACATTGCTTCATAATATAATGCTGCTGCAATAAATGGTTTAGAAACATCATTGAAAATAATAACTGATTTTTTTGTATTCAATTCGTATAATGGTCATTTTAATGTTAGAAAGTGATTTGTGCAATAATGTCATGGTGATATATTCATTTTGATTATTTATGCCTGCACATTAGGGCTTCATTACAGATTACAAAACATTACCACCATTAATTAGCACAATGTCAGTTTTAATTACTACATGACTACCTGTAACAGGTCTTTGAAGTTTAGACAAGCCCCCATTCTTGATCTTTTTTCGATAATTGCCTCCCCAACTCATGGTTTGAGAAAATACTTAAGATAAAGTGAGTAATAACAACAATCTACCTGTATATATACGTAAAGTAGAATATGTCTGCAGTACCATTTTTGTCTGTCTGAGGTTGGAGGCCAGATGCTTGGGGCTAGCCTCACTAAAATTTCACACATGAAATATATTGGGTATGGGAGTGTCATAGGTCACTGTCAATAAGATAAGAAATAATTGACTAATAATTTTGAAGTTAGTGATCAAAGTCACTCTTACATGGGATCAGTGCCTCAAGGTGAGATGTCAAAGGCTTTTCACCAATACAAATTTCTAATGAACTCTGGTTAATATGCTCAAGTACTAAAGTATCTTCTAAGTCATTATCAATAGCAGCCAAGGTGGGGAAAACTTTTAAATGACGTTCATTTAACACTTTTTAGTTTTCAACCGAATATTTTATTTTATCGATTCCCATATTTGTGAAGTCACGTTGTATACAATTAATGTTTTTTATAATACAGGGTAATTGTAATTACTGCAGTGGAGCACGGTATATAAATAAATATTTATATTTATATTTCAAGTTTTCCTCTTATAAATCCTATATGAAATGATTTATTAGAAAGAAAATTCTAGGTAAGAAGCTTGCTGCCTTGGAATTAAAATATATTAATGTACTTTATAAAAGATGTAGCGGCCTTTTTATAATTAGTGAGAATTGAACCGATTGGCTTCGGCTGCTCAGAGAATAGGCATGAAGGCTGAATATATGTAAATTTTATGAAATGTAAATCATTTTATTGAATCAATGCTTTGTATTATTATGTACAGTACAGTATGTACTTTATCATTGCCACTCTTGGAAAGGGCATACAATAGGCTAACATTATACGCCTCTTCAGTACTCATACAAGGATGTGAAGTAGCCTAACATCATACACCCATACTACCAACAGTGTCATACATCCTACTACCTGGGACTTCTCATAAAACTCACATTTTGTTGTTTGTGAGGGCATCCAGAATCCAAATTTTGGGGATGCTTCTTAACTTCTCCCTAGAGGCCCTCCATCAGTATACTAAGTTTGGGTAAATTCTGGTCAGTGGTGTTAAAATTCATACTAAACAGTTGGAGCTACCTCATTCCTTTGTGTGTGTGTATATGTCAGTAAACTTATTACAATGTCCATTTCATACTAAATAAAATTGTATTTGGAACCTAGTTTCATATATATTAATATATAAAAGAGAATGTCTGTTCGAGGTTGGAAGCCAGACACTTGCGGCAAGGTTCGCCAAACTTTGCAGGGTGACAGGTGGTTGTTCAGGGATTGTAATTGGCAAATCAGAGTAAATTCCATACCCTGCCTTTGCATGAAATGGCAAAGATAAAAATTTCCAATTTTGTGAACAGTAGGGAAGGTGGTGAAGGAAAAGGAAGAGTGTGAAGGAGATGGAAGAAAGTTGTGGTGATGGTTATAGACTGGATATCTGGCAGTGCCCTGGTACTGCAGTTATAATGGCAATTATAGCATGTAGTGAAAATGATTGTTGACATGGATTGTTGTGTGTAGTTTAATATAACTACAGTCTTGAAGGTTGAGTATAATTAAGATGCTTTCAGTGATGATTGTTGTGTGTGCAGTGATACAATGATGGTTCTTTGTAGTAAAGATGGTTGCAGTGATGAGGATACAGTAGTGTGAAGCAAAGATGTAACCTCATTCACTTACACATCAAGCAGGTACCTCTCTAATGTACTACAGATGGAACACTCAATATCTCTACATGATTATTCACAAGCTACAAGCTAAGGAAAACATTTAGTACCAAAATTATAATCTCTTGTGTTTTAGAATTGGTTCACTTAGAATTTTTAGTTTTAAAAAGTCCCTTTCATGATGTGATTATAACAGATTCTTGTCGCTTCCATATGCTTACAAAACTTTGCACTCTTGTAGTCTTTTGTTTGATTAACTTTTCTCATTTTGTTTTGCAGATGTAAAATCTTCATAAAAGTACAAAATGGCAGCAGGAGCCCTCAGACCCATCCTGGGAAGACGTCTCAGCTGGGCACTATGCAACAGGCTGAGAAGTATCCTGCATCAGATCAGATATTGCTCAAATGATGCTGCATCTCCAAATTATGTTGATAGTGGGCGACCTAATTTAGTCATGCAGGAAACGCGTGAACATGATACATGGAAAGGTGTAGAGAGCCTTGACTTGCCATCTGCTACAGAAGAAACTTGGATTCAGAAGGGAAATAACTTCATAAAATGGTTAAAAGACAATCCCCATATGGAGCTAGGAGAAAAATACACAGCAGTCAAGAAAGTCAAGAGCAAAGCAGACAATAAAATGGTTAGTGTTAAATAGTATTTTGAAATTCTTTACTGGTAATGGATTTGTTAGTACTGCTGTACATACAAAGATAGGACTTACCTGTCACTGCTAACATAAATAGTTTTTCATCTCATGTGCCACATTGCAGTGCAGGTGATTATTCCCAGCTATTTTTGTGTTTTTTGTTGGTTTCAGTCATGCCCTATTGAACAGCCATGTGAGATAGCTCAGAAATAATGTTACAAGTTAATAAAAGCCCATTTCTGAGCAGTCATTTGGCTGCTTGTGATCTCTCTTGTGTGTCTTCTGTACAGAGTCAGTTTTTTTCATGAGGAAGTACTGTATATGTGTGGCTTGGGTCAAGGAGTCCAAAAGTGTATATGATACTGCTTCCTGGTGGCAGTGGTGGTGTTATCTGGTGGTGGCACTGCTGCTACCTGGTGGCAGTAGTGGTGTTATCTGGTGGTGCTGCTACCTGGTGGTGAGGGTGCTACTACTTAGTGGTGAGGGTGCTACTACTTAGTGGTGAGGGTGCTACTTCTTAGTGGTAGTGGTGCTACTGCCTAATGGTGGGGTGGCCAGGCAGACCAACGATAGATCAAGAGTGCACTCCAGATGTCAAATGAGGGTTCAGAAGGTCTCATGTTTTTATAAATGGAATCTGTCAATCACTCTGGGCTATATTGAATATTCTTCTGTAAACACCCCCCCCTCCTCTAGCAATTATAAGAAACCTGCATTGATTACTTGGATAATGCCCCATGGCCCAGCTGCCAGTATACTGTGCCAAATTGTGTACGATCCTGTCCAATTGGCACAGCAGATATTGCCTTAGGAAGAAGTCAAATGATTCTACTTAAAAAGTGTTTGACATTTTAATTCAAGCCTGTAGGAGAGAGGTTGAACATATAGGATGCATTAATTAAATTTTAAATTTTGCCCCGAGGGGCGAGTTTATTGAGCAGCGCCACTCATCTTGTGAGTGGTCATACCGCCATAGCAGCATGTACAACACTCCCCAAAAGGAAGAAAACCTGCTGGGTTGTTCATCCTGTCACTTGTACCCAGACACAGCTGGGACTTGCTTAACTGTCTCAAGTGAACAGCTCCTTAAATGAGAAGATTACCATCTGTCAACCCTTCACAGCTTACGTTATCTTGCGGGTGCAAAATAGGGAAATCTTTTAAGAACAGTATCAATATTTGACAAATAGTGTTTTCCTAACTCAAACAATGTGGGGTTTATTATTCTACACATATTTCTAATGTCTCTCAGGTGTTCACATTCACGTAGATAGTGGTCAAGGCGGTGTCCGTCACTCATCACAAATTCTGCAACTTCGCTGATCAACAGTCGTTTCCATTCCATATCTCCATGGATATTTGTATCCAAGACGGATTCTCGCTATTACTGATTCTCTCCGGATGTATTTCATGATGAATTAAGTTATGCATTAATGCATTAAGTTATCCAATATCCATCCAGCAGTGCCCAGATGGTCTGCAGGTGCAACATAAACATATTGGTAACTAATGTTTATGTCAGAGTGACACTGTAGCTCAGTTTGGAGTATTGATGTATCAATCTTGCCCTTAAACACTGTTGATGTTAAGCTAAGAAGCCAGTTGGTGCAGTACTGAGTTTCATCATCTGTCAGGTTGGTAATTATTTTGAGAATATAAAAGTACTGTATTATTACTGTTGTTGTTATTATTATTATTATTATTATTATTATTATTATTATTATTATTATTACAGTATTATTATTATTATGATACCAAAGTAGTAGAAACTTTGATACCAAAGTTTCTAAGGTTAAGTAAAAGGTTTAAGGTTTATCTAAATGGCATAGATTGATAAATAATGATCTATTTATAATCAATTAATCCACTTTTATATGAGCAAGAACAGTAAAATGATTGCATTATATTTCTGTTATTTTTCATAGCCTCCATTGAAAAAATATCCCCCTCCTTAGGGCCAACATTTCATTGACTATCGACGAGTGAGGATCCGTGGTGGAGATGGCGGTGATGGCTGCATATCTTTCTTGAGCCTCTGCAGAAATGAGAAAGCTGGACCAGATGGTGCAGATGGTGGTAATGGTGGCCACATTGTCTTTGAGGTTTGTGTTTTAAGCTGTTTAATGTTGTCTTGGGGTTTCTTGCATGGTGATAACGTGAGATAAAAAATAATATTCAAATCCTAATATGCCTAATATTTCTTATATATATAATATATATAAGAAAAATTATTATGGTTTAATGCTGACCAAACCACTCATCAGAAGACGGAGAAATGACTTGATAATGGTCCAGGATGGACGGAAACATTGTTGTTTCTCCATCTTCTGATGTGGTTTGGTTTGGTTTGGAGTCACATTATTGTGACTCACCATCTGCTTATGGTTTAATGCTTACTACTAGTTTATTGGTGTATGAACATTAGCCTCACTGGGCAATATCTTGCATTTCAAACAGGCCAGATCTGTATAGGTGGTTATAATATCTATGCCCATACTATTCCCTTCACTCATCCTTTCCCTGATATTTTACTGATGAGAGGTAAATTTTGAACAATTGTAGGCAACACGCGGTGTCCGTAGCCTCAACCACATAAGTACATACATTCATGCAAGTCGAGGTGAGAATGGACGGGGTAAAGATTGCCATGGAAAAAATGCGGAAAACAAAATTATACAGGTTAGTAGTGCATAGCAATTTTGATATGTTAGTGTCTCATAGCTGCATTTATTGATGTGAATGTTCAGTCTTCAGATACAGTGTTTACTTAGTCATGTTACTTTGTCTACTTGTGTTCATCTGTTAATTTGTCTTTGTAATTAACTCATCTGTTAATTTGTCAACTTTGTGTTCATCTGTTAAATATTTTGCCCAGATGTTATTCAAAATATCATATTGCATGGATTATATATGTGTTTGAAATTGCAGGTGCCAATTGGGACAATATTTAAAACTGGAGGAAAAGTAGTAGCAAGTCTGGAAGCAGTTGGGAGTCTGTTCATAGCTGCACGAGGAGGAGCTGGAGGCAAGGGAAATGCTTTCTTTGCCACTGACGTGTAAGGCCTGAAAACACATTACAGTATCTCATGATTTATATCGAAGAGTAAAAAGAGAGAGAGAGTAGGTAGAGCTGATTGTGTTGTTATAAACCAGCAAGAAGTATTGGAGTGCATATATTCATGACCAAAAAATGTCTTGTAGCCATTTCTAGAACACAATACCACTTGATTTGCACCATTAAGAGAGAAGAACATTATGATGCTTCAGGCTATCCATTATTTTACAACCTGATAATGACTGAAGACAGGCTGGAATGTCTTCATTTTCTCGTTTTCAATGTGCTTGACCAAAACTGGCAAAAGTACTTACTGTATATGTATGAAGTGGAGCAACTAATATCTCACTAACATGTGGCGCCAGCATGGAATACTTATACATTAGGGGATTTTATTCCAAGAGGGATTTATTGATTAGGTGGATTTATTGAATTTATTATATAAAATAGGTATGTATGCTCTGCAGGAAGAAGAGCATATATACAGTACCTGCATTTGACTTGCTTCCATGTTTTTATTTCAGTGATCAAGCCCCACTAATTGCTGAATTTGGGGGCAATGGAGAAATGTTCGAGTATGAAGTTGAGCTGCGAACAATGGCAGACGTGGGGCTGGTGAGGATTGTTTACTGATTTTAATATGTTTTGTGCTGTGCAGGAGTGAGGTGGTGGTGTGTGGTGTGTAGGTTGAGGCTATCTTGAGATTATCTTGAGATGATTTCGGGGCTTAGTGTCCCCGCGACCCGGTCCTCAACCAGGCCTATTATTTCGGACCTACAGGTATTATTAGGCTGTGGAACATCCTGAGGCTGTGTTCAGGATAAAGGATCATTGAACAGTACTTAGTATGAGGTGTGTTTAGGATGAGATTATGTACTGTGTTTAAAGGGGAGGTTTATGTTGTGCTATGAGTGAGGTGCTGTAAGTTATAATGCCAGGCCAGTACAGGTTGGTAATACGGAGCATGTATTTGGAAGAAGATGAGAAAAATGATATGATTAGAAGGTCATTTAAATGTTGGTGACCAGTGTTTTGTACATTTGAACCAACCAACCAGTTTATTGGGAAATGAGATCAAAGCATTAGGTGGAAGACAAGTTTTGCCTTCAGTACTGTATAATAATACATTATTTTTAACTGAATAGTTTTTAGGTTTCCTATTTGTGAATTAGTTTTTTCTGTACAATATCATGTTTGTTTATACTTATGGTTTGTTGCAGATTGGATTCCCTA